TTATTCTGGAGTTGTGTTCCCATCACTTTTATCAGCATTCTCTCTCGAAACTTTTGCAGGACAGTGTAACACTCGCTCGTGACTCTTTCGCGCTAGATTCTTCCAACCCAATAAATTTCACCTGAGTCGGCGTTGTCACGCCTCTGCATATGTCTCTCCCCAAACCATCCTTCGTTGCTTCCTTAATTTATGTGAGCGAAAGTATCTATGCATCTACCTCTGCGTATGTATGGAAGTTAGACTGTGTGAGTGGGCTTTGGAAAACTTGCAGGTTGTCTATACGAATTTTCACAGTTAAGAATGTACAGTCAAAGGAGCGCGGCAAAGGGCTTAGTGAGGACTAACATTCTCCCGAACCGAGCGAAGGGAAGTAAGTATGGATTCCCACGACAGGAGAGGGGATGCATGAGCCCGGGCTCATGAGGGAAATCGAATAAAAAATCCATTTGCCAGGCACCGCGTTCTCTCCTTCCCTTTCCCATCCTATTTTTTTTTGGGTAAATGTGGCTATTTTTTGCTCATATTTCAAAGGGAATGGAATTACAAAACAAATTACAGAATCCAAAATACAAAATAAGAGGCATATTTCTCACTTTTATGATGTTTACTGGACACGCCCCCCAACGAACCCTGCTTCTGATGACCTTTCACCCTTATTAGAGCAGCGGGACAGCGCCGCCTTTTCTATGCGATGTATTTTTTTTAATTTTGAATTTCGAATAGAAATTTACATAATTTATGGGCAGCAACAAAAGTCAAATACAGATACGGGAGCCTGAAGCAGGAGCAGTTGTCATAGCATATGCCAGGACCACATTTTTTTTTATTAAAAATATGTTTAAAATTTACGTTTTTTCAAACCACGCGACAACAAATGAGACGCAAATTATTTTCGGTTCATTCGGAGACGGTTCGCTTCTTGATTTGGTCAAAGTCGCGCCTCATTAAGAGCTCATTAAAGTCTCGAGACTCAAGGAGACCGCCGCGCTAGTTATTCCTGAGCATTTTAACACGTTTTTAATTTTAATGCATTTTATGGCCCCCCTTAACGAAGTCTTCGCCAGAGTCAGAGTCCCCTCCCCATCAGAGTTTGCTCCAGAGGGCCGACTTTCACTTGTTGACTGCTGCTCCGCGGCATCCTCGTCAACGTCACCGCACATCAGGACATCAGCACGTCAAACTTAATTAGGAAGGGAAAGTGGAAAAGATGTGACTGAGGATGGTTCGTATACAGAGGGTGAGGTGAGGGTTGGTTGCTACTGCTGCTGCTGTGGTTCGTTCATTGTTTTTATGGTTTGCGCTAATTAGTTACGAAGTCATAGAATTTTACAGAAATTGCCTCGAGGACTGACAGAGAAGTTATTGTCATGTTGCCCGTAATCCTCCTCTGGTCTGAACCAGTCATCATTTGTGGTTTCCGCCATTGGAAGAGAGGTTGAAAGGAATACGTTTATTCCAACAATTTGTGTAAATTCTCGCCACAAATTAATCAAACCAACTCCGGATGACTGACCACTTGACCAGGCCTGCAGAAGGAGTATAAATCTCAGGAACGCAACGAATCCGAGCCAGAACCGAGAGCCCAGAATCCAGAACGCAGCCAATTACAGGGCAACCCATTTGACAAAGTGGTACACCAGGATCCAAGATGAGCCCGCTCCGAGTAAGATGTTCGGTGAGTCCATAAATTTGCGGGCGACACGGAAATAATTATGCAGACAGGCGGCCTAAGGGGGTTACGGAAAAGGGAAGAGTTACCCCTGAATGCCTGAGGTCTTAAATTAAAATAAGTAAAAATTATACGACTATGAGGTACCGCTCGTCTGGTACATTTATACAATCACGATTAGATTCTTTCTGGATCGGTAGCAAAAGTATATCTCCAAGATGCAGACAGAATGGGAGACTCGCCTGAATGGAATACACCCTTTCTACTCTAGGTATTCCGAGTATAAATACCACGCCCCGCTGTTGTAAATCAAAGTCAGTGGGCTTTGTATTGGATTTGCCGAAAGGAATTTGTAGACATTAAGAAAGTCCAACTTCAACATTAACTCCTTCTCCCAATCGTAGTGGAAGTCGTAGTCCTGTCTTCCTGTTGCTTTCCTGCTGTGGATTGGGGTCTTTTAGACATTTGAATAAAGTTGGACCTTGTTTGGGGAAAGTGTCGCCGACATGTTAAGACTTCCCCCAGATTTATAGCCCAAGAAAAGGAAGGACCAAGGAGGGTGGAAGGAGGAGTGACATTTGGAGGTGGACAGGCATGTCCTGGGCCAATTTAAAAATTGAATTTTAAATCCTCCTGCTTCACTGCAGGCTAATCATTCATCAGATTGGTTCGGTTCGACACATGTGTGCGGTTGTTAGATCTCTTATCGTGGCAAAATTTTGACACATGCCACACCGAGTTCCATTTTCCATTGTCTCTGGTACTCTCCGAGGGGCCTAATGCGATTATTTTCTGTGTTTTTGTCCCAAATTCTGGAAAGCAAAGGAAAGCCATTTGTCAGCAGCTCTGATTAAATTGGATTGTAGATGCTCATAACTGTCACACATGGCTCCGTGGTGTGTCAACACCAAACCACCCAAAAAAAAAGGAACAAAAACATAAAAACAAAAGTGAAAAGGGAAGATAAAGTTTCGAAAGGACTAGACGATGAATGGAATACCCTTGCAATTCTAGGTTTACTATTCCATAGTTTGGAATCCCTCCAACGAATACTTCAACCATTAAGCCTCAATAGATTTCCCATCGCATACATGGCAATACAATACAATGCCCCTTTGGGCAGGGTATTTAACACAATTCAGCGTAGTTTTTCAATAAACCTATGAAAAGGTACGAGTGCTGATGCTTTTGAGCCCTCACCCTTGGCATTGTCCGTGACCGTGGCCCTGCCAATATTCCTTCCCCTGTGCCCCTGAGGATGTTCTCCAGGCAACTCATCGTAAACGCAATTTGATTTATGGACAATGTGGAAATTGAAAATTGTCGCATGGTCACTTTAATTTCTGAGTTATGCGACTTTAAACCGAGTTGAGGGATGGCCGCGGACCACTGTCGCTGATGATGCAGGAAGTGAATTATGTCATGCTTCATTGTGAGGTTATGTAGCGATGACACACTGTACACGGTACAGTCGACGCACGGAGCTGTATACCGACGAAACTGTACTTGTTGACCGCGCCTCCGCCCCAGGATCAGCCTTGGGTTGTTGCGTGCGAAAGGAGGAAGTGGCACGCGTCGCTTGTTAGTCGCTCGCTGTTGCAAGTTAAAGAGCAATCGGGGCGGACCAGGGCGGGGCACCAACAACCCTCATTGTTTCAGGTCGTCCTCGTCCTGTCCTGGTTCTTAATCGGGGTGGGGGTGTGTTTGATGTTTGCCTGTTTACTGCTGGCCGCTGAAGTGCCTCGATGGTTTAGTGTCGGATTATAGTTTTGACATTTTTCCGATCGGCGAGAGGCTGATTGCAGATGAGTATCGTCGGAAGCGGATGATGGATGCGCCCCCCTCCTCTCCGTTGAAGTGTGAAATATGCCGTCAGCTTGTCCGGTGTACACTGCCCACTCTCCCTTCTCTGGATGCCATTTCTCGATACGGAGGACATTCCACGCATCGCTCATTCCCGAGAATGTTAACCCTTTTCTTGACCCCTTGGGGCCGCTTGACAAAGTTTCACTTATTTGGCAATTATTGGAAATATTTTCCAGTTTTAATTGAAAAACTGAAACCAAATCTGGCTTTCCTGCTGATACCCATCTGGTCTGGGCCACTTTCATGCATGCCTGCACCTGCTGCTGCTGTTGTCCACAATTAAAATAGCTCACTCCACCAGCCCCAACCTCTGCCAGAGGTCCATTGAAAAAGTTTTCATGGTTATCACTTTGTGCCTGCTCTGGAGGGGGTTTTATTTTTCATGGCTTTTCAATTTTAATTGAAATTTATGCGCATCTCTCAAAGGGTTTCTCCGCACCAAACGGGCCCACTAGCTACCTTGCCAACACTCCTCCAGCCACGTGTTCGCCAAAAAAAGCATTGCAAATTGTTGAAAATTTCAAAATTTACATGTACAATCGCCTGAAGCGATCCTGGAAGGGGTGAAAGTGAGGTGGAGCGGGGAAAGGGCGGGACGGAGTCCTGTGATTTACAGCCCGCACTTTGGTAATTTACGAGCCGCAGCACTTGAAACAGAAACAGAACCCAACAGAACCGAACCACACCGAACACGGAAAGTGCATGCAAAAACTTGTATTATTTTGTTGTTGCGGCGCCATTTTATTGCTATTCGGTTTGTTCATGTGTAAAATTTGAAATTGTTGTAAATAATTACCCTAATGGTTGCATGCCCCATCCAACCCTACGTCTACCCGTCTCCCATTTCCTCGTGGACCAGTTGCCACTTCTTTTTCTTGAACAGTTAATTTGTGAGTCGAGCAGGCAGCGTCGCCATTTGTAATTAAGCCTAAACCGTTAATATTTCAGACAGATAAGAGCAACTGCACCCTATCCTATCGTATCCCCATGAATGGGAATTCACAACCATTCCCATCCCAGATATACCCATAAATTCTGAACCAAAACTTGGTCCTTCGACCAGGATCAGCACCAAATTGTTGGGGAAACATTTTACGGGTCGGCTAAAGCGAATCTCTCCCATGGTCCATGGTCGGGTGTTAATTTCCAGCCTGATTTTTTCTTATCTCAGCCTCAACGAAAGTGAAAATTCGCTTTCCCTCGACTTTTCCTTCTATTTGTTTTGCCAAGAATTTAATTAGCATACCGAATCGTTAACAAGATTGGAAAGCCCCTGAGTTATGCACAAGTTTAGCATGTAAATATCGGGTGGAGAGGAGAAGGACCTGAAGGGAAAGTGCCTCTTCTTTCTGAGTGGCCGAAATTGTAATTAAGATGTATGCCTCTCGACCTGAAGAATATTGCTTGCTAGGCAGCAGTGAATGGGTAACGGAATCTCTGAATAGAGAAGTACATAAATCATTAGTATATTTCACAAACTAAACGAATTTAATGATGGAAAAATATACACGACTACAAACGATGTTAATATTTACAATATCTTACTAAAGTAGCTTTATTTGTAATAGTGCGCTACGTTATCCGATAAATCTTTAACTTTGAAAGAGCTTATAGAAATTTATTTGCATGTAATCATCCATAGATCGACTAACATAGAAAAGTGCGAGTATGTGTGCACTGAGCATCTCTAAGCTAAGAAGCTAAGGCTAGACTTAAGTTAAGTTACGACTTATATCCCATGCGAGTGAGTTCGATCTTAGCCAATGTGGATATCTAAAAGAAGAAAGAGCATAGTGATTGGTTAGCTGGTTGGCTTGATACAACACACGACACAACTTACTATTATGATGGATGTTTATGTTAATTTTTGGAATCTTTATTTTCGGTTTGGCTCTGCCTTTGGGCTTGGGGGCCGCGAAGGCATCCCCAGAGCAGAGAACAAGGCACACCACGAACAGAAGCCACCCGAACCTGAAGTGTTTCATTTTGATTGTGAATAATCGTACTTATGTATAACGGAGATTGAGCGAGGCTGAGAGCTGAACGATTACTGAGGTTTAGATGATGACCGTTCTTAAATAAATCATCGTGCAGAGTCAGAATTTTTAAAAAACTCATCGGGAATTCTCTGAAATTGTATAAAATCCCCGAAACGCTGATGATGATGAAATCAATGAGGCTGTTATCTGTTTGGATTTTACCACTGGGGCGTGCTTATCAATAAATCCGAAAGTAAACCCCCGGACCAATGAAATACCCTGCTAAACGGATCTACCCGTAAGAGCTCGTTCAAACCATTATCGGGGTGACAGTGACAGCCAATGCACTCGAGTGCCGACTACTCGAACATAAACATGCATAAATTGCATTATAAGCGACCCAAACAAAGCATTAACCATTTCAGCGATCCCCTCCCGCTGCCCGAGCAGCCATAACTATTCATTATCGACACATAAACGACCCTCTCCCGGGCCAAGGGCAGGGCACTCGTAACTTCAAATTTTTATTAAATAAACAGAACAAAGCAATGGCCGGAAAATGTCACATGCTCTTACTACAGAGGGGAGGACAGAGGACCTAGGACATATATACGAGCATCCTTCTGACCCACTAAATTGGATATGCGAATTGCATGGCTGAAAGAATAGCGCAAAGAACCCTTTCTATCCTAGAGTTCCTCCCATCCCTCTCCAGAACATCCTGCGTAATTCAATATTTGACAATATGAGATTTATGGCTACAGGGTCTAGCGACTTCCGCTGGGCTAGCGACGTCCTCGTCCTCGTCGACGTTGTCGTCGTCGTTTTATTTGTATAAAGTATAATTTTTGATTTAGTGCGATTTGTGGCAACGGTTTGAGAGCTGCGCCGCACACACGGGGGGTGGCAAAAGGGTTGAGGTCTAAGCGAGCGCAATAGTTTCGCAATATCCGAAAAGTGAAAGTTTTCCTCGCTTTGTTTGCCTTGTATACGATGGTGCGGATATGAGACCGCATGCTGATAGTCATTCAGGATTCTGGAGGCAGACCTCTACTCCATCCTCCTGCAAGGCGGAAGCGGATGTTATACCAGCGGAATGCGCATAAAAGTTTATTATTATGCCTTAAATTTGGTAAAAATTGAAGAGAACTGCCGAAGTGCAGATGACAACAAATTGCTTTGTTTGGCTTTGTCGAATACGCGAGGGAATTAGCAGAGACGCCTACCGGCAATGACAACCTCTTCAACTGGGGTTGCTGGGGCATGAACACAGGATGCAGACGCCAGTGCCACCTGATAAGGCGCGAAAGTGCTTGGCAGAAGGCAATATCCCGCGAAAATTTGCATAGCTCGTGGGAGCGAACAATCCAAGGCAATCAAAGGGTTGCCGCACGGCCGGAAGCGCGAGACATGCGAATTTATTACAGGTTGCATTAAATTTAATTTTCAGTCGGAGCGTGTGCGGAAACTACCAATGGGCCCGCCCAGGAGATTGACTTACGCAGTCATGCGCGTAATGAAGCAAGGTGTCACCGTTGCTTCATCTCCTCGATCTGCTTAAGCAGCAGCTGCATGCGATCCTTCATCAGAGGCTGGCCGCGCTGGGTGCGCTTGCTGATAGCCTTGGTTTTCTCGAGTCGCTGCTTCTTGTAGGCTTTGATGCGGGCATCCTTCTCGGCTCGCACCTGTTGGCGCTCAGCCTCGGCTTTGGCCGCCTTCTGCTGACGGATCATTTGGCGGATATCGGGCTTGTTGGGCTTATCCTGGAATGCAGTGCGTAATGTGTGAGTGGTGGCGTCTCAGCATTTTGCTGCTACTTACTGTTTTTAGTTTCGGCTTGCTCTTCTGATTAAAGTTTGGTTTCTGCCACTGCGTAGTCTTGGCATGGCTGGGCGTTGGCTTTTTGTTGGTTTTTCCCTGAGGTTGTTGTGTTTTCGGCTTCATTTTATTCCACTTGTAAACAAACGAAAAACGTGTCGGCAGACAGCTGTTGCTCTGTCGCATATCGATGTATCGATTGCACATTGGCGGTGCTGTAAGACACCGCGAATTCGGTATTAGGTAGCACTCTAATAAGGGCTGTCTGTGTAGAAATAAAATAGATGTGTAGTAAAAACATTAGTTAAACCCTTTTCGAAAAATAATGTAAGTCATTAATATTAATTAGTCTTATAGAAAATGTATTTGTTAATCGGATAAAATTATATGTCAAGTGGCGAGAGTCCTATCTAGCTTATAATATCAAGCCGAATATCAAAATCGAGGAATAGCAACGCAGTCACATCATCACAGCTTGTAGTGTTCGTCGGTATATATACGGTATTTTTCGAACATAAGAAGGTATATTTCGGTATATTTCTATACGTACTATACGGTATACGGTACTACAATTTATTGAAAATGTTTAAAATTACTAAATTTATTGCACAAAATGGCAAGTAAATGATATAATTATCTAGACATTATCTAATCCAACCTTCGCCCACTAGCTACAGTTGCCAATTTAACTGGCAACCGTCTGACACGGCCCGCAAATCGTTTGTATGCCCTGTCCAGCAGTGTGGAAGACAAAAGCACAACACGAGATGGATCGGATGAACCGATTGACATAACGAATCCCTTCGAGAAGGATCCCCAGCAGTGCATACTGTGCAAGAACAACATCACCCCGCACTACAAGAATGTCCGGCTGCTGTCCCAGTTCCAGTCGTCCTACACGGGCCGCATCTACGGACGCCACATAACTGGGTTATGCAAGCAGAAGCAGGAGGATGTGGAGCGGGCAATTCTGCGGGCCCAGCAGTGTCTGCTGATGCCGGGCTACCACAAAGACCTGGACTTCCTGCAGGACCCCAAGCTCTTCGATCCGGAGAGGCCTGTGCGTCCGCATAAATATTAGTTTGCATTTATATTTTGTTCAAAATTGGTTTTTATTGCGAAGTAATGCATTTTGCCACCGTAAAGCATTTTCCGAGTGTCAGTCCTCCTCCAGGTACCGCAGCATCTCGAGGGGAATGCCTAGGTGTATCAACATATTCTTCTTTGTCGGGCGGGGATCGACCATGGCCTGCAGGTCGTTCACAGTGGCTATGAAACCCCTCCGCCAGGTCTCGATGTCCGCCTGCAGCTCGGGGATTCTGCTGTCTTGTGGTTCTACTTCATCGTTCTCTTCCATTTCCTCTTGGTCGTCTTCTTCATCATCCTCTTGGTCTTCTACAATCTTGCGTTTTTCATCGTCTTGCATCTTTCCCTCTTGTGGTTCCTGCTCATCATCCTGTTCTTTTCGCTCTTTGTTGTTTTTCTCTTTTTCTAGTGGTTTATTATCCTTTGATTTTGGAGTGAGCTCATTCTCCTTATGTTCGCTTACAGCTGGGAACTCCAGCCGCTTCTTGGTAAGCTCCGTGCGGATGCGGGACAATCCGACGCGTTTGCGAGTGTTTGTGGATAGCGGCAGGGCGCGGGGAGTATCTTGAGCCTGATCTGTAGGTGTTGTGGTTCCCAATTTATCCTGGTGCAGCCTCACCAAAGGCGTGGTAAAGCACCGCCGACTTGGCATGCCAAGCCGGGGTCTACGCACAGACAACGGGGTTCCAATCGCCTCCTCCGCCATTCAAATTCCACGAAATACATGCAAAATACATTCAAATTGAATTGTTTACAAGCATTTTAGAAATGCGCAAGGCTGCCAGACTACCTGCGAAGTTAGTTCCATAAATGGACACCACTGTGGCGCCCCTTTGAATGTAGAGAAAGTTATATATTTTGATCGTTTTCATTTTATTTTATTTTTAATTTAATAACTTTTTAAAATCACTTAATATTATTGTGTTCATATTGATTTCCACACGTCGAATCGAACCGTATCTATAACGATGTAGATTCAGGTTTGATAAGCTGCTTAATAAGCAAGCAAGCCTCCTTAAAGTTTCCTTGCCGACATTCTTCATTGCTTTATTTGCTGCTGTGGCTGATGCTGTTCGATCTAACCGACTTATGACTATACCAGCCAATATACCGATCTTATGTAGCGCCATCCGTCATGCCTTCAGCTGAAAGCGATGCTGATAAGGTGCGATCGGGGATTTTCTTTAGCGAAAAACAACACGAGAGCGATCCGATTCAGTCTAGATAGCTGGCCATATCTAATAAAATAGGTAATTGGGGAACCACATGACTTAAGGAGTTCGTTGGCTTTTTCGTTCAGACGCATATTTTAGTAAATAAAAGTGTCTCCGAATAGGAAAAGGAAACGTTAATTTATAGAGAAAAACGTACATATTGGACAGAAAAATATATAGAAGAACGAACACACTTCCATACACCCAGATTCACCTGCATATTCCCAGGGAAGGACATTTATTTGATAAATTCGGCCACTCCTCCTCTGAGTACGAATCACTACCACACAAAAGAAAGGGTAAAGACATGCATATACATACATATGTATTTATTTTTTATTTTTTCCGAATAGCATTTATACTTGATTTGGGTCCCGGCTCCCATATTGTAGTATGTACATATTTATGTATGCGTGCGGCAAATGGTTGGGACAAGTGCTCCGGAATTCAAATCTATAAATCGATAGCTTCAATTTAAAATTTGTTTATTTACTTAAGTCAAGGAATACAGTTATATAAAATAAATTAAATTATAGATGCGCGTAATTTATAGAGAATCTTCAGCCTCTAGCTGTGGCTGCCACATTGGCTGCTTGTTGAGCAATACCCAGTCCCTGGATGGTGGCGTCCCGAGTGTGCTGGCCAACACGTTCCTGTCAATAATTATATAGTTAAGTTTATGAATAATTGTACACTATGCAAGCGGCTTACAATTTTCTTGCCAATCTTCTTTAACCATCCTCCCTCTGACTGGCCCACGCTGATGGCCAGGATCAGAGAAAATATGACCAAGATCGTGTAGAAGTTCATGATGAGATTCTTGGAGTATTTCTGTGTTAAAAGAAAAAATTTCCTGATGCTGTTGCTGGGAGAGCTGTGCGACTGATGAACTGAAAACCACGACAGGCAGGCTTTATAAAGCCCTGCCTGCAGTCCAACAGCATGAAGAGATGCTGATAACCTGCAGTCGGGGATTTTCTCTCGCAAAAACGTACAAAAGAGGGATTGGATCAGATTGGAATCCCCCTAGGCAGCTGAACCGTGGCAAGCTAAGAGAGATCAGATTTTATAATGGTCAAAAGGGGAAATACATGACGTTTTGTCTTCTGTACCCATGTATCTAGTACAACCTGAAGGTTTAAATGTAATTATTAAACGTATTATTTTCATAAAAGTAACAGGAAAAATTAACCAACTACGTTGTTTAACTAAGGCTGCCATATTTTATGCCTCAACTGGTGTTTATTTTCTTAGCTCTTTTTTATTGGAAAGGTGCGATTTTTCCTTTTGTCATTCCACTAGACTTCTGTGTAAGTAACAAAAGATTGGGTAGACCAGATGGTGAAAAGTAGGCAGTGTGAATGAGAGGTATTTGAACCATGAATGACTACAGATAATCATTTTTTGCGATTTTTTAAGTTTTTGCTACCGGTCGTTATTTACATCTGTGGCAGCCGTGAAGTAAATTTTTTAAGTGTATATGTAGGTATAAAATATCGGTTTATTCTCCATTTTATGGGTTGCGTAGCGAGAGTATGTGCAAGTTACGTAGTAGTGACAATACTTGACTATAGTACTCTATTACTCTAGTACTCTACTCTGGTGATATGTATCAATTTTAAATTCTAAACCCAAATGTTACTAATCTCAAAATAACACAAGTGGAGCTATTAACGAGCTTTATATCTGTACAGTGAGTACAAATTCCAAAAATGAGAGACTACGGTTAAAGTTTTTTATTTAGTTATACATATGAATATGAATACATTCATACAAATGTCCGTATTAGAGAAATGCATTGAGTAATGAACCCGATACTGCTCTCGAAGTCAGACCCTCAGAATACCCTGCGGAGAAAGTGTGTAAAACTAAGAGCTGGAGATCATCCTAGCTTTGATTTAGACTGATCATGATGCTGAATCACTATATGAGTACATATAAATCCGAATTAATATGAATATGAATACATTTATATTCAGGCCGTATTAGAGAACTGAATTGAGTAATGATCTCTCCTGCTCTCAAAGTCAGACCCTCAGAATACCCTGCTAAGAAAGTGTGCAAAACTAAGAGCTGGACGTCATCATTGCTTTGATTCAGACTGATCATGATCCTGAATCACTATATGAATACATTCATATGAATATGAATACATTCATACAAATGTCCGAATTAGAAAACTGCATTGAGTAATGATCTCGATCCTGCTCTCGAAGTCAGACCCTCAGAATACCCTGCTGAGATAGTGTGCAAAACTAAGAGCTGGAGGTCACCCTAGCTTTGATTCAGATGCTGAATCACTATATGAATTCATTCATATGAATAAAAATACATTCATATGAATATAAATACATTCATATAAATATAAATACATTCATATGAATATGAATACATTCATATGAATATGAATACATTCATATGAGTATGAATACATTCATACAAATGTACTGGCCAACGAGTTCCTGAGGAGAAAGAGTTTAGCCTATGAATAAATTACATATTAACTGGGCAGACGACTTAACAAATTCTTGCCCATCTTCTTCAGTCAGACGGCTTCCGACTGACCATTAACATGGCCAGGATGAGGTCATGATTAATCCATCAATCCATCAATGAGATGAGATGATGAGATATCTGGAATTATTCTTTCAGCTTTTGCTGTGGCTGCTGCTTTGGGATCTGACCGACTGATGACTATTCCAGCCAATCTACCAATCTTATGTAGCGCCATCCGTCATACCTTCAGCTGCAAGCGATGCTGATAAGGTGCGATCGGGGATTTTCTTTTGCAAAAAAGTACCGACCGACTCGGAATCACCGTAGACATGTGTGCACATACATATGTACATATGTATGTAGCTGTGGTGATTTGACAATATGTTATTTTTTGTATTATTAATTTGAGAATGGAAAAAGGGGAAAAATAGGCGTAGAATTTAAATGAATTCACTTCAATTGGATTCATTGGTATATACATATGTATAACAGGTCAAATGAGCATTTCCGAGCTTAAGAGAAAAGCTTATTTATGTGTTTATATACATGCATATGTAAAACCACATTGATGAAGTTTTTTCTGTTTTTTCTTTGGCAGCTTTTGTACATTTGTACATACATATGCATATTTATTTCTGATGTTTTGTCTGCTTTATATTTTTACATACATATATATTTTTTTTTTTCTACAGTTCCTCCATATTTGATTTAAATTATATACTGATTATAAACAGTACCATGATAGAATAGTTAAAATAGACAAAACTTTCTCTCGGTGACCCCCACTCTGGTTGAACACCCTACACAACATAAACAAACTGATCTGCAGAATTTTGAATAATCGAATTCTGATATACTAGACAACGAAAGTATTATTTTGAAAATAATTTATTTACTTAATTCAAGAAATATAGTTTAATAATATAAGCTTAAATGTTTACAATTAGGGTCGGGTCCTAAAAGTTCCTTCATCCTCGAGCAGTGGCTGCTACATTGGCTGCTTGTTGAGCAACTCCCAGACCTTGGATAGTGGCATCCCGAGTGTGCTGGCCAACGCGTTCCTGTGGAGTACACATATATATATGTACATTTAGCCTCCATATGACTTAAATACTGGGCAGATAGATGACTTACGATTTTCTTGCCAATTTTCTTCAGCCATCCGGCCTGTGACTGTCCCATGCTAATGGCGAGGATTAGGGCAACGAAGACGAAGATCTTGTAGAAGTGCATGATGATAGTGCTTGAGTATATCTGGGATGACAGCAAAAATTGCTTGTGATGCTGATATTGCTGATGCTCAGAGAAGAATGATATTTCAAGGAAATATTCCGAGATTATATAGCCCATCAGACCCACAGATCCAAGCGGCGATGATAAGGTACACCACGGGGATTTTGCTTGGCGAAAAAGTACACGAGAGAAAATTAGATCGGCATCACCATGGCATTCTTGATTCATTCGGGTGTGACCAACAGGGGAAATACATTCCTTTAACTCAGAGGTCGGCACACCGTTCGATTGCTGCTTCTGTTACTTCTACTCGGTTATTTTATATGGTATTGTTGCTACCGCCAACTTTTGTTGACGCGTGATGTTTTTCAAGCCCACGTTAACCCCCAGGCAACAAACAAGGCCACTGGGTGGCGCCACACAGTTGACGGCGGCCAGCTCAAACAAAACAAAGGAACGGGGAAACAACAAGACCCAAACCGTGAGGCGGCAAGCGGCCGCCCACTACAGAGCCCGGCCAGCGAGGGGCCCTGTTTGCCCAGCTATAGCAAATGCAACCGAAGAAAATGAAATGATTTGCTCTGCGTAGCCGGAACGGTAGCTGAAAACTGAGAGATGAGAGCAAAGAAAATTAAATTTATTTAATTTACTACGGATCTCATGTGTTCTTTTTTTTGCCAAAATTCTGCGATAGTTATTTTCATTGCTGCTGCGTAATTTAAATATTTTTACTGAATAAAATATGTGTTTTCTTTTTAAGTTTATTAACCTACACATGAATAATTGTAATTTATACTATCCAATATTTTGACAGCTCGACAACGAACGGTCTCACTCAGGGTATATACTTTTCCGGAAAAATATGAATAAGTTTAAAACATGCCACTCTAAGATAAAATCATTATTGTTAATGTGTATTTGTGTGTGTGTTTTGGTATGCATACGGTACATAAACCGTTTACAAATTTGTCGTCGCAACTAGAACTTGAACCAGTTGGACTGCGAAGAGGGTTTCCTACGTCGAGCAAATGAGGGTCTGAAGACACGGCGACAGCCTCTGTTGATTGCAATTGTAGAGAATGAGTGAACAGGCAGTGATGGTACTGTTTCTGATACTGATTTTAAATGGTAAAAAGCAGCTTTGAAAACGGATTTTTAAACTTAATTATTAAACTTAATTAAAGATAAAACGAGAAGGAACGTGTGAGTCGCTTCTGGGGACGCGACTCTACTTATACCCGTACTCAGTCAGTATATACATTTTTGAGCTTATGATTTTTAAGAATTTTAGAATTAAAAAAAAAAAATTTTATATTTTACATTTTTTTGCTACATATGATATCTACATCTACATATACAATGCATCTAACATGTAGATTTTACATGTTCCAATTAGATTCTACATCTCCTCCGCTAGGGGTTTCCCGCGCACTGAACGCGGCAGAGTGTGCGAGCGAGAAGGAAAATGAGTTGCGTTGTTGTTGGAAGGAGGGGAAGCTTTGTGGCAGGGGAAGCAACAGAAAATTAATTTTCTTTATTCTGGCTATAGTTATGATCCGATCTGATTCAGATTCGGCAATCTGGTAGATATGGGCATTCTCTACGATACTGCGTTTTTAGTTTTATCGTATCTTTAAAATTGTGCCTGCCACAGATTTTCGTCCTTTGTGGGGGCGGCAGGGGGCGGGGCGAAATTTTGAAATACAATTGTAGCAGTGTGATATCACATGAGTCTGGAAACCAAATTTGGTTACCCTAACTCTTATAGTCTCTGAGATCCAGGCGCTCAACAAGACGGACGGACGGACGGACGGACGTACGGACGGACAGACAGACATGGCTATATCGACTCGGCTATTGATGCTGATCAAGAATATATATACTTTATGGGGTCGGAAAATTTTCCTTCTCTGCGTTACACACATCCACTTTTACCACAAATCTAATATACCCCTTAACTCTTTTTTGAGTACGGGTATAAAAATAGCATATACAAAATGCATACTCCATAATTAAGTTGTTTATATGTAGCAAATGTGTAGTTACCATGTAATTTACGTGTAAAATACTATCGTGATAGTATCGGGCTCAAATAATTATTAATTATTTTTTTGTTGATATTTAATGGTTACTAGCCTGATTAAATAGAGCGGGGCTAAGCTATTTTTTTCTCGGTTTCTGAGGTTCCAGTCACACTCGACAAAACAAATCAAGTGAAATATTTATTTTTCCATATATTAAGACACATTTCAAATTGACCGCCAAACTCAATTTAGCGCACAAAAAATACTGACATTTTTCGCTCTCAATTCGTGGTGGGTTTTCAAAATTCGCTCTCAATTCGTGGTGGGTTTTCAAAATTTGCTCTCTTTTCAGAGGTGAAGAGATCGTTTTCGTCGTGACTCTTCCTTCATTTTCGTGGTGTGAGCGACATGTATCTTACGGGAACGTATATACATTGCTGCGACGTTCCCGTAAGATACATTTGATTTGGGAAAAGGGAGCAACAATCTGCATACCTTGGGAAAATAGATATTAGGACTTGAAATATTGTTTGTAATTTCAGGCTCCAATTAATGCAGAACCCAGTCAGTCTCTGTTTGAAAGGTATTAACGAAATTTTGCAGCCCACGGGTACCAATAATGGGTATCAGAACCGGGATATATGTACATATAAAATACAAAACATATGCATTAATATGTAAAAAACATGTCAATCTATGATAAAATCATTATAAATGTTTCAATTGAGCTTGGAAAAACAAATTTAACATCAATTAAAGGAAATAAGGTATACACTATTCCATACGCATAGATGAAAATTTGGTTGACCAGCAACACTGACGTCACATTTAGGCAACATTTACGTTTAATGCTTTGGCCGTTTTTGTTTGAACCTTTTTATGTAAACAATCCAATAAAGAATAGTTCTGAAAACTAGCCAATCTTGAACAAATTTCATTGAGGAATTGGATAAAATTATTTTTTTAGAGCTGAGAGGGCCAACTATCTAGTAATATTAAACTGAATATCAAAATTGACGAATTTCATATCACAAAATACAATCTATGGTATGGCAGCTCGTAGCAACTACGAATTGCACGAGTCTGGCAGCGCCACAAAAACGACGACAAACGCTATGTAAATAATCAAATAAAAAGGACTTCTGAAAACTTGCCAATCTTGTAGAAAATGAACGTATCTATCGGATAAAATTATTTGTTTAGGGCTGAGAGTCCCAGCTAGCTAGTAATATCAAACGGAATATCAAAATCGAGGAATATCAACTTGGAATGTTTTGAAAAAAACAATCGATACTATCGTGATAGTATTTAATAAAAAACCATTGAAACCTATTAGGAACTTGTCCATTGCAAAAATTAGATGTTAGATGTTTAGATTTGTCTTCGTATTTTATAGCAGCCAATCCAAACATATTAAAAGGGCAACGACTGTAGCTCGATACTATCATGATAGTCGCAAAACCGTCGATAGTATCGGATAGCAGCAAACTATCGATACCATCGATAGTGCCCTCTATGGTTAGACACCTCTAGCACTTCCTTTTCCTGTCAAAATAGTCGACAAAGGTGGTACATTTGTTTTAAAAGGCGACGAAAATCGTGAAAATATGCAAGATGCGCAACGCAGTGGATTAAAATAATGAGAGGGAAAAGAAATTAAATGCTTGCTGTTGAGAGATAAAACAAAAAGCGAGTGAAATTGTCTGAAAATGTAGCCGATGGACTGCGATTAGGAAAATCAATTGAAACGACCGAGAAGCTGCTTTTCGTAGACTGCGTTTCGTGGATGCGAATGTTTGAATTGTTTACTCATTTAAGTTGGCATGGTGTCCATTTGCAGATGGCTATCGGCTCCAAGATTATCAAGCCCGGCGGCGCAGACCCCGATGATTTCGAGAAGTCGATTGCCCAGGCTCTGGTTGAGCTTGAGGCAAACAGCGACCTGAAGCCCTACCTGCGCGATCTGCACATCACCCGTGCGCGCGAGATTGAGTTTGGCAGCAAGAAGGTGAGTTGATGCCTATATTTGATGTGAAACTCTTTCTAACTTGTTTACGTCTGCAGGCCGTCATCATCTACGTGCCCATTCCCCAGCAGAAGGTGTTCCAGAAGATCCAGATCATTCTGGTCCGCGAGTTGGAGAAGAAGTTCTCCGGCAAGCACGTCGTGGTTATTGGAGAGCGCAAGATTCTGCCCAAGCCCACACGTAAGGCGCGTAATCCCCTGAAGCAGAAGCGTCCACGCTCCCGTACCCTGACCGCTGTGTACGATGCCATTCTGGAGGATCTGGTCTTCCCTGCCGAGATCGTTGGCAAGCGCATCCGCGTCAAGCTGGACGGCTCCCAGCTGGTTAAGGTGCATTTGGACAAAAACCAACAGACCACCATCGAGCACAAAGTGAGTTTAAAGTCAAGTGGAAGTCTTTATATTTTAAGTGCTATCTTGTGGTCCGTGTGGCAGTTACATCTTCGTCCCCGTGTTATTTGTGACGCGTTTTCCAAGCGTCGTGATCGTCAAAGGGGACGCATATCACCAAGTGCCAATAACTCGTTATTGTATGTCACTGACGCGTTTGCGGGCTTGCATCTCCATATATTGGCCACACTCTGGTACCCTTGACCGTTCTTGTGTTATTCGCTGGACTCACCTTCTAGTCCAGCGATTGTCAAACAGAACGTACACTAATCCCAGGCAACAACTCACTCCACAATGATTAGCCGATAATAGCCTAGGCCGCATCATTACTAAATGTTTGCCACATTTGTATATATATGCCGTGTCAACTAGATCAATAGATCCACCGTTCTTGTGTTATTCGCTGAACTCACCTTCTAGTCCAGAGATTGTCAAACAGAACGTACAGTAAACTCAAAAGCAACTACTCACTCCACAATGGGGAGCCGACTATAACCAAGGCATCTTCATTACTAAATGTTTGCTACAGAATAATCCCATTAGACTTTCCACCGTTCTTGTGTTATTCGCTGGATGCCCAACTTAGCCCAGTGATTGTCAAACAGAACGCACATTGAAGACCAGGCATCTGCTTTCACTCCACAATGTTGTGTCCATTATATCCGGGACTACTACATTACTATTAGCGTGCCACAACACCACACACGATGCACAATGATTACCGCCCATTTGCCTCCCGAGCACCGTTTTATTCCTGGTGTCTTGGGACTTCCTATATTGGCGGAAGAGTAATCCAGCCTTTCGTGTGTTTTCCTTCGTTGCAGTATATCCTGCCGCAGCGAAGAGCACGGCAACTGGACAATTAATTTATATAGATAACCACAATATGTCTAAAACTAATGTGCAAAATCTTTTTCTACTTCCTCCAGGTTGATACATTCACATCGGTCTACAAGAAGCTGACTGGCCGCGATGTTACCTTCGAATTCCCCGACAACTACCTGAATGTCTAGAGTGTGTTCGTCGCCGTCGCGCTGGTTCGGTTCATCTAAGAAAGTTGAAACAATTCTGTCGTACAGAATGTGTATTTTTTACATGAGCTGGAGAACGTAACGTGAAAGAAATAAAACATTAAACACTTTTAAAACTAAGCAAATCCCAATTAACAGAACTGCTCTATCTTGTAATTAATCACTCCCAGCGCTCCCGGCTCCGGTAATACGATTTAAGATTAAGCACTGCCCAAGGCATTACATGTATTTGAGCCGGTTTTGTAGTCCCCAGCGTCGCCTCATCCACTGCGATTTGGTACATCTTTTGAATAAGTGTAGCCATAGAAGACGTAATTAAGTCCTGTCCATCGGGTCGGTAGCTACCGCCATGCAGTATTTAATTACATCCTTAATTAAAACTATCACGGCGTGCTATTTATATCGGATTCACTTGTTAACTTTTACCATCGCTTTCTTTGGACTTAGATCCCTCCTCCGCCACAGATGTATGTGTGGAAAGGGTTTCATATGCAATTACTTCCCATAATTACAGGAACTCCGAGAATCGGCCTCATACGTTAATGTGTACACTTGTGTAGGCGCTACTTTCGTAGCCGGGTGTGACACCCAGATGGTGGGAACGGAACTTGATTATCGTTCTATTGTATGGATGGAAATTGGGAGAGCTTTCAAAAGCTCTGTGCTGTGGCAGTCTGTGGTACGTTGACACGCTGTGGATTGTAGCAAAGTTTCAGCTTTTCATTAATATACGCTGAATTCTGGAATTGGGAAAGTTTTCTTTTAAGCCCTGTCTAACGTGCATATTTAAATGCTATTTTTTAAGTTATTATTTAACATAGCTGGATGGTTTAAAACTCCAAGCTGCATGATCTAAAACCATAAGATGAATTCTTTACTCCATGCCAATCATGATTGAAGCGAATTCAAAATCGATTGGGAAGTGAACTTTTGCAATCTGGACTTTTGTTTGATGTCTTATTTTATATGCCAGTTGTGGACTGCGGGTGCCATTTAACTAGTATAGTCCACCGATTTCAATTTTGAAATTTAATTGGAACTAACCAAAAAATCACGCAATTCAACAAAATTATAATCTAATACGAGGAATGGGCGCACAAAGAACTTGGTGGGTAGGTGCACGGACAGGAGTGATGCGGACATGGACATGAACATGAACGTGGCACTGCTTTAAGGTCGAGGCAACGAATAAAATAGAAACAATAGTTTTTGGCCACAACACGAGCTCCATTTCGTTTTCAGGGCGCAGACAAAATGCTGTTTTTGTGTTCGGTGTGTCTGTTATTTGACCGTTGAGTGGGAATCCCAAGAGGGAGTTTTTGTAGTGTGGTATGTGATTCGATGGCGTCGTCGAGACAGGTTTTGTTGACAGGTTGTCGCTGGAGTAAGGGCTTGCTTGTATCTATTTATCTTCTATCTTAATACCCCGCTGTGTCATCTATTATTGATGTTTCCTAATTGTGGGTCATTCGAAAGTAATGCTTATCATTGGTGGGGAAATGGTTCAGCCTTGCGTATGTGTAATTCCGTCTTGATAAAAATTCATTTCGTTCTCTAATTAAAACGCTCCTTCCACACATAGCCAAGGAAGTGTTGGAAGGGCACTTTGTATGTAGATTTTATTGAACATGTGCTTAAAAGAAAAATGTGTATGACAGTCGCAATTCGGTTCGGTTGGCGAGCCTCAAAGTGGGCTGCTCTTTGACAAATTATGTCATCCCCTACTGCTTTTGCTGCTGCTTCCAGTGACGTCGCCGGTATGAGTCACGATTTGATTCTCAATTGCTCTTGCTATTGAACAACTTAATTTTTCTTCGCTGACTGCTGCTATAATCAGCAACTAGTATTTTGCAGCTATCAGTATTGTGCAGTATAGCACAAATACCATATCAGGCTTAAAGAGTGTTCAGCCTTCGTCTCTGCAGCGATATGTACATACCTATTTTTATTTCATATTTTTAAATGAAGAATTCTGTGATATCACAAAGTTACAAGTGTATTTCAAAATTTCTGCCCGCAACCTTCCGCTTCCACAAAGGACGATCTGTGGCATCCACAATTTTGAAGATACGATATAAAGAAAAACGCAGTATCGTAGAGAATGACCATATCTATTTGATTGCCAAATCTGTCAGCGATAAAATATTTTAATATTCCACATAGATCATAAGCTCACATATACTGACTAAGTACGGGTATAAAAGTTGAGTCGCGGCAACAAAAGAAACTCATACAAACTCTACAAATATATATATATATATATTTTATATATGTATGTACATAGTAAATGGCCGTCCGTGAGAGTTTGTGCATTGATGATCGCACAAGTACCGTCCAGAGGTTATTTCTCTCTACCAATGAGTTTTCTATATTTATCCAGCAATGCCGTTGCATCATCTTTCTTTCTGGTCCTTCTACCGCAGAGATGAGATTCTAGACATATTCATGCAATATTAAAATGAGAGAGAGAGTGGCTTATCTCCGTTCAGAGAACTAAAATATCATTATTTAATATGTTGTGGGATGGTGATAAAGTCGACATTCGGTTGTCGTTCAGCTCGAAACGAGTTTGTTTCTCTCTATTACTTTTTCTCTACGCATGTGGCTCTGCTTCCCCTTATCCACAGCGTGGACAACAAAAATGGGAAGCAAATATACAGAAGAGGCAGATAAAAGCGACAGCGCGATAATGATACGATTGGAATGAGCTGAACGGGGGAAGAAGCAACAAACAAAATACACGATGGGAGAGGTAGAGCAGAAATACGCTCTCACGAAAAGTGGGTTAGTAAGCAGCAGCTGTAGGAACTTGGCCGATATTTAAGAGCTTTGGGATCTCACACGATGACGAAATGCCTCCACCGCATACATATATCTCCCCCCCCACACACACACACACTATAGTACTGCCAGCCCTGCCAGCGTCTGCGCTGCGTCGATGCCGCAGTTCGCGGTTAGTGCTGACACATATTCGAGTACGTACCCTTTAGCGATGGAGATATATTCACTTATCAGTGCGCTAAAGGAATTAGTATGGACTATCATAAGATATAAAAGCTCCATGTTGCCATTATAATCGTGTATCAATTAAATGGCCACGCTAGCAATCAAAATGTCCTTCCACCCCACGACGCTTCTTGATTCATGAAGAATCACAAAACAGTGTATCCACTATTCGCCCACGGGAGGCTCTTTTGCTGTATGGTTTCTTATAGAAAGCATTGACTTTGAACCACGCTGCCAAGGTATATGAAGAAATAGGTAAGGCAGAAAGCCACATCACTCACATATATGTACAAATATGTGTGTACATATGTATGTATGTATGTATGTTTCCTCACCTGTCGCAAAGAGCGCCAAAGAGTGAAGGAGAGAGGGTGGGATATATGACTCTCTTACCTTCTATTTAATATACCTCATGCTCTGCAAGTGTGTTGTTTGTGTAATGTTTACGGAATGTGTGAGCACAACAGAGAATGATAAACAACATGATGGAACGAACGCGTTAACATTAGCGGGTTGAAGGAGAGAAAAGGGCAAGGCAAAATGTAGATAATAACTGTAGACGCAGTCGCAGCCGCGTGCCAGAGAGCAGAGAGAGAGAGAGGGAGCGACTTCCACCAACAAATAAAGTGAAATAAAAATTGAATGGTCTTCACCGCTCCCCCGCAGTCGCCGTCGCAGCTGGCGTCGTTACTATAGGGGCCCAGAACTATCAGCGGCAGCGACGCCGACAACGCCAGCCCCAGCTCTTGGATGTAAATGTCGACCGTTGGGGCGTTGTTAGTCATTTCGGTTCGTTCGTTCGCTTGGCCAACACATCCCCCAGAGCAGAGAACCTAAGACACGAGAAACGCGCCGCCGCCGCTGCGTATCAGTTCTAACGGTAGTTCCGAAACTTCCTCCGCGTCGCGTTATAGCAGTCTCAGTTACAGTTGCAGTCAGCATTCCAAAACCAAGTACGTGTAGCAGTGTCAAATATCGGTGCAAAGCTTCTCCGCAATCTCGTAACCGTAAGCTATTTTTAAGAACTTGGAAAATGTGAACCTGACGTCAGCGCGTACACATTGCGGGAGCAGCATAATCTTCGACATAGAAACCCAACCCAAATCATCCGCGTCCCAACTTTTACTCCCACTCGTTCTCCCACTGTCGACTGTCCATCCCCTTCGATCCGGCGCCGTTCACATGCAAATTGTAACCCAATTGTTTGCTCATTTCTGTCATTACCAGCGTCAATTAGAGGCGGGTAGGGAGAACGCGGAAGCCAGGGGACGGGATGAGAGTCAACAGACCGAATAACATGCACACACCGCGACCACCTGCCACCAGGTGTTGGCTCTAGGACTGTATACACACATTATCCCTGATGATTTGATTGCCGCCACGACACGCGCTGACCCCCATCAATAACCAAACATCAGAGAAAAAAACACAGCAGAAAGAACAACCAACCCATATAAGACTGTCTAGCTCTTACATATGTACATACATATGCACATTCTACGTACATATGTGCATATGTCCTATGAATCCACCGAGTGTGAGATATAAAAATGTCCAAACTGTGAATTCCTAAGAATTTCTAATCGTGCCGAAGTCCCTTCCCACTAAAGATGTTTTCTGTCATCGCACGCTTGAGACCGGCATGAACCTTCCACCAACTGCTGCCGTGAGAGATCTTTCCAGAATTATCTTTAGATAGCGAATGTCGAATGGGGGTTTCTATTGCCCCACAACTAAATGTGCTCTGCTATTAAAAGCTCCAATTAAAGGTGGCAAGGCAGCTGCTGCGCGGGCAACAAGTGGCAATACTTTATCTGAGGGTTGGGAGAAACGCCGAAGGCTTCTCTCAGCGAGATAAAAGCTCGACCTGCCGCTAAGTTTCCGATTTGGTCTGGGCATGGAAAATTTCCAATAAAATTTGGCACTACGGCAGTAAAAGTGCTTGAAAGTTGAGAGTGGGCGTACAGTTGGCGATAGGGCGACGTGCGGGCCATCAGGCAATTAGCCATGTTTGAAAAGTCGCCCGTCCATGGCAAGAATAACGAAAACTAAACAGAATTTATAAATGGATGGTCGGCTTTATCGCGAATATCGCCAGAAAAAACACTCCAGACTGAATTGAACTAAACGAACGAACGAAAATTGAAGGTGCTCTACGGGGCTCGGGGTCTTGGAGAGTGCTGACGATGACTGAATTTATTTATTGTTTATTATTATTTATTATTGGGCCAAATATGTAGATTGTTTAATTTTCTTATGCGCTCTTCGGGGCCAGGGTGTCAGAAACACTCGCCTGCTCGCCTCAGACTTTGCTCCAGCTCGTGGCACAATGGCTGAGTCGCGTGCTCTCGCTCTCTCATGATAATATTGATAAATTCGTGCGACTACGACTATATGACAGTGTTCGTCAAGTTCTCCTACTGGTGGCCGTTCTCCTTCTTATATTCATTCTCCGCCGGTACCCCCTTATCAAATTAGCGTGCGGGGCTACATTTTCTAATTAAAAGTCGAAGGCAAAACGGGGTGTGTTTGCTAACCCCCATTACCTCCCTAGGGACCAGTATTTTATCAATATGCAAATGGCTACGGACGCAATCTTATCGCAGGGCTGCGGGAATTGTTAGTTACGTAAGGGGCCCCTACTGGAACTCTGCAATTACTCATCCCGACTTGAACACCTGGGTCGACCAGACTGTCCATGAATCATGGGGAACAATAATCTCAAGTAGGAGTATTTACAGCACTCGATGATTGCTTATCGGAGCCCCCGAAATTTCGAATGAACTCAGTGAGAAATGTGGGCCAGATGTCCAGGTGTGCTTATCAGCAAAGCCATAAGTCCCTAGCCGAGAGTCATATTCATACTCGTACACTCCCAAGACCTAAAATTTGGTAGATAAACATTTCTATTGTTTGTCTAGCTGCCATCGTCGGGCTATCCCCTGTTAATCGAAAAGCGAAAGAGACAAATAGAATGTCTATAAAAACGGTGTGCATCAAACGATGCAATTTATTTCGGAGATAGTCGGATAATAATTATTCCGAGCATCAAGAAAAAAGGTTGCAATAGAATATCTATCTATCTATCTATCTATGTCTGTTTGAGTTAGATAAGGAAATATAATCATGAGCAATTGGAGAACGGAGATTAGCACCAGTTGCCCGAAATTCCAGCAGTTCGGATAGTGTCGATGACAGGGCGGAATCTTCCACTGATATTTTACACCAGAAAACAAGGAATTAGTTCTCAGCCCGAACATCCATCAGGGTCGTGTGCAGATCCACCTGCATGATGACTCAGTGCTCTGGTGGATTCAACGTTGATACCGCCTATGGCCATCATTTGGTAGCGTAGTTTTGTTTGTTTTATGGCCAGATACCCAGATAGTGGTTAAGCCCGACTAACAATTCGATGACTACAACACGGCACTTGGCTGACGATAAGCCCGCTGTAGCAATCGACGACCGACATCGGAATAGACAGACGCACTGCCAACGACTTAAAAAATTTGTCCATAAATACAATACAATACATAAATGCTAATAATCAGAGCCAACATAGCAGCCCACTCCGTCGGTGGGTAGCAGCAGCGGGTGGGGCACATGAGAGCGCTGCGAATTTCACACCAATTACAGCCTCCATTTTATCAAAGGCCTGTTAATAGTGGCGATTATAACCGTCCTAAATTTCAATTAGCAGGTGTCTATGGATTCAGTCTGATTACTCATCCATCTAACCATCGACACTCTGATCTCTCTTTGCAGCCGATCTCCGAGCTCCGATCACCGATTACACAATGTGCCTTTCCTCGCCATCACTAGCGCCCGGCCAAAGCCAGGCAACCGAGAGCCAATGCAACGGGTCATGCAGCCTGGACAAGAATGGGAACCGCAGCAGCACCACCACCACTAGCAGCAGCAGCATTAACGGAGAGCTAAAGCACAGAGGCCACTCCACAGAGGATAGACAGACCAAAGGGCCCAAGAGGGAGATAGACGATAATTTAGGTTATAAGGAGGAAAATGCCGTGTATAAGGAGAACCCCGAGAAGGGCCAGAAGATGCAGGAGCAGCAGCAGCAGCAACTGCAGGATAAAGAGGAGGAGGTGTACAAGCCACAGATCAGATGGCCCGATCTGGGGGCCCAGACCTTCCTGCACGTTGGTGCCCTCTACGGCGTCTACCTGCTCTTCTACGCTAAGTTCTACACATTCCTCTGGGGTGAGTATCCACTGTCCTCCACACTCTTCCGCATCGTGATCTGTAATTAACATGTGTAACAAATGAGTTTGTGCCTCTACCTGGTCTCCGCTTGTCCGTAATTCATAATTACTTGAGGCAATAAGCAAACATTATATTAGCTATTTGGTAAGCTGCGCTTCTGGCTCGCCAGTTTTTTTAGTTGGCCATAACACACGCATTTAAAGTAGGGTATGCAATCATTCATTTGGAGGAAAAACTTTAGGAATGGTCAGCGAGGAGCGGATGATAAAATATAACAGATTTCACTTAGGAATGATAAAGAACCTATTTATAACAGTGGGGAAGGGAATATTTTATCTATATTTAACAGTGGCAGAATAGACTTTGACTAGCGGCAATTGAACTTAACGAACGCTTAAATTGCCAACGTCGAACAATTTCGAACAATAATCGAAGTGACAGAGAACGATTTCCGACATCTAGGCCACCCCGAAGAACAGAGAATAGATATATTTAGTATTGTGTCATGCGGTGAGCAAATTAAGCGGGGCAAAGTCAACAGAGCGAACTATTCAGATACCTATGTACATATATGTTATTTGCTATATACAGATGGCAGTGTGTGTGTGTTTGTATATATAAACAATGACATTCTACTGTGCTCTTTCTCCCTCTTTCAGTGGTTGGCACCATCTGGGTATCGGGCATTGGGATCACGGCGGGTGCGCATCGTCTCTGGTCGCACAAATCCTACACGGCCTCCTGGGTTCTGCGTGTTCTGCTCGCGTTCGCCTTCTCCATAGCTGGTCAGGTAAGTGGGTCGGGAAAGGATCTCAGAAGGCGAGAAAAGGTGTTGATAGCACTCTCATTTCTCCTACAGCGTGATGCCTACACATGGGCCCTGGACCATAGGATACACCATAAATTCACAGAGACGGACGCAGATCCTCACAATGCGAAGCGCGGCTTCTTCTTCGCTCACGTGGGCTGGTTGTTCCTCACCCCCCACCCGAAGGTTGTGGCAAAGCGGAAGGTGATCGACATGTCGGATCTGGAGGCCGACGCTGTGTGCATGTTCCAGAGAAAGTACTACATTCCGCTCTTCGCCCTCTGCTCGATCATTCTGCCCGTGTGCGTGCCATGGTACTTCTGGGGCGAGAGCCTCTGGATGTCCTTCTGGATTAACTTCAACATGCGATTCACTTGGACCCTCAACGTGGCCTTTTTCGTGAACAGCGTGGCTCACATGTATGGCAACAGGCCATACGATAAGTACGAACATCCTGATACCTACCTTCACATACATTCCTTTACTTTTTGCTCTCTCTTCTTCAGGAATATCATGTCCGTAGAGACGCCCATCGTCTCACTGCTGGCCATGGGCGAGGGATGGCACAACTACCACCACGTGTTCCCCTGGGATTACAAGACGGGAGAGTTCGGCAACTACAGCCTAAACGTGACAACGGGCTTTATTGACTTTTGCGCCCGCCTCGGTTTGGCCAGTGGACGTAGGTTATGCCTTGATCTCTATGTGACCTTCAACTAATGCCTTGAATATAATCACTGAACAGGCAAAGTTGTTTCCCCCGACATGGTGAAGCGACGCGCGGCAAAGTGTGGGGACGGAACACGTTTCCTGGACGACGATTTCGCCCATAAGGATCAAGTTTGGGGCTTCGGGGACAAGGACTTGCCGCGAGAGGACCTCGCCGAGCTGGCCAAGATGCAGAATTGAGGGTTCGAGCTCTGGCACTGTATTATCTTTGCAACCTGTGGTTTCAATAGTTTTAAGTTTAAGTTGCACCAGTCGCCTCATCCCAGTCCCAGTCCCAGTCCTATGACCAATCCCATAAATCCCCGTCTGAGCACAAGTTCGCCGTTGCTTTCGTTACTTACCCGATAGTACTCGGGTCAATAAACTATGTTTTGTATTAAACCAAACTGTGCGTTTTGCCCTCCGCTCGACTGTGCGCCTTCCTAGGTATGTATTAGTCTTGGGGCATTTTGCGTTCCTCATGCATATGCAAGCACTCGAAGCTCAGCCCAGGGCAGACCTTCGCCTCGCCGTGTTCTCGGGCGCCGGAAATCGTTCAGTATCGCATGGGTTGGCGTGTGGAATAGACGAGGCAGCGATCAGGGATCACGAATCTGGAATCAGGAATAGTCAGCGATCAGCAATGGAGAAGCAGAGCCAGAATGATGCTGACCAGGATAGCAGCTCCTTGGGGAGTGAGTTCAAAAAGCGGGACGCCATATGGCCTCTGGTGCTGTTCTACATCCACGTGAACATTCTCGGCCTCTACGGAATCTACGTTCTGGTGTCGAGTGCCGATTGGTCCACTATTTTATTCAGTGAGTTCAGAAAGTTAATCAGCTCAACGTGCTGCCTAACAAATGTGTTGGTTCCACTCGCCCTTCGATCTCTCTCCCCTTCCACAGCTGCGCTCCTGACGCTTCTGGGCATAATGGGGGCCACCGTGGGCGTGCATCGGCTGTGGGCCCATAGAACGTTCACGGCATCGAAGCCTTTGCGGGTCTTCCTCATGTTCTGCCAGACAATGGCCGGCCAGGTGAGCTTACGTGCACGACCCCGCTAGCTTCGGGTGACTTAGCAACTGGTAAAAGCGGTCCAAAAAGCTTTCGTCTGTGCTTTTAGCACCGACAAAAACCCAACCGGTTCACATTTTCTCTTCCGTTTCTCGTTTTTGTGCCAGGGCTCCATTTACAGTGTCGTCCAAGCCCACCGCCTCCACCACGACAAGTTCCAGCAGGACGAGGATCCCTACTACAGCAAGCACAGCTTCCTGTACGCTCAGGTGCGCGGCGGTCTCCTCAAGTACTCGCCCCAGCAGGAGGAGCTCTTGAAGGACGTGGACATGTCGGATCTGGAAAGTGATTCGATAGTGATGTTCCAGAAGCGGTAGGTGACTGGTGAACTTTTTCTCAGCTCTGTTATTATTCTCCGATTCCTCGGATATCTTTGTGATCTTCAGCTTCTACGTTCTGCTGTACATATTCTTCAACATTCTTCTGTCGGTGAACACCCCTTTCCAGTACTTCGGGGACTCCCTGTCCGCCTCTATGTTCGTGGGCTTCTGGTTGCGCAGCCTGATCGTGATCAACCTGGGAAATCTGGTGAACTCTGCCCACTTTGTGTGGAGCATCCACAAGGGGTTCAAGCCCACCGACTCCAACAGCATTTTCATCATCACGAAAAGCTACTGGCCCCAGTTTCACTACCTCCTGCCCCAGGATTACCAGAGCGGGGAGTTCGGCGACTACGCGGGCGGCGTGGGGGCCAGTGTGATCCGCGTTTTTGCAGCACTCGACTGGGCCAAGGATCTGCGCACCGTCGGATCGGTGGCCGTGCGCCAGGGCCTGACCCGAGCGGTGGAGACCGGCCGTCCTATTGTCGAGTGCATTAAGGAGCAGGTGCGGCTCGAGGAGAATGCCCTGCCCGCCAATCACTTCCTCAATCGCGAGAAGTTCATGTGAAGTCCGTTTGGCTGGTCGTGCGTCTTGCTTGGCTTGCGACTTGCGTCATTCGTCTTCGAAATGATGCGTGAAATAGTCGAGGCAGTCGTAAAAATAAATTAAGCACCAACAATTGGCCAAGAGAGTAGGGTAGAGGGAGGGGAGCAAACACGAAGCCTAATTATTGGCCTGATACACAAAGCTGTGGACGTTTCAGAGTTTGGGTCTGCGTTTGCGTCTGGGTTTTGGGTTTGGGTAGCAAACAAAGGTAAAGCTCGATTTCCACTTCGGCGTGGGCTCCATATGGGCAAAGGAGTGGGAAGAGGAGTCGGCGTCGGCATCGCCATCGGCATCAGATGCACTTGGCCAGCATTTCTCAAGAGCAACCAAACAAGCTCACAAATCAAAAATAACATTCATTAGGTATTCCAATTCGGTGTAAAGTTCGAGATTGTTTTCGAACTTTAGCCGGGCTCTTTCTCTTTCTGATTGCTGTTTACGGATGCCAAATAAATTGGCATTTGGCAATCGGTTCGTTTGCTTTCCCATGATCGTTTCGGATCGGATAGGGATAGCGCTTATGCTCGGTCTCGGGCTCTTTACGCAAAACTGTATGGGACCTAATGATTTGATTGCCCATACGCAATGTGTGCCCAGTACCAGGTGGAGCTACTGATTGATTCGTCAATATTGACGACGCACTCAGTATCTGCCGCCCAGAAGCCTGCACTGTTGTCAATGCCGATAATCCCTTCTCTACTTGGTGGCAGCCTCAACAGAAGCTCCTGCCTGGAGGTAGCTTAGTGTTTGCCCATTTAACACGGTTTAGGCAAACGTATCGCTCGTCAGAACAATCGATGCTAGGACCGTGCAAAGCGCTGGTTATCCCCATCATTTACCCCTCCCCTTTGGTGGGGCCGATTCCCAGGGCAAGGTGTGAACATTCCAAATCGGAAATTACTCATATTCGAGTGTGGCCTGCCACTTGTACCAATTCCTAATGACTATAAACTGAAGTATTTACTAATGAATTTGACTGCTAAAAGCTGCGTTTACTAGTACTGTCTGTTTGCGTTGCGTTGCTGTTGTGGCAGCCGAAAATCAGTAATCCGCTCCACAGCACTAGGCTCCACTCCGTTTGGGCCTTTTGTTGCAAATTGCAGTCTCGTCGTGTTCTCCGCTTTGTTGTTTTGTTAATTTGTTTTCCATAGACCGTCTGAGAGACAGTTGAAGGTTGCACAAACACGGCTCTGTAGTACGTGGAGTACGCAAAATCTGTTGCCTTTTGACTTTTCAGATTATGTAATGCCTAATTCCCAATAACTAATATGTAATAACTAACGCCTGGTGGCGTAGGTAGGGCCATACATACATAGATGTGTGCTCGATTTGAGCAGGTGTTGCCGCTTCATACTCTATGAAGAGTAGCCCTGAGAGCAAACATATATGGAAGTCACCAATTCACCAATACATCAATTTATCAATTCAACTATTCACCAACTTGCGAACTAATCGCTGGCAAATGGTCGTTTCATACGGATGAATAGATTTCTTTTGAGCGTAGCCAAGAAGTACAAAGAATACATACATACATATGTACATACCTTCAATATATTATTATAAAGTACTACATACATATGTATATGTATGCATATGCGATCCCAGTCAGCTGCTTTGTTTTGGGGGACTTTTCGAGCAAGAACGCTGGTGTTCACGACTTTGGTAAGCTCATAAAAAACGCTGACAATGCGAAAAGAGAAGCTGCGCAATAGTATATCAAAGTGGTTTCAAAGATTTCCAGTTTGTTGTTTGTTTATAAACAAAGCATTCCAGTCAGTCCTACCCTGCCCTTCCGTCGTTGTCTTTGGGGCCGTCTCTGGTGTAAAATGTTCGTACAATTTGAAAGCGTTTTTCTGCAGATGTCCGTCGTTGTCATCGCTGTAGCTGCCGTTGCTTTGCATAATTGGCTAATGGCCAGTGCTTACAACACCGCAGCAGCAGCTTTAGCACATCATTGGACTCTGCAACACCATCAGCACCACAGCAGTGGGGCACCACCTATCAACAGACATCAAAGGGATTGGTCGCGTGACATTTTGAACGTCTTTGAACGGATGGAACGAGTACTACTAACTGGGCTGGGGAGGTGGTAAACTCATTTTGGGGCCCGAGTTTTACGAGGAGAAGAGCTTCCTTTTGGTTCGGACTATTTTATTTCGTTTCGGGTTTTCTGCTTTTGCTTTTGGACTTTAATTAAGTTTTGGTTGGGTTTCGGTTTCTGTCGCCGAGGTTACGTAAAGAGAAAGCCACTCTTCTCTTCTGCTTGGGTCTGTGTTTGCGGTCTTCGGGCTGCGCCGCTGCTGAACGGCTTTTGACTTCAGTCAACACTAACACTCACACGTACACAGAGAAATGGAAGTATCTGAAGAAGATGACTCGAATGTATTTTATTGATCTGAGCTGTGCCGCTTGCAAAAGGAGAGATTGAGTCGGAAACTATGCAAATAGGGCAGCAGAATCGGAGAATCCACTGCCAGCCTTTGACTGGGATCCACTCACTTCGCCTGAATTAGAAATCGCTTCTTTCTTTGTAGACTATGTAGGTTTTTTTTATCATTTACGTTATATTTTGATTACCTGCTAAGCCGAAAAGATATTGTAATGGACTTCAATTCTTTGGCTTCCAGCAGTTTGCAACACAAGATGGATTTGCAAATCCGTTTTATGGAAAGCCTATATCTCTCAATTAGTATCGCCGATTGCTGCTCAAACAATAAATAGCAAATGCAATTAGAAGCGCCTGCGCGGCAGCTTCGTGCAGCATTCGTGAGTAATCGCTAGGAGCACCGGCAGACTTCTTGTCGTTTGGCCCAGCCAGCCGCGGTGAGTGGGAGAGCGAGAGAGATATAGCATGTCCGATAATAATGCATCGACTCTCTGCTACCCTTGGCATATAACAATCTAAGCAAATAAAGCTTATAGCAAAAGTGTTTTCTATGGTAGCATTTAACTTTGTTCTTTCTGTTTCATATCCAAATATTCATATTAAATTTTGTTTGAACATGTACATATGTACATATATTTGATTTCAGTCCTACCGATATCTTGCATATAACCGAGCCAGACGACTAAAATCAATATTTATTTGAGTATATCGGATTTTGGTATTATCCTATGGCTGAAGGTTTCCCTTCGCGATGCATGACCGGACCTCCCACTCACTTGGCGAATGTGATGGGCAGCGGATACGAATCTGCTGGCTTTACTGCTTGCGCGCTCGTTGCTACAGGTGGTTCGTTCGGCTGTCGGCTCGCATGAGTTTGCGAATGTGTGTGTGGTGCCATAATCTTGGCCTTCTTGCCATCTTTTATTTTCTTTTCTTCTCTTTACCTTTATGCGTCCGCGCACCAACACACAACAAAAAGCACGACAACGGAAACTCCGTCCGTCAGTCGGTCAATCAGTCAGATTGTCTGTCTCTCTGTTTTTTGTTTCTGTCTCTGCCTCAGTCGCTGCCTTTGATTGTGCTGCTTCTGCTGCTGCTGGAGCCAGTGGAGCCCCCACAGCCATTGGTAGGAATTTACACTTTTGGCTACGATCATTTGTCTACGGAACGGCGCCGCGTCGAGTTCGTTAGAAACAGCAGAGCGGAACAAGCGATTCCTGCCAAACGTCCCACCAAGTCTCCGCCAGCCCCGAAGAAACACCGCTGACCGAACTAAAGGGCCGCGCCAGTGACAGTGTTGAGTGCGCGTTCGCCATCGCCATCCGTCTCCCCCCAGATAGCCAAGTACTCCGACTCCAGCTGCAATTAAGTTTGTTTTGTGTGTTAACCTGTGAAGAAAGTTCGGAGTGCTCGGACTGTTACGAAACGCGGTTTCCGCCGGCAAACCCAAGCCCAGGCCCCAGCCCAAAACACCTCTTTGCCAGCGAAGTGAGTGCCACCTGAGCGAAGGCGAAATGGGTCACCTCTCCACGTCGGAGCGAGTATGCAGCAAGACGCCGATCCCCAGCAGCGGCGAGGGAAGTCCTCCGCTGCTGTCCCGTCGTTCTAAGCTGAGCGGCGATTCAGCTCAGGCACGCCGGGGTGAGGATTCCTCCCCGGAACTGCCCCCGCGTGGCAAACTGCCGCTCCCCAAGAGCCTTTCGTCAATGAAGCCGGCAGCTTCGATAGTTCCCAAGGACCTCGTCGATCATGTGCCCAAGGACCAGATCGACCTGGAGGTATACACGAAGAACTTCCAGGGGGACAAGGTGCTCGGCTATCAGTTCCTGGCGCCTCTCAAGTGGGACAAAGTCATCCAGATCTCTTTGCTCCACATCGTGGCCGTCGTCTGCCTGTTCACCTATCCCCTGCGCGACCTCAACCCGTACACGACGCTCTGGTGTAAGTATGTCAGCCCCCATCCGGCATTGCGTAACCCCTTGTCTATCTGTCCGTGCATCTCCCACTCTCTCTTTCTCTGGCCACGAATTAGATTTGGAAAGGTGTGGAAAGAAAGAGTCACCTCGCCTCCACTCACCAACCGATTTCCATCGATCGCTGATGCCGTGGCAGATGGCGTTGTTGATGATGTTGTCTCTTCCCGACCACACAATTATTTGCAATTTAACGCTCCCTCCGCTTAACGCCTCTTTGGGTTTTCTTTTGGGCTGTGTATCTATGTTGCCCTTTGGGCCCCTTCCTATTGCCTTTAATTAAGTGCCGCTTAACATGCTGCCTCGCTTTCAACTCTCGTCGGCATTAGCGTCTTCTTCGATGGGTCTTGGGTTGCCCAATGTTGAAATTTCTTTCATTTGGATTTGGTTTTGGGTTTTGGCTTTGAGTTGTTGAATGTTTTGTGCTTCTTTTTGGTATGCAATTTCAGCCTCAGCACAAAATTCGACTGACACAGGTGGATTGCGGAAAACGAAGCGAAAACAAAGAAGCCACTAAATATGCGGCCAGCAGAAGAGAAACAAGAATCGCTTGACACAAATTTATTTAGGGCTTGCTGGCTTCACCCCGTTGTTTCTCAGGCGAGCAGCCCAAGGTTGCTTCATCTGCCCCCACCACATCGACTCATCGACCACAGCACACATTGCGCAAGTCGCAGATGAGTTGCCGGTACGGTAAACACTCGATGGAGGCTCACTCAGCGGTGCGTAGGCCAACAGTCGCCCTGCCCAGGGCTCCTCTGAGGTCGGATTTATGGGCAATCCACATGCGAGGCATGAGGCATATGACGTTGACATTGAGACAGACTTCAGACTACAGACAGCAGAGGTAGGGGATCCTCTGCAGCCGATTTCGTATTCATTGGAATTACCAGTGCATACACGGTCTCTCAGCGGGTACTTGGGTACTTCCCACTTAATGGGAGTACCGCGAAAAATGCCTTAATAGACTGTAATTTTTAATATTTATTGCTCATTGTGCGGGCCAACCAAGGGCCAAAGGGTTCGGATGTAAGCACCAGGAATCCAGTATCCTTGTGTGGACTTGGTCCCTATTTGGGGCGTCGAGCTCGTAAATATTTTGGCAAATTGCCCCTCGAACGTGCAACGCCTGGTGATGCTCAACGCTCGATACACGATGCTCGAAATTATCATCTTTTTGCCGGTTTTTTGATGGCGAAAATTGTCGTGCTGAACACAGAAGATGTTGATTAAACGGTGAGGACGGAGACGGAGAGGACTTACATAAGCGGTCTCACATTCGGCGATAATGAAGCTGGGCCAAAAACTAATATGTATGGATGGCCGTGTCGAGGTCTATGTGCCGAGAGTCAAGTCAAAGCACTGCCTGGGATAGGGACGCTTTTTTGGGTGCAAGATAACCCTTTCTTGGAATATCTAATGCAGCTTAGCGATTTAGCGATCTCCAAGTCAACACAATCGACACGCGTAGATACAATTTCGGCAACGCAGCTGGATTGGACTGCGCACCTCCCTGAACTTGACCCATGCATTGGCCACAGGCATGCACCACATTTGCAATTCAGATTCAGATTCAGTCAGATCTTCCTCTTCGTCATTCTGTTGTATATACATACATGTGTACACTGGGTCTTGGATCAGTTCTCGAACTCTGTCGAAACTACTCAAGCCACAAGACTGTGAAGGTTAATATTTCCTCTATCGATGAAATTCCCGCCAGAGAAATCGTTAAAAGTTCATTAGTTGGATTCAGAAATGTGAGGTGTACGAGGAATTCCATTCGTCCGATCGTAGAATCGTTAGGGGACACGGAAAACCCCACCGATAGGGCTGCCAAATGATGCACGGACCGATCGGCAATTAACTCTAATTGCACTCACTCGAATTATTCAATTGATTCGATGGTGACAGTGGCATTTTGCATATTCTAATTGAGAAATTAGTGGAAAAATACATCTGGCAATGCAGCTGGCTGAAAGATGCCTATGCGGGTGCCAAGTCGCCTCCGATGATTGTCGGAATCGTGAAGTTGAATGCCATGACTTGAGTATCAACTACTTCCCCTCTGGTCCGACCTTGCAGCTATCTCAGATCTCAGATATCGTTGTTTGTTCGGGGAATTAGCGTGGAAGCTCGAATAGCTCAATTTGCGGAAATGTAATTTCGGTTTTTTCTTTTCGTATCTAATTAGCACACTATTTTGGACAGGTTTTATAGCCGAAACTTACACACATCTCCCGTCTCCATCACTCATCACCCGTATCTTTTTAGCGTTCTTCGTTGGTGGCGTGGCTGGATTCGGAGTGACTGCTGGGGCCCATCGCTTCTGGACCCATCGCAGCTACACGGCGAACACTGTGCTGCGCTCCATTCTGATGATCTGCTACTGCGTGGCTGGACAGGTGAGTTACGACACCATGCAAACATAACCTGAGACACTTACCAATCCATTTGGGGCGGTCCTCGTCCTCAGCCTACACCCTCGACGGTTTTTGGGGGGTTTTTGTCTACCGCTGTAATGCCATTAACATTAATTGCATCATTAAGTATAACAACTTAATGCCTTTCGCGGCTGACAAACTGTAAAATTGACAATTCCGAAAGCTACTAGGGCAAGAGAGAGACGGTGCTGTTGCTGGCAAAAGTGCTTTGTGTTCGAGTAAAGATACATTTGTCTTATTTAATGACTGCAGCGATTAAGCTCAACTCGAAAACCCTACCTCAGCAGAAGCTTAGACGGAGACACTGCCCGAGATAGAGATAGAGACAGAGACAGACTTAGTTGGATATTAAGCCGAACAATATATTTTTATTTCGCGTAAATGCCAAATTTATGAACCGAACCCCTCTGACTCACAAAAGAGCACATACTCACGGAACCTCAGGACGGGAGGAACTTACACAATATGATGGAAAATCTAATTCGCATCCGATCTTCTTGCAGAACACCCTGTACGATTGGGTGAGGGACCACCGCGTGCACCACAAGTACTCGGAGACGGACGCGGATCCGCACAATGCCAACCGCGGATTCTTCTTCTCGCACGTGGGCTGGCTGATGATGCTGAAGCACCCGGATGTGCTACGTCGGGGCCGCCAGATCGACATGAGCGACGTGCTCGGCGATCCCGTGGTGCGCTTCCACCAGAAGTACTTCATACCCCTCAAGATCTTTTTCTGCTTCATCCTTCCCAGCGCAGTGCCAGTTTACTGCTGGGGTGAATCCTGGCAGCTGGCCTTGATCCAGCAGTGCCTCTTCCGATACGTGAGTAGCCTGAACTTCACCTGGTCAGTGAACAGTGCTGCCCATCTCTGGGGATCCCGTCCGTACGACAAGTGAGTGAGATTTAGGAGAGCCTCTGTTCATCCGGTTTAATACTATGATTCTCTCAATAGGCGAATTATGCCCAGCGAGAACATCTACGTGTCACTCGTGGCCATGGGCGAGGGTTGGCACAACTATCACCACGTTTTCCCCTGGGACTATAAAGCAGCTGAGCTGGGCAATTACGGAGTTAACTTCACCACCATGGTTCTCGACGCCTTCCACAAGCTGGGATGGGCCTGGAACATGAAGCAGCCATCCAAGGAGCTCGTCCGCCGCACCCTCGAGAAATACGGTGACGGCAGCCATGCCTCCCAGATAGGAGCTGGTCTGGAGGGCTCATTGGCCGGGTCCTCCCAAATGGTGGGACACTTCCACTACGCAGAGGTGCCCGACCCCGAGCTAGAGTACGATGCCGAGTCGAGCAGCACAGAGAGCGCCAAGCTCGATGAGAACGAGAACGAGAGCGAGCGGCAGAAGAAGGTTAAGAAGCTGGCCACCACCTAGGCGATTCCACAAGCCGATCCACTGAAGTGGCGCTCTCTCAGAATCGGAGACAGAGTCAGAGTTAGAGACGGAGTCAGAGTGGAATGTGGAGAGTGTTGATCGAACACCCCAAATCTTATTCATCCCCATCTGTTCCTATGTATCTGTATCTGTACTTACGCATATGGCACACAGAGCAAGGGCGGGACATAGTCGATAATCGTTTTATAACTTAATAATATTCTATCATTATCTATATCTTCACTCAAATCCAACACTTGCACCTTCAACGGTTATACTCACACACAGATACACACACACCACGCACACATCCTCTCACATTCACATTCGAAATCTCCATTTCTGTAGGTTTAGGTATTTAGCAGCTTAGCACGGTACGACATAAGTTAAGTCACACACAAAATGAACATACCATTTGAGTATGTACATACATATGTGTACACATCAAGCATCATCCTCTCTTCGTTTAAACAAAACGGCGAAACAACACCAACAAAATCAACATTTACAAATAAAAATAATTCGAAATTAAAGCTGCTGCGTATTTATATTTTGGGTATCTTTTGCTACTATTCCCAGACAAATTCAGAATGATCAATATTATTATTATAGAGTGATCAACACGATTTAAATGGGATCCACTTCATGGGGACATAATTTTAAAAATCTTGACCCACAACCATGTACAACCTCATCTCGCGCATCCCTATCCCCCATTCACTCATTCACCTACATTTACACACTGACCAGGCTTTGTTTGCTGTTCACAGCATTTTTGAGTTTGTGACGAAATTAAATACAAATGAAAATTCACATGAAAATGGGATATGATGTCGTCGCTATCATCATCATCATCACCTTAATCATAGTTGCACCCCGTGGGCAGGAGTTGGGCTGAGTTAGTTAGTCGGCGGTTGAGCGACAACTGGTTTTCCTTGACTTTGGACTGCGTGACCACAGTTGCATTCGATCAAGCCATCGCGACCACGATCACGGTCTCGGTTCGACCGCAGGAGCTGACGCAAGGAGCCGCAACTAGATAATTGTTCCTTAATCGATTTCCATCTGCATCAGCAGTCGCTCCTCCCTGCACCACAAACTGGCAAGGCCTACGTGCAGTTGGCACGTACACCAAGGTCCAGAACGAGAACCTTGAAAAGGTTCAAGCAAAACTCAATGGAATTCCTGGAGTGGAGCACTTCCCCAACCACCGCGTTTGGGGGCCATGATCGTAAATCTTCAACAAACTGATGCCTCATGCTCTTTATTTTTTGTACGTAGACTTGCCCCTCTCTTGGGGGAAGGAAAAGTAGAGTGCCCTGCCATTAATTTTTAAAATTTGAGCAATGTAAAAAATGCAATAGCTCTGCTCACATTCATTGTCATTGTCATCTCATTAGTGGAATGTTGACACCCACCGTTTCTTAATTGGTGACGAGCCAGTACCCACCCAACGAGCTCTGCCCTTATTACAGGCCTAGGTAGTTGAAGGTTACGTCAGATGGGGAGGATACGAATTTCATCCACATATCAATGGAAACTTCAGAGAATTTTACCCACTCACACTATTATAAAAGGGCCGACCCAGAGTCAACTTTTGATCTGTTCAGAACTGTTCAAAATTGACATATTTTGGTAGATTCACGTGGAACGTGCGAGATTTCTTCGGTCCAATCTATTTCTGGGCTAGGCCTACAACTTTGCATACTATTTAAGTCGGGACTGGGTTTGTTTTTGGTTTATTGGTGTCTGTCAGGTCCGCCCTCGTGGCAGCGCAGGGCCTTGATCAACTTAATCTGCGTGGGTGGGAATGTGGGGTCTTCTCCGGCCTCTACGTGCCTGTTTCTTTCTCCGCTGGACCATTGCAAAGGTGAGAAATGTGAGCAAAATGTGCTCGTTAAACTTTTAATTACGAGCATCCACGAGAAAAGGTTGCGGCGTCGCAAAGTAATCAAGTAATCATTTAATGACGTTACCGGGCGACAATTTCCAATTCCAAAAGCTGGCCGCTGTCCAACAAAGCGTTACTAACCTTGCCGGTCGTGGCTCGAGTCGATGCTTGAGCTGGTGCTTGAGTCGGTGACGAAAATCGAACACTGAAACTCGGAAATTGAGTTGCCCGTCATTTGCGTAACTTTTTGCGAATGGAAACCGAAAGCTGCGGACGCTGGAGCTGGGAGAGGTCGAAGAAACCAAAAGCTAGCTTTCCCCTCTCACCCATCAGAGCTATAACTAATTGTGAGCCTATGCCGATGGTGCTGCCGATCGTCTAATCGATAGAAACAGAAAGAAAGGAAAGGAAAGAAAGGGCGGTCGGGGTCGGGGCACCTACTAAATCTACATACATATGTATGCCCATATATGTATGTGGGGGCAGCATCTCTCGGAACTGGTATCCACAAGATACGCATCTGTGCCTGCCGTCTATCTATGCACAGACACGAATCCATGCAATCGTTTGGATGTGGGTTCGATGCCGATTTGGAAAGGGCGTTTTGTAACCCGTTCGTGTGTTCGGGCTCCAGCTCGAGTTTTTCTTGGTTCGGATGCTGTTGGGAGAAGGCCCCAATGCCTAGATGTCATTAGGCAGGTTGATGGCTGGGCTGACCGTTTGATTTATTTTTCGGACCGGGCGTTTGGCTTTGAAATTGATTTCTTCGTCGCTACGAAAAGAAACCGCTTTGTGGTTCCGTTTTTATTGTCTTGGGCACTTTTGCATTGCGGCACCGGGATCGGTGCTTTCATAGCAGCTCGCACTGTCAAAACTCGTTTTCAAATTCGTCAAAGACAAAGCGAACAAAAAAAACTTAAACCATACAAAGCATATTTAGTTCAAACGTCTTGTGACTTGCTCAAATTTTGAATAAGTAAGACATCTAGACACATATGTATGTACATATAGTAAAAGGCATATATATATTTATATATTTATGTATGTATGCATATAAGGAAAGCACGCGGGATTCGACGAGCGACTTGTTTGTTTGTGGCAACGGTTGTGCTGCCACAATGTAGCTCTGCTGCTACGGTCTTCCCCAGCGGTTTGTGGATGCATTCTGCAAATCATTTTCAGAGTTGCGAAAAACCCTTGACGCGGCTAAGATGTCTGCGCCAACAGCAGCACCCTCACAGTCTACAGGTTTTTACAGTCAAGCTTGTTAAAACCACATGGAGTTGCAGTAATCATTTTGACATTTGTCCCCCTTTGTCAGCGCCGTACGGCACACGGCAAGTCTTGCGCAACTGGAGGCCAGTTTTAAAGCTGCTCCGGTCGGGCGCAGACATTTTTTAAGTGCAAGCCATTTCCGGCCCGCCGCCCGAGGCGTGTATTTGGTCGAGTGCCAGAGTGGCCTGCAATTCAGAGCAACTCGGCTCAAATCTGCGCGGACCGAGGCTAATGACATAGACCTTAGAGTTGGAATTTTGTAAGCATTTGATATTGGCTTAGGGGTAATTTAATTCTAGATGTTTCTGATACCGAATATGGGCGATTGCTTGATGAACTCGTCCAGCTTGCTCTGGAACAGCTCGGAGGTAACCACCGTGCCGGGCATCCACAGGGGGTCCCGGACTACGTACTCCACCCAGATCTTGGCGTACAGCTGCTGTAGCAGCTCTTTGACGTTGATGGCGGTCGTGTCCGTGTTGAGCACGAATCTGTAAAAATGCATACGTTTTATAGGGTTTATAATGGCGATGGGTTTCAGCTCACTTCAGTCCCGAGGGCGTTTCCAGGTAGTGAAGGGCGTATCGGTTTGTCTTGTAGTAGAGGAAGCCCTCGCGAGGATCGTAGGGAGATATCTTGCTCACGAACGACTTGATGGAGAAGAGCATGCCGTAGGTCAGCTTGGCTTCCTGAAAGAGGGTGTAATTAAAGTCTTACGCATAGATTTCCCTGACTTTGTTACCTCTTCGCGGGTAATGCCGGATTTTTTGGTGCGGTTCCACTCAGCGTAGTGCATCAGCGTGCCGCACTTGTCAAATATATACAGATTGAAGATGGTCATCTTACGACTGTGAATTGCATTGACAGTGACACCCAGAAGCCGGCTAATTATAGATTATTCCTATTAAATATTAATTAAAATTTTTTATTTAGTTTTGTTATTGTTATAATTGTGTGACCAGCGATTAAAAAAAATACCGTCTGACAATATACCAAAAAATGTATTAAATTTACTATACTATATACCGATATACCAAAAATCAGGAGTGAGTGAAGGAACTTAACCCACTTAACCCCCCTTTATTTAAATAGGTGAACAACTTGAGCTAAATTAGCGGAATATAATAATGTTTGTAGATTCCTCATGTAGATATATCTTTCACCTGAATTGCGCTTTGTTCATTTCAATCAATTTCGTGGGAGTACCCCCTGGTCGACAATGGGCTAACGTTTTGTTTTGTGGACCGGAATCATTTCCCTGATTTTAAAGTTCGATTTAATATTACGAGCTAGCTGAAGCCACGAAGATTTTTCAATAGATTAATCAATTCTCTACAAGGTTGGCTAATTTTTAGAACTAATTTTAATTGGAATTTTTATACAATACGGTTTTAAAGGTCAGAGCATAAAACTTAGGTGTGCACGCAATGTTACGTCATTGTTGCAGCTCCGGCGAGTTTCAGCTATGAGTATGGACATTTTTATACCCTATTTTTTTTATTTAATACCATTAAAAATGATAATTTTCAATTTGCTTTGAAACCTTTTTAACAGGATTTTATCTCAGATTGACCTATTCATCCATTAGTTTTCTGTGTGTATGTATGTACATATCTCGATCACGATACCTATTCTTGGTCTCCTAAAAATTATACATTTCATTAAGATAGCTTTTACAAAAAAAAAAAAAAACTAGTTTCTGCATTTGTTGGAGCCTGGGATGAAAAATATTTCCTCGTGGTATTTTTGTGCAAAAGTGTAATGCATCTCTTCGTTACATTTTAAAAGTGTGTTTGATCTATATAAATATATAAATATTTATTTCATTTATAATTTAGACATTGTTTCTATAAAATATGTATGGGGTGAAATTTTGGTTTTCTCCAGCTATGGATCTTCATTCAGCCCATACTTTTTTGTTGGCTCGAAAAGTTCCACAACAAACGGATTGTAAAGAAATTTCGCTTTATGATTGTGCCCGTTCCCCCTCGCCCATGGTCATTTTTGCACCTTCAGGAACCTTATTTTTATCGCTTTTTCCTGTTGCTTCGGTGCTGCTGTCTTGTACAGGCTCTATGACATACGGATAGGCTTCACCTTGGTCCTCTTCTTGCATACCTCTGGGGCAGTCGCAGAGCGCTCCCTCACGGCCTTTGTAAGAGCTTTGGGGAATACTGGATACAATGATTATTCAAAAAAATTACACAAGGTCCTACCTCATATCGGGTACAATCCATTCCGACAGGTGACTGATTGTTAACTCTGATCAAGCTATAGCTTGGGAGGGTTAGGGCGGTTATCTCTATTTCGATTACCTGAATCGGGACTCAAGTTGTCTAAAATAAATTTGGATTACTATCAGCAGCTATCCTTGAGTACTTTCCTTGATCGGCTTACTATTTCTCGAATTTTTTGATAGATCACGTCTTTCCAAATTATTGCGATTACTGGGGGCTAGACTCTGATCCCGTCTATCGGAATTGTTGCGATTAATTGGGAGTAGGTTGTGGAGCTTGCTATAATAGGCCCCTTCGGAAGGGATTGGTGCCTGGATCTTCCGAGTCGGAAACTCGCGGTAATCGGTCCTCAGGCGCTCGATGGCTTCATCAGGAAATTGTCGACGCGTGACGGCGGGTCTGTTGTTTGTAGGTCGTCGTTGCTTCCCCGCTCTTCCCTCATCATGAGAGCTGAGGTGTGGGGGCCTTCGGTGACGCTGCTCCTCAAGGGATCCCGGGCGGCGTCGCAACTGCGCGGGGTCATCCGAAATCCGTCGGGATCTGAACTCTCCGACACCTGCTGCGAGTAGCGGTCGCCTGGCTTGGTCATGATCATGGTAGGGATACTGAGATCGTCTGTTGAGCTGTTCGTCAGCTCGATTGGACGAATGTCGATTTCTGTTCGAAGATTCCAGGGTTGCCCGGGGGGTCGATCCGTTATAGTTGAAAACAGGCGTTGATATGGCCCCATCGGACACCCTTTCGGGTTTGTGTAATGACAAGTTTCGGGTATTCTCCGTGGTGGGAGTAGACATTCTTTGTGTGTTTTCAGAGGGTGGAGTGGACGATTTCCTGGAATTCTCTGAGGGAGGAGTGGACGATTTTCGCAAAGTATCTGACGTCGGAGTGGCAGATTTCTCACTGGGCGTATTTGGCGACTTTCGGGTATTCTCTATTGGTGCTATGGGTGTTCTACGGATATTCTCCATAGGCGGAGCTAGTGATTTTCGGATTTCTTGCTCGGGCATTTTTCGGGACTCTCTCTTTGACGACATTCCACTACTCCATTCACGCATTGGTCTGCTGCTGCCCACCAATTTGTTCTGCGGGAGCATGGGAACCAGCATCTTCTTTTTCTGAGCTCCTGGATCTGTTGTGCTTGCTCCACTAGAGGCCGTCGATACGGTTTGAGCTTCATTATTTCGCATGGTTTGATGTGGCAGAGATTTCGAGCCTCGTTGGGCTTGGTTTGGCCCATAATTAGAATTCACTTGGGGGCGAAAAACATTAGTGGTTACGTTCGGGTTTACAGTGCACGGGATTCAGACTCACCCGGACTGGGGTCAGCACTCGGTGTGCCGTAGAATGGCGGCAGCCTGGCATTTGTTAGCTCATCGCGATACTCAGCTTTTTCCGTCGTATCGGGAAAGGAGGCAAGGTAGCTGGCACCTCCGGGTAAGTATTCATCCCGCCGCGAGAACCCAGACTCGCGTTGGCTCAGTCCCGGGAAGAATGTATCCCACTGCAAGATGCTTAGATAAATAAATTGCCTCTCTCTTCCATGCTCTGACTTACCCAGTAGAAAATGCAGTAAGCCAAAAAGACAGCAAGGAGGAGGATAGCTGTAAACTTGGTGAACTGAAACATGACGAACGCTAGCAGTCCGAACAGCACCTCGGAGTGGTGCACGCCGAGATAGTCAAGGGTCTGTCGTATATCCGTTGGGCGGAGGCTCGCCAAGTAGTTCAGGCATGTTTCCACGGCACAGCAACTTTGGTCCACCAATTCTGCCATTCTGTGTGTAAGTGGAGTGGTCCATAGCGAGGGGAGGGGGATGTTGGGGACTAGTGATGCCATTTTTTGTTGGCAAAGGATTATGAATGCTCCATGAACTGACTGAAACCCCAAAGGTGGGTAGAATGTTCCGTTTCGTCAATTTTGAATTTGAAACAGAGGAATTTAACAGCTGCGTCTAACAGCACTCTGTTATCACAACTGGAAACAGCTGTTTAGTTCTTGTGTAAATTGTTTTCTGCGATTTTACTATTTTCAAATTTGCAAATTGCAATATACTTCATCAGCGACTTGTTTGATTTAACTTTAACTGTGGCGTTAAATGTCAAATGTTACGACGCACCATGACGGAGTTTGACATAAGAGCCGGTCTGCAGCACGTGTTGAAGCGTATTGACGAAGTTCTTTTGCAGCGTCCAAATGTGATACTGCTGATGACATGGAACCCACTTAATTATTTACAAATCGCAATTATTTATTGAAGGAAATCCAGGCTGCAAGACCTCTCTTGGTGGCTGTCAGCAAGACGAAGCCAGCCGAAGCTATTATAGAGGCGTACGACTCTGGCCAGCGGGATTTCGGGGAAAACTACGTGCAGGAGTTGGTGGAGAAGAGCCAGCACCCGGACATAGTGGCTAAGTGCCCCGCCATCAAATGGCACTTCATCGGTCACCTGCAGAACAACAAAATCAACAAGGTGCGCCTATTTAGACTACACTGCATTATCTAAAGCGTTCCTCTATTGCAGATACTCTCTCTGCCTAATCTGCATATGATCCAAACCGTAGACAGCGAGAAGCTTGCTACCAGGCTAGATGCCGCCTGGGCAAAGTTGAAACCAGCCTCAGAGTCACCGCTCCGGGTTCTCATTCAAATCAATACCAGCGGTGAAGAGGGTACAAAGATGCCAGCCAGTCAGGCGAGCAAATCCCAGTTACTACATTACTTACTTTGCAGCTAAGAGCGGCATCGGAATGAATGAAGCGCCAAAGCTCTACCAGTTCATCAGGAACAACCTGAAGCATCTGCAACTGGTGGGCATTATGACCATTGGAGCTTTTGGCTTCGACTACAGCACAGGGCCAAATCCAGACTTTGTCTCGCTCATGCAAGTGCATCGCTCCGTCTGCGAGGCCAACTCCTTGACCCCCGACTCCGTGCTCGTCTCCATGGGCATGTCAAACGACTATGACAGAGCGGTATGTTAAACGAATCACTAGCTAGGAAACTCTTGTTCATAATTCTCTGTCCGCAGATCGAAATGGGCAGCACCGTGGTACGTGTCGGTTCATCTATTTTCGGACATCGCGCTGTCAAGGCATAAGGCGATCGTCGGCGAGGAAGGAATGCGCTTTCGGGTGTCTGCCCGAATACAGTTGTTTCCCAATGACGTCCAACCTCCCAACTATCCCAAAAAAATCCAAGCGATGCGTAGTCTCCATGTATCGTCTATATATCAGATGGAGATACTAGTATGTGCACATAAATATATATATATTTATATATAAATATATATATATATATGTATTTTGAATTGTAGAATTGGCAGAATTTTTAAAATTAGAAAAAGTTGAGATAAACAAATATTATGTATTGGATGTGTTATTACCTCCCTCTCCACTGTTTGTTGACTAGCGTTGTGGGTCCATTGTTTGCTTCCATAAACAATATTTTAAAATTTTATATAGATTTGTATAACAAGAATCCAAAACGCCAAATCCATTCATCTTGTCAAATACGACGTATCTAGCTTTGGTCTACCTTGGAAAAGTGAATAGATATGCCGAAATTTTCATTAATTTCAACATTCCTTTTAATATTGCTTGCTTTATTTTGCACTTTGTTCTATTTTAAATTTAGCATACAATCAATGCTACATCGGGTGTGGAATTGTGGGCAGTTTTCTTTACATTTTCTTGTTTTTCTTGGCCCTATGCCAAATTGTCTGGTTATGCGCGAGCATTGCAAATGCTACGAAAGTTTTTGCTGAAAATCACTTTCAATGAAGCACGAATGAAACCAAATTCAAAATCGATTTCTATTATGTCTGATCGATGAATTATGAATTCGTTTTTGTGTGATCTCGCCATTAACTGAAAATGCGATTGATATTTATAGCATAAACCTACATGTGTACAATGATAATTTCATTAGAAAATATTTTAAACGCACATACAAATCACAACCAAAATAAATAAATGTCTATAATAATTTCCCTGGAAACCTATCACGATTCAAATGCAACAGATGACATATTGAGTGTTCAGACCCTTCAGCAAAATATATTATTCCTTCTATACAATAAAAAGAAAAAGATTTTTTTTGTGTGACAAATTTCAATACATTTTTGTGTCAAAATGTCTTCTAAATGGGGTTCGGCTCACAAAACCATCCTAACTGAAAAAATTTAACCAAAATGTGGATAAGAGTGGCTAAATTGTATGTATTTGAGGAATTATTCCATTTAATTATAAAGTACAGCTGACTAGATATGTAGTACATGGAAACATTGATTAAATATTTTTCGAATGTTATGCAATGGTAATGGATGACTCGGATATAGATAAGTTCAGATGTTTATTCCACATTCGTTGCCGAAATAACTCTGGCCAAATATCGGGTTCGTTGGATATTTATGCGATATGAAATCCGTAAGATCTGTGTACACATAGAAAGATTTGGAATTCTCTCAGCTCTTCATGTTGCTCAATGTTCGGGGCATTTCAGAAACCGAAAAAGAAACGGAAAAATGCCGAGCGTAGAAATGGGCAAGGCAAAACATCGAATCGGGTATTTATACATAGAACATGCATATATGTAGAGGCTATACATGCTTGGTTCGTGTGTATGTTTGCTTGGATGTGTGCTGCCATGGGAAATGTAGGTGATTTCAGCGCAAGAGGACACCTTTCGGAGGTGGCCCCAAGAGCAAAGATGAGTAAAACAAAACAAGATGAAACAAAACAAAATGTGAATGTCGGAGGGAAATGTATCTACAGCGAAGAGTAGGCGAAGGCAGAAACCGAAACACGAAAGCACGAAAATCATTTCGAACCGCACCGAAATAAATTCTGAACATATGTACACATAGGCAAAAGCCTAGAGAAAAGCATTCTCTCTGCCGTTAAAATTAGATTTTTGATTAGAGCAGCGCCCGATGAGTAAACAACTCGGATACAGCCATAGCTCTTTGGCTTTATACCTATAGATATGGCCCCAGCCCCCCCGCCATTCGCCTGGGCGGACCTCGCCTTGTAGATACTAAAAAAGGCAGCACGAATATTGCAGATACAGATACAGCGATACGTGTGTGTGGGTCCCTGGTGGATAGAAGAAGCACGCCAAAAAGAACTTAAAACATCATTGTCTTGGCGATAAAATCAGCCAGAGATTCAGTGTGCTCTGACCGCTCAACTCGTTTAGACAGCCACATCACAGTTCAGCACCATGGTAAGGATCGGGATATACACCAACCGAACTGAACTGGACTCATCTGAACAGAACGCAGCTGAACGAACATAAGAACTTAACTGCAAGGCTATATGCAGCAAGGACTTGTGCAGTGATTTTAGTTGCATCCGAAAAAGGATAAATTTAAAGTCAATTCAATCGAAAATGAAGTGATCCTTAACGTAATTCCGAACAGTCACCATCGTGTTGACCCCAAATGACTCGCCCATAACTGTAGTGTGTGTATTTAATCGATGAAGCAAAAGTGTGAATGGTCCTTGGCTCCGGATGTGCCACTCCCACGCATTCGAAGGCAGTCGGGAGCAGTTCTATAAATGGACACAAGTGCTATGCGTCAGTAATGTAATTTGATATCCATTTCGGCGAGCGAGCGAGATGGCAAGTGATACACGGCAGCGCTTACGTAACAATGGTCCGGATATTTTTAGATAGGGGGCCATTCAGTGGAAAATTTTTTCCCGAGCATATTTTCGAAACGAAAGCAAATGGGAGGGAACTTTCTGCCTTAGACATTTGACTATTGAACCTTCACATATGACTCCGGACGATCAAATTTTGATTCAAGACTGATACTGATGATTGTTCTCTCTTTATGTAGGCCGATGAGAAGAAGAAGGTTAAGAAGAAGAAGACCAAGGAAGAGGGAGGTACTTCTGAAACCGCTTCTGAAGCCGCATCTGAGGCAGCAACCCCCGCACCAGTTGCCACTCCTGCCCCGGCTGCTTCTGCCACTGGATCGAAGAGAGCGTCAGGCGGCTCTCGTGGCTCCAGGAAGTCGAAGCGCGCCGGCTCCTCGGTCTTCTCTGTCTTCTCCCAGAAGCAGATTGCCGAGTTCAAGGAGGTGAGTTGGCCATGGCCTAACAATTCCCCATATCTACCCCCACATCCGCCATCCACCAACCCCATCCCATTCCCATCCTTAATCCAAATACATATCTATCGCACAAGTCAATGACCAAATCACCAACCCACTCTCTCTCTCTCTGTCTCTTTCTCGCTCTCTCTCTTTCCGAATCCGTGCGTGCTGCGCTGATTAGGCCTTCCAACTAATGGATGCCGACAAGGACGGTATTATTGGCAAGAACGATCTGCGCGCTGCCTTCGACTCCGTCGGCAAAATCGCCAACGACAAGGAGTTGGACGTCATGCTGAGCGAAGCCTCGGGTCCGATTAACTTCACCCAATTGCTGACCCTGTTCGCCAACCGTATGGCCTCTGCCGGTGCCAACGATGAAGACGATGTTGTTATTGCTGCCTTCAAAACATTCGATAACGATGGTCTCATCGATGGTGATAAATTCCGCGAAATGCTCATGAACTTCGGTGACAAGTTCACCATGAAGGAAGTCGATGATGCCTACGATCAGATGGTCATTGATGACAAGAACCAGATCGATACCGGCGCCCTGATCGAAATGCTCACCGGCAAGGGTGAAGAAGAGGAGGAGGAGGCCGCCTAAGCAGTAGCTGAAGCACCAGGCATCCCCGCACACATCCTAACTTCTAACTCAGCATCCATATTACAACCAACAAAACTTTTAAATCAATCAGTCAAAAACAATAAACGTAATTAAAAGAAATGCTCGTTTTACATTTGTAAATTCTCAATATCTATATAATCTCTTTTTGTGAACACTCAAAAACACTCAAAACTTCTTCAACAAGACCTTGGTAGCGATCAAGAATAAGAACATTATCATTATTTAGGGATACTCTCATACGATCAATGTCAAATCACCAACTTGACGGCTAGTTTTCAAGTTGATTTACTGTTAAATTTTACACGTAAAATTTATAAAACAAATGCAAACTATTTTATTTAAAACACGTATAAAATCAACAAAAAAAACTTAAAAACAACAAAACCAAGCAATGTTTATTTTAATCGCTGCTCGTTGAAGAACAAACCACAGAAAGATGAGAATGAAGATGAAAATGATGATGAAAGGGTAGTGGTAGTGGGTAACTAGGATGGATTCGTTAGGCCTAGACGCCCCACAGAGTTTTTTTGTTCGAAATTTGTTGTTTCTCGTTATTGATTCTCGCAGGACAAGGAGAGAGAGAGGCAAACCAAATATTTTTAGAGACATTTATCTGAGAGCCAATTATTTATCTTCTATAAACAAAATATATTGTTATGCATATCTATCTAGCGTTCGTTACTCAGTTTCAATTTTCAATATCAATTATTATGAGTTATCAATTATGAATACAACATATTCAATTTATCAATATTGCAAGTTATCGAGAGTTAGGCTTAATAACAGAGGAAACATAAAGTCCGTTCACTCAAATTGTTTTATGCGAATTTACATAACTTAACCAACCACAATTTTCTGCTTATGAACTATCAGCGTTATAACCAAAACAAAAACCAAATATGATATACAAGATATAAAATATGAAGAAAACGATCAAACAACCAAATCAAAAAGTGTTTCTAGTTAATGCGTTTCAAAAGTACGAGTATCTGGCGGAAGCTAGAACTTTGTCTGTGAAGAATCTTTGAAGAGGAATCTTCACTTTTTGCCCATTCGCTACATAATGGCATGGATGGTGTGCAGGGACAATGGGGAAAGCAAGACGCGGATCAGGTAGTTTGTCAATTCAATCACAGTACATACAACCATTAGTACATAGGCTGATCGAAGGAAGAGGAGAAGCATCCCTTTATACTATGTACTAAATACATACAACACACACAAACCAATTAAATATGCAACAAGTTGTTAAATGCGAATGCGAATCGAATCTTTACTTCAGTATAAATTAAGTTATATGGCAATAGAAAATTCTGAAAACTTTTTTAACCCGGTCAGAAATATTAACAAAAAAAGCTGTTTTTATACAACATATCGATGATGATGATACTGATGACATAGTCTTGGAATAAAGCAAAGGCGAGTCGTCTTGAAAAACAAACCCACTTTTACATATGTGTTTTACTGAAGGGAACTAAGGGGGATGAGTTGTAAACAATAAATTCCTTAGCTGTTTATCAGCTGTTCTCTCAGTACACTCACGCTCTCGATAGGCAAACTATCGATATGGCTGTTTTCTCCCGAGCGCACGCACGCGCAAAACAATGTGAAAGTCTGCAACGACTAAAAATAAACCCAAATAAAACAATTTTGAGCCACTGGAAGGACAAATGGCTCATACCATAAGCCCCCAATTAAGCGCGACCAGGGCACTGCTTTGCTCCATCGCACTTTGCTGGATTGCATCACCCAGAGGCGGTAGGTACTCAAGCTGCAGACAGCGCTTGTCAAATCCCCCTCCCATTGTATACACATATCGCAAGTGGAGACGCACTTTTCGTTCCACGTCTACCTGTTTTCACCACACTCTCGGACTCACTCTCCACTCTCTGCTTCGTAAACAGGCGATGCCCAACAGCTGATTGCGTACATCTCGCAGCGGGGTCTGCACGGGGAGATAACGTTTCGGCAGATGAACGCCACGACGGTAGAGATTAAGACCAGCCTGGAGGCCACTCTCCAGTACCCGGATCAGGTCTGGAGCTGGGCCGTGCGGCGCTTTGCGGTGGACTACTCGATCATTGATCCCGAGGAGCGCTGCAAGCTCGATCGCTTGGGAGCGCAGGTGCTGAGCTTCGACGAGGATTTGGAGTACCTGGTGCTGCCCGGCAACGAGACTTCGACATGGCAGCGGAACATGCAGCTAATCGGCGACTGCGGAATCTGGGGTAAGTCGCTGGTGCTCACAGAGGTGGGTGAGGATGCACGTATCTGTGCCACGATCAGCACGATCCAGAACTCCGTGGAGCATATGGCCGAGGCACGATTTAACACGCCCGTAGCTGGATCTGTCCACTTCCGCTGGCTCGCCCCGGCTGAGGGCGCCAGCGGTGATACATTAATATACTCCGACTTGTACCACATCAAAGAGCAGCCAGCGGATCTGGAAGGCAGCGATCAGCGGTCTTTCACCCAGCACCACTGGAAGATCTTCGTGACTGACATCTTTAAGCACGACCACCATCGCACCGAGGACAATTGCAACTTTTTGGAGCTGGTCTTCGACCCACAAGGCAGTGGACCCGGTCAAGGCATCGGTGACCTGGACATGCGCCTGGGCAGGATTGGAGTGGCCACAAATGCGTTGAAGACACCCAAGCGCAGCGTGTTCCGCGATGCCCAGCTTGCTCTTCTTCCCTCGGACCTTACGATCCCCCACCGCACGCTTTACCTCGTTCTCTTTGACAATCAGCACCCGGACACCTATCTGGCCTGCACCAAAATTCGGCATTTGCAGCCACTCATCTACAAGTAAGTCAGATGAAAGGAAACAATTTAAATGGAGACCATAATCAGTTCCGTCTTTCCGCAGGACTTTCATAAACTCGGGAGGTGTCAAGGGGGAGGTGACATTCGCTCAACGCTCCAAGTTCGATCCTACATTCCTCAACTTCACATTGGGCGCACCTTTGTCGCAGCACGTCAGCCGCAAGTTTGCCGAAGATGTGGCTGCCTTCCGCCTTCACAGCATGCCTCCCGTCCCACAGCGCATTGGGAGGGAGGACTTTTGCCTGACCACTGGGGACATGCACAACCCCCGCGACCTTCAGGAGAAGGTCCCACCACCAGGCTACGGCACACAGGAGCAATATGCGGTTGGAGACCTCTCAGGAAAATTACAGGGCCGCAACAAGGCATACTGGCATCAGTACGTGCTGCCCGGAACCAGTTCTGAGCTCAACGGCCTCTACTGGGACGTCTTCCTACCGCTCCAGGGCCGCCACAGCATAGCCCAGAGGAGTTTGGTGATCTACACATTCAATCGCACAGATGTGCAGAACATCACAAAAAGCATCTGGGGCTGTTCCTCTCTAAGCCAGTACTTGCGGAACGGTGTATACCAGCAGCCGATGTTCACAGCTCAGGTGCGTAGATAGAACGATAGAACTCGATAGAACTCATCTACCATCTAACATGTACTCTGACAGGTCCTGTTCCGGTATCCAGTGGTGGGACGAGTAATCTTCCGACAGCCCGCCGAACAGCCTTGGCAGGACACCACCGTGCTGTTTGAGTATCTGATACAGGCGGACGGGTCCACGCAGAACACCACATTCGACCATCGCTGGGCCATCCACAGTAGTGCCCCAGGCAAGGACTTTTACGATTGGCAGCAGCGTTGCCTCTCGGCCGGTGGCGTCCACAACCCGTTCAAAGTGGACTGGGGAAATCGCAGTGCTGACGACTTCTGTCAGCCCCAGCTACCTGCCATGTGTCGAATGGGAGCCCTGGACGCGAGGCTGGGGAGGTTGACCATTGCCGGAAGGAGGCGGACTGCACAGAAGTTTAGCCGCCGCATGTTTGTTGATGGGAATCTGCCGCTTTCAGGAAGACACAGCATTCTGGGCAAGTCGCTAGTCATCTACGAGGACAGTGGGCCGAAGGCCAGGGGCGAGAGGCTTGCGTGTTCCGCCGTGATCGGACACTTCCGGAGAAAAGTGGTGGCTAAGGAGTGGTACGCCAACGGGGATGAGCTGACAGTGAGTGGGAGGGTGGAGATCACGCAGCAGTCAGAGTACGATGTCAGCAATGTAGAGGTGCAACTCAAGGGGCTGCAAAACAACGGGGGGTATCACATACACAAGGTAAGATTCGTCCCCAGAGAAAGGGATACCCGCTAATCTTTGATGATCCACAGACACCTGTTGAGGCCAATTTGGCCTTTCCCTGCGAGGCTTCGACCCTATATGGACACTGGAATCCTTTCGAGGTGAACCCCAAGTCCTCGCCTCCCCCAAGGCGGGGCACCAGTGATCAATACGAGTTGGGTGACTTGAGCGGAAAGTTCGGCGCCCTGAACGGACTCACCCAGTACGAGGATTCGTACAACGATACGAACCTGCCGCTCTTTGGGTACAACAGTATAATCGGACGATCGGTGGTCATTCACAAGCAACAGAGGAATGCCCGATGGGCCTGCAGGTTTTTACAGCGGAATAGAGTGTTCGATTTATTGACCTAAGCCCGATACTTACAGCACTTTAGAGCGAGGCTACAGTCCTAGCGAGGCGCGAGAACTCCGAGCCATCGCCTCGTTTCACCATCCCACGGGGTACGCCTACGGATATGTTAAGATGACGCAGTTGATCCACAACGATGGCAGCCAGTCGGAGACGGTGATTGAGATCAAGCTGCGGCACCCCGGCAAGAACGACCGGAACTCCACCCGCAACCACAACTGGCAGATTTTCGTTAACCCCGTGGGAGTGGACGCTGCCGTCAAGCCAACCAGCTCACGCTGTGTGGCCGGAGGATATGTGTGGAATCCGTATTACACGCAGCTGGCAGATCCACTGAATGTGAGTTAAGAAAATCTAAAATATTTTAAAATTCTACATAAATCATAAGCTCACAAAATTATATACCGACTGAGTACGGTATAAAAGTAGAGTTGCGTCTACAGATGCGACTCACACGTTTCTTCTCGTTATTAATGGAATTTTCGTGCAGCTCGACCTCTACGAACAGGAATGTGCTCCGGACAATCCACTTCGATGTTATGTGGGCGATGTGGGGGCCCGCATGGGCACAATAGGTGAGTGATCAATGGAATCAACATTCTAAGATGCTCACTCCAAAGTGTTTTAGATCTGGGCGGGGAGCGCGTAGTTTTCACCGACTCAAACTTCCCCCTAGAGGCGCCAGTGGGGGCGATTGGACGCTCAATTGTCATCTTTGGACCTGATCACACGCATGAACGATTTGCCTGTGCCAATATCGAGCCCGACCATAACGTCATCAAGTATATCAATCTGCAGAAGCCACCGCGCTTTGTAGTGTAAGTAAGATTCTACCTCAAGTAACCTCACTTTAATGTGGATGGATATCCTTATCGATAGGGCACAATTCCTAGAGGAGCTCCGTTCTGTGATGGGTATTCCTGAATGGATGCTGGACGTGGATGCGCGCAAGACTAAGGAACTTCATGGCGGCGCATGCATCCAAATGATCATTCACTTTAAGGGACCCCTCGCCCACCGGTTGGAGATGGACATGTCGCGTCTCATAGCCGCTGGTCGACTGGATGCCCCCAGTCTATTCATTCCCGGCTACGTGAACCAAAAGCGCAAGCCGACTATCTCCTACCGTACCTGCGGGGTGAGGGATACCAATGAGAAGCGTGAGTAAATCAGGAGTGAATGAAACCTCAAATCTCGGGAGTACAATTTTCCATCCATCCCCACAGGTACCAAGAGTTTCAAGGGTCGATTCTCGTCTTCTAGTTTTGCACCAATGGAACCAAAGCCTTTTGTATTAGCCATCATAGTCATCAGCTTAATTATTAGATTCCTGTAAATACTGCACTCAAGTTAAAGTGGAAGTAAAGATATATTCCTTCCAGCAACAGGTTGTCAAATCATATGTTCACTTTTTGCTTTCCACCACTATTCGGGAACCCACCACCTTTTAATGCTCACGTCTTCGCATGCGTAAAACTCAATCGATTTTTCGCGTATATACTCGTACTATCCTCTTTCAGTGGAGGACAGGCAGTAAGTCAGAGATTTCAGTGATTTCGGTGAATAATCATATACAGAGCTATACAGAATGCGGCTTATTCTCGTTGGGATATTGCTGGGGCTGGTTTACAGTTGCAGTGCGACAATTAGCGGACCCTTCCTATTCTGGGGCCCCGACAAGGTGGCCAGCTTGCAAGCCCAGGTGCTAGTTGAGGCCAGCAGCAGGGAACACCCGCTGGCGCAATTGTTCGGGGAGGCCAAGGCCATCGTAGTTTTCGTAAGGAACACGACCAGTCGCCTGGAAGGCACCAAGTACCCCAGGTTCCAGAATCTGGTGAAGAGTGGCACTTGGACCTATCTACCAGAGCGCAGCCTGGCGACCGAGCCTTTTAAGTACAATGCCAACATTGAGGTGTGTATATCAAGAAAAAGAGCTATTGAATATTCCTGTGTATCAACCCCTAAATTTTTCGTGCAGGTCATAAGCCTGTCTGGACACGGGGAAGAAGACGACGCTGAGATTGTGACGGCATACAATGACGCTTTGAGGATATACGGGGATGGTGAGGTTCTTGGAATCCTAGCCAGTCGTGAGGAGGAGGCACACTTCCTAGCCAAACGTGAAACCGCCGAGGAAGAATCCAAAAAGACGACTGAGGCAGCTCCTGCTGACGCTGCCGAGGAGACAGAGGCCAGCTTTATTTACTTAGCCGAAGGAAACAAGGCGGTTCTCTCCCTAAACGGTCCGCCCGAGCTGCGTCTTACCAACGAGACATTGCGCCTGGAGGAGCACATCAAGCAGATAACTTTCGACGACCAGCACGCCAAGGGCTACGGTCGCCTCAGCATCACCTTTATGCACAGCGGCGAGAAGTGCACGCTCCGCTTCAAGTTCTCGCTGGCGCGTGGCACGTGGATCCTGCGAAACGTGGAGGTGGAGTACAGGGAGCTCAAGAGCGTACTCCTGGCACGCGGCGACGAATACACTCTGCCCTCGGCCCCGCTGGGCTTTTCCTATCGCTGCTCCGCCAACGACTTGAGCTTTGTCAACCCCAACAAAAACGAGACCCTACAGAGCCTCATCCTGTCCGACTTCCAGGTGCAGCCCTGGCTCAACGGGCGCAAGGAGTTCGGCGAGGTATACGATTGCGTTGGCTTCATCTCTGCGCCTATCCTATCAGGTCTCTTTGTAGTCACCCTCCTGCTCGGCATCCTAGGCCTCGGAATCTCCGCCATGCTCAGCATGCATACCCCAAACCGATTCGAGAGCTCTCGCAGCAAGCAGTTGACCTTCACGGTCCAGGAGTAGGCAATCTTCTTTCCATACATTTTTAATTAAATCTTAGCTCGCTGCGAAATGTTTGTCTTGATCAGTTACATGGCTGTCAACCCTTTGGTGCTCTTCACCTTGGCCATTTGAGCTGTTTCTAATCCATCTGCTCTTCGTGCTGATCGTGCTCTACGTCTATGTTCTTTGGTATTACTGAAGCTCATACTGGACTTAATTGAATACATTCTAGTCAAACAAAAATATATGCTAACTAACTAAATTCCACTTGGCTTTGTTATTAAATACTCCTACACTAATTGTAATTGTACTTACACTAACAAATATATCCGCATCTCAACCCCATTCCATTATTATTACTATTTTTTGTTTGGAATTTGGATTATGATTAATTAGATTATTTGCGTTGGTTATGTTGGTGAGTTTCGTCGATCTTTAGCTGGCATGAGCCTGAGAGAATGTGTGATGATGTGATTGATGAGTTGATATTCCTCGATTTTAATATTCGGCTTAAGATTTATAGCTAGCTAGCCCCCTCAGCATTCAATTAATAAATTTCCTACAAGATACACTATTGTAATCTTGTTTGCGACATTTTTGAATGTTCGCCTAGGACATTCCTCTTATTGGCAATTTACATGGATTTTGCTGGGTGTGCTGGTACAACAAGGTGAGTTCATTAACGAACATAAAAAAAGGATATAAATTAAAAGCCAATTGATACAAAGTTACCTATAGAGGGACACTTTCTTGGAACTATAACTACTGTTACTACATGCAGTTTGAATCTTTTGCCCATTATTCTATTCTATCTGCGTACGCAGATCAAGAGACTTAATCCGTTTATTAATCACATGGCTCACTTTTCCAGAAGGCAAAGTTAACTTTGGAAAGTGAAAAGAGAAAAGCGAATTGCATTCTTTGCGGACTCCCAATAAAAGGATGAAAGGAGTGCTGTGCCTGCTCGTCTGGCTGGAAATTCTGGTTATCTTAGTTCAGTCGCTGAACCGCTTTTTGTATGTATGTTTTTGTATATACATATGTACATATGTATTTATCTTTTTGGCTATCGGCAGCTTACTTTCATTGAATGTGCGCAATTAAGTTACGTTCAGACCCGTAGATGCGTGCTTAAGCTAGAGAAGCCAAAGCCAGGCCCAGGCCCAGGCCCTAAGCCAGACCTGGACCGTCTTTTATTTATGCATCATTAAGTCACGCCAATTGCTCGTTTGTGCCCGGACTGGGATACTCCGTTCGAAATCGAGTGTTGGTTACTTTGGTTCGCTTTTCTGCGTGTGCGTTTGTCTGGGCACGTTTTGGGTTGCACTTCAATTTCTACTACTGACACCCGACACCCGACAGTCGACACCCGCTGCTGGCTGTGGGCCACCCAAAATTTCCCAAAATATGTGAGCCCCTCTCCAGCAGCCTCACAGCCTTTCAGACCTAAGCCAGAAAAGAGCATCGCAAGTGGTAGATACGATCGAGCGATGTCTTAGTGTTGTGCAGTCACCACAAGTGGGTCGACTTCGATTGCGTTCACTTTTCCAAGTTACTTTTACTGTCAACCGAAAGTGCAACCCAGATGCCGCCTGCCTCATGCCCATGCAGCATGCTGCATTCGCTAGTTCACTGACTCAGAGCGAGAGAGAGAGAGAGAGAGAGAGAGACAGAGAGAGAGTGAGAGCAAAAGTTGCACCTGATTCTGTAATAAGAATCGCGATCGAACAGAAATCGAAGCGGAGGCTGACTGGGCGAGGGCACTCGCGGAGTCTCTTGGGAAGCGGGCAAAAGTTTGTGAAAGTTGTTGTCAAACGGCTGGCCGCGACGGCCTGACAGCCTGTCAAGGAGTCGCGGCATATCAGCCACATGATGTGCCGCAGACGGTGGGGGAACCGGTACTGGATCGGCATCGGAATTGGTGGGGGGGATTGGGATTTCTCCATCGCTGGCTATCTCTCGATGTGATGGCCAATAGTGGTAATAATTCGAGGCTAATTTCATCTCAATCTTTGCATGATCACTTTTCTACAGTGACTTATATAAGAACGCTTAACATCAAGTCCCAGCCATGTACAGCATCGGGAGGTAATGCAGCATGAAATTGAATTATTTTCACGACGGATCCTACTGCGGAAGCTGGACGTGAGAGAGTGAATCCACAATGCTCCACAATGCAGAGTACAATTAACATCAGACTTTAATCAATTCAAAGGGCTGCCAACAAAGGGGCAGCAACGGAAATGTGCTCTGTATCTGTACGAGCATAGACAATACATATAATATTATCGGCACTCGCTGAAATCCCTCGTCATCCGCAACTCATTTGGGAGAAGAGTCTCACTGGTTTGTACTTGTACTGTCACTGATAATTACTCTGCTCAATATTTGTGTTAACATTTTATGATTATTGCCACATTTTTCCAGAGAAAGAGAAACCGCCAATCGGCAGGATTGGCAGATGTCGCTGTGGGGGGAAACTTCCCGCAAACGCATTTTCAGCTGCAGTTGCCTCAGAGCTGTGAGCCACTGAGATGTCGTGGTCCCAGTCACTAACAAAGTCAAGTCGGGGAAAAGTTCGCAAGCACTCGAAATGAAAACAGTAAAATCAAATTGGAGACATTTCACACATGCACATAAAGTGCGGTCGGAGCAACCAACAAGCGTCCAGTGGCAAGAGACAAGCGACAAGCGGAGAGGCGACCATTTGATGCGTTTAGTAAATCAAACAGTTAATTACTTGATTTGGTAAGCGGTTTCCCAATGAACAGCGCACAACAGACCCACAAAAAGTATCTTGGCTGCTTTTCCTATTTCTACTATTTTGCTATCCATTTAGCAGTTTCTCGAAAATATTTGCACACCTGTCGTGGGTGCTCATTCCCAGTTGTGGCTACGTTGGAGAAAAGTGAAATGCGTTTAGAAAGGAAAGGAAGCTCTGGGGATCTACCAGATCGCCACAGTTACACCGGTCCTCATCTGCCAGACCATTACTTGCAACCTTGACTTATTAACACCTTATTTAATGTATTTTGGGCGCTCGGATCACTGAAGATAAGTACACGTCTCCATAAAGATGTATTTTTATGACCATGTCGCAAACTTAACGCCCTGTTAAGCCCCCTAAATGCAAATGCCACAGAAGTAGTCGTAGTTGTGGCATCCACAACAGACCTGGCGCAAATAAATGGGCCTGGTCCCCGCTCCCGACACCCTCTGAGCTCACCCTTTTCCCCCTGTAGCCGTTAATTGCTTCGCTTTGGTTAAAGCTTGTGGAGCGTCTTCCAATTGCGCTAGACGATCAACGCGATGTAAGCAACACGTGAAGGTGTCGCAATTTTCGGATTTTCCAGCCGTGTGGCTCGTATGAGTATCCAAACCATTTGGCTCGAGGCTGAATCTTTCGGCCAAGGGACTGGCAATGAGACCGAATCAGTGGCCGCCAATCTCGGATCTCGGTCCATTCTTTGCCTGCTGATGGGAGTTAACACTCTCCCGCTTTTTCTGGCGCTCAGTGCAGAGCGGGCCAACATTTTTCACCGTTTTCAGGCAGTGAGCCGCCTCTGGCAGGGGTAATTAAGACTAATTGGCTGAAAGTGCAGCCCACCAAAGCCAAGCTAAGGCCTTTCTCACAGTTGCATCATCCACATATATATATGTACATACAAACATACATATGTACATAATCCAATGGCTGATAGGAAATTCTTTAATATATTAACTTGAAACTCAGCTTGGCCCAGAATAGACCCAGATAGAAAGCTCTTCCCTCCTTTGCTACTGATTAAACAATCTGTGCTGCCAAAACCGCACACACTAACCCAAATTCCTCGACTCGACGCCGAAGCAGAATCCAAAGATGAGCCGGAGTAGATTGGCGAGTGCTCGGTCCCCGCAGAGTCCCCCATTATTTCAATTAAACTAAGAATCGGTAAATGGCAGCGCAGCTGCTGCAGCGGCTTGCACTTTCCGGCCGAGGCGCGGAATGGGGAAAACTCGTCGAAAACCCAACAAACAACGACGATTAGCATTAGTTGTCTCGATTTGGGCGAGCACCATTCGAATTGGCCAAAAGGGGGGAAGTCAACAGCAGCTGCTTCATCTGCCAATCTTAGTCGCGACGCTCTCAACGTGTGCGGCTGCGCTGCTGCTCTCTTCTACCTGGTTTACCTGTTGCTGCTTCTTTGGTCATGACATTCGCGTTCAGTATTTCGACTCGATCGGTTGTGCTACGCTACTCGCGCTGAGTGAGAAATTGTTTCGTCTGTACTTGTTGGTGTTGTGGTCTTTTATGGAGGCGCGTGCTGCAGAGTCAGCGAAACGGTAAACCGCGGTTTGTGAATGCAAGAAAGGGACAACTTCCGCGGGAACCAGAAGAGTTTAGCGTAGCATTTGCAACACAAATGCTGGAAAACTTAATGCAGTGCAAAAATGTTTGTTGTCAAAGCTGTTGCTGTTGTCGTTGCCGAGTGGAAGCTGACAGCCTGAACACAAAGTCACCGTCAATGCTTTGATTTGCGGTTGCACTCCACGCTACGAGTAAAAGCAGAATCCGACCCGAGCTTTCAGCACCAAAGTGAAAATTACACAGCAGCCGCAGCAACCGAGGAGAACAGCGACTGTGACGCTGGCTGGTGTCAAAAGAGAAGACCCGGCTAACCTCCTGGGTGTCTCGGCTTGGAATAGTGGCACATTTACCCACAATCACCGCAGCACAAACACATGTAAGTGGCACGAAAACATTCCATTTCTGGTGGGAGTAGAATAATTGTGGTACACTGAATTTTGGCTTTATGTATATGCTTACTTTCACTTGATTGAAAGAATACCGTCGGCTAAATGTGACTATTCCAAGACTAAACATAGAAAAAGGCTTCATAATGATTCACGACTACCAATATGTAAGCCCAAAACGATTAGAAAAGTTTTCCTCCAACCGGATTCTTAGCCTCTGATTAGCCAAGGGATTGTCTGGACCCTTCAAATTAAGTCCTTTCTACGTGTGTATATACATACATATGTATGTTCATAAGTTAAAAGAATTTGCCATAAAAATGGCTTTATCAATCTACGATAGAAACATTAGAAAATCTCACGTAACTTGTGGCTGTAGCCAGACAAATCGAGTCGGAACTCAAGCATAATTAGATACTTTCCTTAGTCTCGCTTTATATCTGCTTAGTTGGGGGCTGGGCCTGCGCTAATTTATGCAGATTAATTTGCTCGCTGGCCACACGAATCTTTCCCAGGCGACAGGCGACTCCAATTAGCGGGGCAACTTGCGCTGACCATAAAAACAGATGTAGCCCCTTCTTGGCCAGCTCCGTTCCTATTCTAATTGAATGAATGAAATTAACCTAGTTTCGGCTTTGTCTTGTTCCCATCATAATTGAGGTGCTGGCCGCAAGATACAACAAACAAAAAAGTTAATATGAATAAGATTGTTTTGTGCGCTGTCAAACTTTGATGGTGCTGAGCCAAGTCCAAGTCTAAGCCCCAGTCCCAACTCTGACTTGGAGCCAGTCTTGGGTAGTAGGTGAGCCGCTGCTCGGGGCTGGGCCTAGTTCGGGGCAACACCTCCCGGGGCCTTTGTATGAGGCTTCGGACCATTTATGCTTTATGATAGAATCAATCAATAAATCGTGGATATGCTAATTTCTCTCTAGAGACATGGGAAATAAAAGAGAGCCATTCTTCGCCTCGTACATATTCTATGGGAACAGTTAGAAGTTTTCGAAAATTCGAAGCTCTCCAACAACAAGATTCTTTGCCATGCAAAATTTGTGTGTGTTGTCTTACGACAATAAATTTGTACCGCATTGTCTCGGCCTGGTTTCGGGGTCACTTCGGTTCTGGAGTTGATTAGAGCGCTTTCTTTGATTAACGACTCTGTGGAGAATCACTTGCCTTACTTCTGCCCCTTTTTTTTTGTCAGTTCCCGCCGCCGCTAGTCGCTACAGGTGTCTCGGCAATGGGAAGACACTGTGGCCCATCATGCCACAGCCGACAGATAGATAATCGTAATCAAATCTTAATGGCAGCCGCACGCCAGCTCCATCCGCAGCCAGTGCTCGTTATGGATACCATTCTGACAGCGAAAGAAATCAGGGGAACTCAAAAAAAGTTAAAACGAATAAAAGTCTCTCGATTACATGCAAGGAGCCCAGTTGGAACAATTATAAGTTTGTTGGCCTGCGAAACTATAACTATCAAAGACCAGCCAAAAGATCCACAGCACCTCATAACGAATTGTTGTAATAACAATAATAAAGAACAAGAGAAAGAAGTTATGTTTGTCTTCTGGTCGGCAACAAATCATTTCACATCTCCACATTTATATTTTCGCTGCTTTTTGCTGGCAGGGTTCATTAAACCCTTGCTAACTGAGACCCAGAGTGTAACTAAAAGCCACAGCTGAAGATATACATAGATATATATATATACGTAGATATAGATACCCTGGAGTGCTACACATACTAACATACACACACACACACACACACACACACACACACACACACCGCACGCACACAATATAATACACATATGTGGAGCTCCGCTTCCGTTCTCAGCTCTTTTATTTGTCGCCAGCTGTCTCTGATGTGTGCAATCTTACATAACACACTCTACTCTTCTGCCACTGCTCAACACAAACTCTCTGTAAGCCCAGCGAAGCGCATCCACCCCGGGTATCATGGCCACGTTTCTATGGCTTTCCCAGCCGCGATGGAATCTTTCAATTTGTCGCCCGTGTAGTCATAATCGTCTTGTAATCTCGTGGCCCTTTTTCATGTTTTTCTTTCTGCCCATACACGGCTAGCTTTAGCAGTAACCGCTACACAGTGGTCTGCTTGTTTTCTTCTCTTACCTGCACTTTGTGCAGATCATGTCTCGGTTCTATCCGTCCCCGGGCATGAGCTCAGCGCAATCTCCCAGACTCCGCACTTTGCATGCTGTGGGAAAAACTGCCAACTAATCCGATCTGATCCTGGACGCTGTTTTGGCAACACGTATTCACTATTAGCTGGCGGCTATCCACTGTGCAATCTTTTTCCCACAATACCAGGTCTGCAGCTGGAGCCACGCCCATTGCCAGGCCCAAGTAAAACATTGGAACATTCTTTCCGAGGCTGACACACCTCTGCTCTCATAACGGAAAGTATTGCCAAAGCGCACTTCCACCGTCTACCTGTCCCAGGCTGGCCTTCATTTAAGGCGTCTTCCTGTCCGTTGAGCCGGTAATGCACGTTGCCTGAACTCTTTGGGTGGGTCACTGCCACTGTCACCTCCAGCTCCAGTTCCAACCCAACTACAAACCCCCCACTCGCAGCCACTTTAAACTCACTCACTTGGCCGACGCTGTGGTTGGCTGCTTTTCCAGGGAGTTGGTGGTAAGCATAAAATGTTCAGTTCTCGAGAAGACAAACATTTTCTCTGCCGTTGTCGGTTCGGCTCCAGCGGTCTAGCTATCCGGTGTGTCCGATTCCATGTCCATGCAAACGGCCAGTACCCAAATGTAGTGGAGTGAGGTGGATAGGGTGGAGAGAAGAGAAGGCAGTAACAGTAACTCTGCAGTTGTCCCAAGTTATGTTTTTAACATAAAAACTTAAATTCTTTGTTGGTTCCACCCAACAGTTGGCTCGCCACTCCACTCCACCCCATAAACATCATTTAGTGTAGATCCATTGTCTGGTACTGCCTTCCAAAAGGCTAAACGGAAAGGTATGAAAGGTATTTTAATAAGAGATGGCTGGAATACGTGGCGTTGCCTTGAGGAAAGTGGCTTGTGCTGGGACCTGTGAGTGTTTTCCTAGTTGTCATATTTGAAGTGGAAACTCCCACATACGAGTATGTAAGTACATACGTATAGCTGTCAGCTCTTTGTGACTGTGCTGCTTCCTCGACAATTGCATAGACTGTAGCACGTAGTTTTTCTTGTACCTGGTTTAATGCGTGGCGCTCTAACTTATGATAAATTATGTGCCCCTTCCCGTCCCCAGTCCAGTCCAGCGGAGAAAGTGCCAATTGTTTTTGAGCGAATTCTTGCCGCAGAGGCTTTCCTTTTCGTTTATAAATAATTGTGGCATTGTGTCTTGCCTTGCAGCCCCGAAGACATTCAACAAGCAAACTGGGTCCGGAGTTTTCCGACTGCCTTTGCCCACGCACCGACATGGAGCCGACTCCCAACATGCTGTAAGCAGTCTCACCGCTCTCCCATCGCATCTGCATCCGTATCTGCATCTGCATCTCAGCCTTCGCCTTTGCATCTGCATCTGTAAAAAAGCACATTCCATTAACCCATAACCCTCGATCACAGTGAGAGTAACCCACAGTACGCACACTACCACGGACAGGAAACAGCTGCTGCTGAAGAACCACCAGGACGCTGTACTGCACTCGCACCTGCACTTCAAGTCTCCGGCCTTGTCCCTCTCGGCCGGACCAATGGCGGACAGCAGGGAACGCATTCGTGGCCCCTCGCGGGATGGACGCGAGTTTCTGACTAGCCCCAGGCAGGTTTTGCGCCGCCTGATGCTTCTGTCCGAGGGAAGACAGTACCGCGAGGCCGCAGGCGTCGTTGGAAGGTTGGGCCCCTCTGTTCTACGCTCGGTAATTGCCGAGCTGCCTCTCGATCTGCTGCTGGAGCACCTGCCACACAGTGCCTACTTACTGGAGTCCTTTTTCACAAGGTAAGTAAGCCGCTGACCAGAGATATGTGATTTCAATTTCCTCCCCATCATAGGTTGACCACCCTAAATACAACTCCCAAGCCGGTTGTACCTAGCGAGACGGTGGCCTGGCAGCTGGTCAGGCTGTTTGCAAATCCCCACGAATCCGGACTGCGGCAGAGATGCACCAAGCTGCTCCAGGCTCTTGCCCAATACGAGCCCAATCTTCGCCAAAGCTTGCGTGAGCGGCGGCGCAGCTTCGACAATGCAGTGCAGGGTTTGGGGGTGCACGGGCTGACCACGGATGCCTCGGGGCAGCTCATTTCGCTGCACGTGGCTCTGAAGACAGAGCTGCAGCGGCACGTGGATACCTATAAAATGGCCATACACAAGCTGGAGGAACTGAGCATGGTGACGGTCAACCAGGACCCAGCCCACTCGTCCCACCAGCGCCTCCTGGCCATCAACTATGGAGACATCCAGCAGCGGCTGATCGACAACAAAACGCTGCTGACCATTTTGGACAAACCCACATTAAAGCAGCTTCACACCCTCGTAGAGAATCTTAGCACCCGCGTGGAAAACGACAAGGAGGTTCTCTCCTGCGTAGGCCAGGTGAAGCGACTGGACGCACAGGCCCACGTGGAGAAGCGCCCGGCCGCTGGCCTTCTGATGAACTTCTCCCGCGGCTGCGAGGTCGTCCTGCAAATGATGGGGCCGGAAAGCGTTCCGCCCAGTCCCCTGGCCGTTGCCAAGGCCACCGTGACTACCGGTGGGAGCAGCTGCAGCGATGGCTACCACTCGGACGACTCCGCCAGCGATGACGGCAGGTGAGACACTTCTCTCTCTCTCTTACTCTGTTCTAACAGTTGACCCACTTTGATGCGAGCCTACACCCACATCAAATCCAAATCCAAACTCTCACTCATTGACATGTGGGGCTCTGCCCACGATCTTGTTTGGTCCACAGCGAAATGGTGTCGCTCTATCGAAATCTGTACATAGAGAACCGAGCAGATGCCCTAGAGGCGTTGGACAGTCTGCCCCAGCTGAAACACGCGCACAGTCTAAAGGGAAAGATACTCTTCTCCATGATCGTGGTAAGTAGCGGCAAAGTCTGATTGCACCCCATACTGTAATATGGTTAAATGCCGGTCCTTGAAGGTGCCGTCATTTATGGAAGGTAGAAGATGCCGAAATGATATTTTGAGATTAGCCCGATCGGGGAAAGTCATTATTTATTGTTTACTCAATTGCCGATTCAAAGTCAGTAAGACTTTCAATTGTCAGTTGCTCAAAGAGAAATTCCATACGAAGCTTGTTGCCTGAGCGTTTCTTATACACATGAAACTTTCAAACAATGACGTAGAACTTTCAGTACAGTATCAATACAGTATATTGGAGGTCAGATAGATGTATCTGATGCATGTGATTAATCGAACGTGTTCTGATTGCAACGAACTAAACACTGTTGAGGCTGCTTGCATTAAAGTACAGAAACTGTAAAACTGCAGCTACAGCATCGACTTTCAGCTAATACTTGGCAATCACTTTTTGGAGATCCAGGTCCTGTCAGACAGTAAATTGCTATTGCAAAATATCAAATTATCCAAGTCGATCTTGTGATGGCGATGCTGATTACACTTTTTAGACGAAAACGAGCTCAGGGAAAGTGACGCCGCGGGCGTCGGCCACGCACAGACCGAGGAATTATTTACGCGATGGGGATCTGGTCCCCAGGAAATACCTGTTGTCGTTGAATGACTTTCGATTGGAGACGAATGACACCGCACCTTGCTGGATCGGAATAAGTGGGCAGAACAATTTTCTAATGACTGAAAATGTTCCCTTTGCACAGCTTTCTTTCCGCCTTTGCCACGGGATGCGGGAACGGAAAGTGATGGAGGTGCGCCGGGTCGTCAACTGCGGACTGGACAGCAGCAGCGAAACGACCTTGGCCCTGGACCGGGCTGTGCGACACCACCTGCACGAGACCACGAACAGCTTTCCCCTAGGCGAGATTGAGCGATCCGTCTTCAACCAGGTTCTATCCACGCTCCACGAGTACCCCTGCCTGGAGTCGTGTCCCCCGCTCACCCACTATGTGAGCACCTGTGTGCGGCTGGCTTGGCGCATGATCAACCAGAAGGCGCCCTATTATCTGGACATGGACTTCAATCTGGGTAAGAAAATATTGTTTAATATTAATCATAATACGATTGCTTAAAATACTTGTGTTGATCCACTTAGGTTTCCTGCGCCCCGAGAAGCACGAGCGTCATCCGCAATCCGACCGCCGCTCGGACCTTATCAAGGCCTTTCTCTGGCCGGCCCTAATGCAAAACAATCAGTGCGCCTTCAAGGCAGTCGTGGCCACCTGAGGCCCGGGACGGAACAGACCGTACCAAACTAATCTTAAGATACTCTTACACAATTTGTACATACGTCAACTCTTACCCAATAAAGATTAACCCTATCTAAGCATAGCTGATGGGCGTCAGACGGACGCACTGACTCCGGCTCTTGTTGGTGCAGAGAAGTGGGTGTTCGGCATAGAACTCGACGATCTCGTGGGGAGAGCCAAAGATTCGCTCGTGGAGCTTCTTCTGTCCTATGGCGTAGCGTTGCCTCCTGTCGACCTGTCGCACGAAGAGGTGGTAAAACTGGTCGCCGACGCAGATGCTTACGATGTATTTAATGCAGACGTCGGTGGCCTTGAAGGGGCGTACAAGGCAGGCGCCGTCCTCTCTTCCGGCCAGCATTCGCTCAGCCGTGGGACGGTCCACCGTGAAGTAGTAGGCCTCCGTTTCGATGTTGTGTTCCGGGATCTCCGCATAGTTTGCCTCTGCATCGTCTGCGACTCAAGTTGAGAATGATCAGTGATCATCGAAAGCACGAGTTATTCAAAATAACTCACCCGAAATGACATAATCGCGCTGATGCTGCTGGGGATCGTCATCAGTATCGGAAACTCGTTTCTCCACATCCACGTCATTGTCGTCGCTCGCCTGACGTTGGTATCCGGCGCAACAACAGTGGTGCTCCGCTATACCGCCGATAAGCCGGGCAAAAAGGTTGTGCAGAACCGTCCAGTAGACTCGTGCACACCAACAACACATGGCGGCAAACAATCAAGGTCTCTGTCTCTTCCAGTATAGCGAATATTTACAACAACTCGTTTCGCGGCCCCACTGAAGACTGAGACTAGACCCACAAGCAGACCCACAACCAGAAGCAGAACCAGAAACAGTCCCGAAGCACAGACCCGTACCCGGCGCTGCTTATTAATTAAAATGTGCTCAGCTCTGGGGCTCGAAATGCCCATATGTAAATAGCGTATGTATGTATGTATGTATATGTATGTATGTGCAAATAAATGTCTGCATATGTTTTGAATATGCAATACAAACGAAACTCACATGTCTGTGGAATGGGGTGGGTTTTGGGAACTGTTGGGGCCACAGAGAGTAACTGGATACGTGAAATCGTTGAAGAGTGCAGCCAAGTGCAGATTGTGTCACGCTCATCGCTCAGTTCCCACAAAGCAGCGGCGGTCTCCACCCCATTCGCTCCTCCCTGTTCATGACATGTGCTCTACGCTCTCCCGATCTTACTCCTACTGGCCGCGGGAAGGCGAAGAAGCTGCAATATCAGATTCCCATTGTTGGAGCCGAGTGGACTACGTGTGCTTTGGAGGCATTCATATACATACATACGAAAAGCCAGTCCATTGCTGCGGTAAATAAACTTAGTCAGGGATAATGAATAAAATTAATTATTATGATTATTAATATTATTTATTATTAATTATTGTTATTTTATTGCAATGTTGTCCCAAGCCCAGCACTCTACCTCCCACCTCCTCGCACTACGACTCAGATGGTTTCACTTTCTCTACATCTGCATCTACACACCCAACTACATTCTACATTTGAACTTTTTTACAAGCTTTTTCTGTTCACATATTGATCAAATTTTACGGTTGGCAAGAAAGCTTTTTGTGCTTTCATTTAAACTTTTCCCAATGGTTGGCAATGTTGGCAGTCTCTCTCTATGGCTCAGATTAAATTTTCAAAACTCAAAACTAGTTAATTTATTGCGAGCATTGTGCCCAACTTAGTGCGGGCATGTCTATGAACATGATAAATTTCCGCCTAGAACCGAAAATAGACGTGCGAATGGCCACCCAATGGGCGGCACGTGTTGATGGTTTTAGTGATGTCAGTTGTGGCAGAGTCTAGTCGTTAAGACAGCTATATTTTACTATACGCCGCATCGACTGCAGCAAGCAAGCAGCGAAGCAATCACTGGGAGCCACTGTTTGAGGTTGTTTGCACATTTAAAGCAGCCACTATTTGCTTACCGGTAATCAAACAGTAGAGTGGAGTAGTGGTGGAGGCGGTGTCGTCGGCGGAGAGCTCTGCAGGCGAATCACGTGCGCCAAATGTCAATAAAATGATATTTCCAGTATATGAAGGCATTAATAACACACAATACGATCGCTCACAGCAGAAACAGTAGCAACAACGACTGCCAATTAATATGCGGCCAACAATTTTTTGATGAACTGCTAACTTGCCGAACCAAGCGGCGGAATGTGCTAGGGGATGGGAATGGGAGGGGGCCGCTGACAGAATGTCAGCCCATAAAGCAACAAAATCGCACAAATTGATTTCGGCCAAATGATTATTGTGGGTGCTGCCTGCCTTTGGACACATTTACGCCAACATCCGCATCGATGTTGAGTCGAGTCGCTTCCCCTTTTAACTCCTTGTTTCCAATGTCAATCAAGGTGGCGCCTCCACCCAAACCGATTCGATCCGCCTCTCAGCTCCTGTCGTCGGGTCAACCAGCTGGTCATCAATTTCAATGAGTCGATTGATTGAAAGTGCCGTCAATTCTAGCGGCTACTCGAATTCATTAAGCAGTCAAAGAACCACAGAACTGAGGCTAAATATTTATATGCTTATGTTCACGTCTCAATTATGTGTCCCTGAGGTTGAAAAAAGATTTACAACGGGCCAAAATAGAAACGGAAATCTCACCAAGAACTCTCTGAACTCACCTCACTACCGCAAAACACACCACACACCCTTACTCACCGTCCGACATGCGTGTGGTCGTGGATGTTTGGGTTCCAGAGCCTCCGCACCCGAATCCATGCGAAGCGTTCGCCCATTTTGCCGTCGAGCGTTGGCCAGCGCGGAAGAATTTCGCATTTCGCATTCGAATTTTGGATTTGGAATTTAGGTTTGGATTTGAATTTGAGCGCGAGTGCCATAAAATAATTAATAAACAAATTCAGTGCGAATATCAATGAAATGCCAAACTAAGGCACTTGGAAAAGTTTTCCATCCGAATTGTTATTGGCACCGAAGCCAACAAGTGTCAATTGAATTAGCGCCTCCGCGGACAAAAAAAAAAAGAGAGATTATCAAGGCGCAACAGGTGATTGGTGGCTGTTTGTAGCGATTGGTGGTATCTGTGTTGGTGCCTGTGAGATGAAGTCCCGATCTGTGTGCAGTCAGCCTATCGATGGGCAGTGAGAATTGAAAAACCCGAAGGGGCTCCTCCAAAGTGCCAATGAGCAAGAAGCATTTAAGTCATACCAACGGCAACAGTCAATCATCGATCCTCCCGTGATTCCAGGTAACTAGTTTGTCTCTCGCTTGTTTGGGCAAGCAATTAGCGGCGGCCTTCTTTATGGCACTCTTTATTGCCGGGCTTTTGTCTAAATAATATGAGTGTGCTCGCAGTGGAAAAGTATACAACATATGCTAGGCCCCCGAGGACCACATAAAAATCAATAAGATTCGTACTTGTTCGGACCAACCCACAGACCAAATGAGGTTTACGCTCTTCCCCGAATCGCACAAAGCAATTAACCATGAACCAATTTCCCCGGGGAGAGTGTATCCCTCACCTGTTTCTTGCACCACATTTCTGAACAAGGGCCAGATATCGCTGATGGCTAATTGATAACTGCCATATCCGGCCATCGTCCATCTATCGGTCGTCCGCATCCTCCAAGTCCCACTGGTCATGTCAGCGGACAGCCCATTAAATCATCTCGAGCCAACAAATTAGCAGAATGAGTGCATCAGTAAACAGAGTTCACCTGTTGCCGTTGCCCCATCCCATCCCAGCCCAACCCAGCCTAGTCCCAAAGACAAAGGCAATTGCAGCTCGCATTCGATGAAGACGAATCTCGTGCATCTTTTTCCCTGCCCGTGGCCCACATTATGGCAAATTTTTTGGATTTGCTCTCGAACAGAAACGAGTCGAAACGAACTGAACAGAACATCAAAAGCGCTATATCATGACAGCCAGCCAGTGGGAAGCGGTTTATCTACGACTATCTATATGTCTACATACACATCTATCTGCGACTGCGACTGCTACTACGGGTATCTAGCAGATGCACGCGGCGCTGGTAGCCGCAATTCCCATGCCAGTCGGTCCAGTGAGGAAGGAAGGGACGTATCGTGGGCCAGGCACGGGGATGGCAGGCCGCCTTCTGTTGATTGCGCCTTTGTGTATAAATTAATTAAATTAAAAGTTTCCGGTTAGGCCTCCAAATGCCAGTGCATTCGGTCGGTAAAAGACACAATGCACTTCGCGACGGGCCCGTGAATAATCAAAGACGAGCGCACCCTTTCGTTGAACTTTCACTCAGGGGACAGTATGATTCAGCACGAGTTTGGTTCTCACGTATGCTCTTCATTTACAGAGAGCGAGTGTGCAGAGAAGAAGGATTCATTAGGTTTGCACCTTCCCTCCTGGTACGCCCTAGCACTGCCAGATATAGTAATGTGTGTCTATCCATTTCAATTGCTTCTATAAATATTTCGTAAGAAACCCGCGTCAACATCATCAGTTTCGACAACAACAGCACCGACGTCACCTGCCAAAGACCGAATGGGTGGATATAGCCGCTATACTTTTGCCCAGAGCTGGCCATGTCAACACGAGTCACATCTGATTCCAATTTGATTATTCGAATTTTAACTAAGTCACGAAGCAGTAAGCAGCCTGGGATTTTAGCAAGTCCGCGGTGGCCGGGGCCCAGGCAAGCATAAATGGGCCGCGGCGCGTAATTAGCATTCAATTAGAAGATAATTGCAGCGCTAATTTCCCCCGCAAACTCCCGATTCGCAATGTCCCAAAAAGATATCTCGAATGTGTCGCAGATTTATGGAAACTCGACCACGCCCTTACGGTGTCACTACCTCGCAAAGCCCACTTCCAAAGGCCTTACCGAGTCTCCATTAACGCGACTCGTGTCCCTAAATAAGTGTGCAGTTAATGTGCAGTCGACCTTCACGCCAACTAAAGACCAATTGTCAATATTTTGACAGCACCCTCAACCTCCCGAGGTGGGGCATATTAAGAGGGGAGGTTTAAGGTGTGCGGCATGATGAATATGCTGGCGACATATTGCAAATCCCAGTGGATGAACTCGAACGACGTGCGGGCAAGAATGTGTATGGGGGGGGCCGTATGAGGCGCTGTGGGAGTGGCTCACCTAATGTTGACATCACTTGGCCATTTAATAGCACCCTTTATGGGTATTTTTACAACCTGATGATAAAGAGCGAGAAAGTGCAATAAAAGGACGTGTGCTCGAATGGAGCCCAATTCATGGCCAATTTAGCGCGGCTGTTTAGCTGCCAGTCTGGATAGGAAAATTTCATGTGGCTCTTATAGAAGAAGGGTTCCTTTAACCCGTTCCAAAAGTCATCGCCATTGTCTTCAAAGTCTACCTCAGCCACCTTCCCGCATCTACATTTGTCTCGAGTCACAGTGGCCGCCGGAAGAGCTCCTTTCTGTTCTCCTCTTTCTTCGCTCCGACCAACGCCCAACACATATTCCAATTGCATTAAATTTGCATCGGTCAGAGGAAGAGCAAGCAGCAACCAGTTAGCAACCCTCCTTTCATGTCCTTTCATTTGTCAGAGCAAATAAACTTTCATATTGCAGTTGCCATTGCAGCTTCCAGACATGGATCAGTTCCCTCAAATGATTCCACCGCATGGGGCATGGCGGCCCCCAAGGAGGGCCCGGACTGTGGAGCGGTGCTGGCATTCTGAGTGGATTACTCGAGGGCTCTTCTTCTTCATTGCACATAAGTCAGCAATCATCGTTTGGCCATACCGAATATGAGTAATTATTATATCCAATAATTTTACATAATACAAAAATAGAACAGAGCGTTGAGGCATTGTTCAGGGTCCCCTCGCTGCTTGCACGTGACAAATTCTCTGTGGGAAAGGCAGAGGCAAATCTTTGCAGCCATCAAGAGTCGCCAGTGCCCGGAACAGCAGAGAGTGGAAAGCAGGGAATGCGATGCACATTAATTGCTTCTCGTGGTCCGACACTGGGTTCGGGTTCGTATTCGGGTTCAGTCAGCTGGTCAGTTATGACATTTGTCTGCCTGAATAATTAACAAGTTGGGGAGCTTGCCCTGTATTAATTATGCTCGATTTGCTGGGAAACATTTTCACGCCTTCACAGGCAGAGATGTCATCGGCATCAGGGCAAACGCTGAGAGTGATAATTCACCCTTTTGGCACCCCAAAAATGGAATATCGTTTGTTGGTGTATGTCATTAGTCCCCCGTATTCATAGAACATCTCTCGATCCATCCCATCGGTGACTCAACACTCAACACTCAATTGAGGTACCGGATTGAAGCAGCTGAGACTCCAGGCTGTGCTCTCTCTATTCATCGATATAATAGGCAATAGATCAGCTGGGCGCCATGGCTTACCTGAGCTGGTGCACGTCGACAGTTCTGCTCCCATCCAATCCACTTTAGCGTCATGGCCCAAAAATAAGCGAATACGAATTGGATTTTAATAATTTTTATAACTGCGCATCCCAGAATGTCGATGGATTCCTGCTCACTGTTTCTACTGCCATTTTGGGTATCGTATTATAAATAGATGTTGAACAGTTCTATGGCTGAAAAAGATCGTTTAAATGCAAATCCGCCAATCATTAAAACGTTTTAAATGGCACTCGCCCAGCGAAGGGAAGGGAACGGAACAGTGGGTGGGGACTCAGCACGCTGCCTGCATTAATTTATGTGCAACTTTGTTGCGCTGCCGACCCCCGCTGGCGACAATGCGAGTCACATCCGCCGGAAATGGGAAACTTCTGTCCGCTGCGGCTAAGACCAGGAAAAACTAACTTCCAGTGCTGCCGTTGCTTCAGCCAAGCTATTAAGTTTCAACATAATGCCCCACTTGTTGGCCAACTTTTTGTTATATGTAACTGCGGCACTATCACATAAGCAAAAGGATAATGGATGGCCCCCAATGGTCACGTCCACGAGCGCTCTAATGAACATCTCCACACATCATTAGCCGACTATGGCCAGCCTATGGCTCCATCCCTGACTCAATGCTCGAGTTACAGGCAATTGACGGTGGATAGAGAAACTGAGGGTCAGCTTTTGGGCATCGTAATTAAATTTAACTGCCAGCAACGATGGCAACCGCTTCTAAGTGCTGAAACTTCAGCTAACTTTGCAGAGACCTTTCCAGTCAACCAACAAGTGGATGAAGGAGCGAAGTTTAAGCCTAGTTCAAAGAGAAGATCCTCCTAGAGCTGACCTTTGCTAGGCTAATGCGCCATAAACAGCCAAGTAAAAACCTTCGTCACACTAGCTCGCCCAGGCATGCCTCGTTCCCTCCCTCCTACTTCTACTTACGACATTCCTCTGCTGAGCTGACAGGACATGAGCTCCCCAGTCGCACAGACACATGTATTGGACTCCTCGAAGCTGATGCGCAAATATAGTGTGGGGAGGATCTGAAGGGAAATGGACAACAGGCAGGGGCCAGGAGCAGCAAGGCGGCAACTGTAACGAGCTGCGTGTCATTGCGCCAAAATCAACAGAAATGCAAACGATGTGTGCTGTCCTCTGTCGACGGAGACGTGGATGGGAGTGCTTCTCACATACCAGGTGGAGGGGGAGGGGATGAGTGTTGACAATGAAATGCCAATCTGCCAAACTGCCACACCATTGGACACATGGAGAGTGGCTGGATGAGACTGTTGTAGAACAAGCAAATTTTAATAGAATCTTTATAGGATCGAAAAATATTTGCCCTCTATCTCTTCTAAGCCATTTTTGGTCTCCTTTCTGTTTCAACCCCTTTAAAGCAGCGTAAAACTCTGGGAGATGCTTATGCAAAGCCATGAATTCCGCGCCTGCCATTTGTCCTTGGCAGCGGACGTCTTAAGCCGCTTTAAAACTTTGGCCGCTAGCCTGGGAAGAGTCTGATGGATTTGGCCTCTGACTCTTTCTGACTCTTCATGCGTAAGCCGAATTCAATCACAGGACCTCTTAATGTGACAGCAAAAAAAAACAAGAATCAGCATCAAGGGTCAGGGAACAGGGGACAGGGGGTCGGAACGGCTGGCTCCTTTATGGTTTCTACTGAATAGAGAATTAAATTAAGAAGGCAGCTGGCACGGAACAGGCGCTGCATCTGGGGAATTGGAGCATCTAGGGAGGGAATCCTGAAATATTGCGCATACACACCCCTGTACGGTCAGCAGCAAGAGATGAAAGCAATAATGCCGTGTATTGTCTAATTGGCTTTATTGGTCTCTCTGTCTTCCAGCTTGAGTGATTTGATTGTCCCCGCTCGCTGCTCAACAACCCTCCCGATAGTGAATTGGGTCCCACATATGGATGTGAATCAATTGGGAGACAGCGTGGAACCCGAAAGAGCATTGCTGGCAGCGTTCTGTGCGTACAGCAAAAGCAGGCCCGAAGATAACAAACTCATAACATTTAATTACGTACAATTTACTCATATGTTTACACCACTGGCCGGCCGAAATAGTAGAGAAAAGATAGCAAAAAGGCTGATCTCGTAGTTGACAGGACAAACGGTGAGAAGGAAAAGGGAATAGGCACACTCTATCACTATCGCTATCACCAGCACTGTGACTGTTACTGTCACCCCGTCACCCTGTCCCTGGGCAATGCGGTAGCCACCGGACTTTACTCGTGTCTCTGCCATATAACTCTAAGGCCGATTGCTGACTGCCGATTGCCGAATTGAGAGTCATCCTTCCTATGCATTGTACATTGTATTGCTAGTGAGGTGGTATTGAGGTATTATTCACCGGGACTTTTGCTGGTCGCGTTTATCTACTGGTGGAAGGGCCAGAGGCAGACCCTCGCTTGACTTATCTATCAACATGCCAGCGCGTTGACATGGGAAGCTCGTCACATGTGCCCCGGAGACTATAGGGAGCTGACTCCGGGACAGGAAGTGTATTCCTGCCAAGGGGGCTCCGTGCACCCTGCAGGACTGCGATAGCGCGAATATCCATTTCCCCTAACCAGTTGCAGGCCCTCGCACGTGACGGCAACATGCAACGCAAACGCAACTGGCACTTGCAGACCTGAATTGGGGCTGTAATGCGTCGGAATCTGGATCAGATATTATCAATGCCGATTTGGAGATAAGCCCTCTGTGACGCTATTTTGATTACTACCCCACCCAATATCTGACCAGAACCAGACAGAAAGTTGAAATTGGAAATCTCAAGCCAAGCTGGCCGAGCAAGATCAATACAATAGCAAAAGCCATGTTGCTGGCAACATCAATATGTTGCCAAAGTCCTAGCAGCATGTTGCTGGCAGCATCAATATGTTGCCAAAGTAATTCTGTAATTAATTTGCCAGTTCACCAAAGCTGGAAAAATTGGCGCATCAATGGCCTCAGTTCTCAGAAAGAGGGTGGATGCGCTCTGGGTGGTGTTCCGCTGCAGTTCTCTTTTAGATTTAATTGAACGCGTGAAGAGACGACGATGACCAAGCACAAGAAACGAACGCAGCGAAGACAAATGGTCCAAAGGAAAATAGAAAACAAACTTATAGCGCGCTCGCCTGTGACGCATAAGAAGATACATTTAAATCCGAAATTTGTAGGGACCAGCTGCAGCAGCAGAGGAAAAACGTGCTTACTGCAACTCCTATCAGCCACTCAACTTTGTTGTGGGCCAGTGGCAGGGGTCATGTATGGAGGTTTGGCAGGGCTCTTGGTCTTTCGCTTGTTATCACAGCCGTCATTTTTCAGCGCCCTCTCCATTCTAGATAATGTCGTGCAGTAGAAAAGCGTTTTATCTGCTGACAAACCACGCGGGTATAGGGAGAGACCACGGCTTGGGAGTGTCGATGCAACGAGCTGGAAACACTTTTCGGGTCCTCTCCTGCAGCAAGGCCAATAATGTGGCCAATTCGATGGCGACATGCTAATAAACATAATGGCAACTGATTTTGACAGTGTGTGCACTTTCGGCTAAAAAATTGGAGGGGAGGATTAGGCACAGCGAGGCCTTCGAAATCGAGGCTCCCCCTCCAACCCTGTAATACACCTATCAAATGCGAAAATGTAAACAGTTGCAGGAGGACCTAGGTGTGGGACGTATTAGTACCGGCTCAAAGGGATCATGTTGCTTTGAACGGGAGCACTACGTCTTCCCGGCCGCTGAAATCCAATGTTGTTTCCGCTTACCAGTCACGTACGCCCCCTAACAACGAATTCCATAATCCATAACGAATTCCATAACCCATCGCCGTGGCAGCGATTCAAATTATGCCCATGTCAAAGCTCCGGTTTGTGATTCTACTCGTCATTTGCAGCGTCTCATAAGGCACACCTTACGAATTGAAACAAATCGTAGCTTGGAGGTGTCAGGTGCAGTGAACTGGAACCGCTCTTAGGTGGCCCAACATTGAGCGCTCCCTCGCACAGCACAGCCAGGGCCACGGCGATCGCTAATTGTGCTTGCAAAATTAATTAAATCAATACCCAGTCGCCATTGCTGTGCCATTTGTTGATTGAGTTTTTAGCTGAAATGGAAATAGAAATGGAAATGCAAATGCCGCCTGTTGCCTGTTGCTGGCTAGCTCCTGGTGCTCCTGAGTCCTTCTGTCCTCCTGCTCGATTGAATTAATTAGGCAAAAGGCAATTAAGCGAATCGACTTGCTCCAAATGTCGCCCCAGCTTAACACGCAAGCGAGGTCGGCCCACAGGGAGTTTCGTTGAAACAGCTAGGGAGGATAACAGCTAGGGGGGAGAGCAACATAAATTCCATTGCCAATAAGTTGGGCAATAAGTGAGTGTCTCCCATAAGGGCTGTCTGAAGAACGGCGTTAATTTGACAAGCCCTGAGCAGACCCTTAGGTCAGAGCGGGTTATTGTCTGGCCCTAAGTGCTCTGGCTTGATGAAGTACCTCCCCCACACTCTTTGCCCTTCATTTTCTATTTTCCACTTGCCGCTTTTCACTTAGTGGCAACTGCCAAGAGAAAGTTGATGAATCGCAAGCCGAGCAGGTCAAAGGTGGGCCAATTAAATGGAAAACGGTTCCATGTACCGCAAATTGTTGTCATAGCTTGATGGATGCACTTTCACAGCCAAAGCCCTCACAGCCAAAACCCTCGACCGAATGATTGAGCAGTCAGGTCTTTAAGACCCCACTGCTCTTCCGCCATCGTAACTTTCTATGACTTTTGTTTCTGACAACTACATATAAAGAAAGACCCATTCGAACGCTTTTTGATAGGTTTCCATGACTTCCGGCTGCAGGACAAATCCCAGTCCATCCTATTGTGACCCCGTGCTGCTCTTTACCGCCTCCCCCTCCTGCTCAAGCTGCGGTTAAATGGCGAGATATCCTCGCCGGAGATACACGCTTGAATGCTCGGTTATTTATGGGGTGACAATGACTGTGTGTGCCTTCTGGCCCAAGTTGTGTCCTCTCCGCTGCGAATATCCCAACATATCCCAGTTCGATTGTCTGGCAATTGATTTTGTTGCTCTCCGGGACTGGGGCTTTTACGGCTTTGTATTTGCTGCTCAGGCTCTGCTATGAAGTTGAGTACATATGTACATGTGTACATACCAAAGACAATACATATAATAATAACATGCGTAACGCTCATACATTTCAATTGCCATATGCAAGAGCTAGAGCTATGCAAAAGATTTTTTGAAACTTCTTCTTGGCGCGCGAGGCTATTTCGTCAATTCTCTTTTAGGCTCTGAAATGCTACTGGCTTCGTCAATACACTGTGGCGCGGCACAGTGGGGAATCAGCCGAAAAGGGGTTGCACAGGTAAAAAAATATTATGAGCGCTTTGATTAAAATGAATGAAAAAGAGAATTTTCCAGAGAATATGAGATATAAGCATTTAAAGTTGAAAATTGTTTCAGTGTGAAACAATGTATTGAGCTCTCACTCGCTTATTAATTTAGCCCGCTGATCTAGGCAAAGACCCCACTGTGCGAAATGCATGCATATGCATGCGCAGACGAAGCCGTTCGGTAGCGGGTTTGCGGTCAAAAAAGGGGCATAGCCGAAAATAGAATTGAAACCCCGCGCGCTCCCTCTGTCTATTAGGCGCAGCGATAAGCCCCGCCATAGAACAGCTTTTTCGTCGCTCAAGCAGCATCTTGGTATTGTATAGTCTTTGATACAAGAGAGCGGCTGGCTCTATAGCGCTCTCTTCTCTCTCTGGTTTTTGAACAAAATTTCCAGAGAGCCTGGAGTCAGCTCTAGAGCCAGCCTGACAAATATGAGTGTAAGTAAGTTTTCGAATGTAAGCCTTGAGTGTGGTCGACATAATCCTGATAATTGATTGCCTTGAAATTCACTAGAGACATGAATCAGTTATGTTGCCAGAGTATTTCACAGTCGGTGCATGGTAGTTAGCTTTCTGGCATTTTTTTCCACTCATTCGGCGCCCGACGTTATCGATATCGAATTTCGTATTTTTGGCAAATATTTATCAATTTATTACCCTAAAAAATAGCCACAATTAACTCTTCCGCTTCATGAGTGTGTTCGTTTTATTCAGTTTTCCCTTTTTTTGAACACAGCACACCCTAGAGTAAACGCTACGAGTCAAACAAGGGTTTCTGTATGATGACCATTTTGCCCATGTCGATTGAAAAATTGTTAAAATCGCATTAAATAGTCATAGGAACATCTTTAAAATAGTATTTTCAAAATACTACTACAGTTTTCGAGAATCGAACGCAAGGGGCTTACCCAAGAAGCTTCCAGTTTAAAATCCAAAAAAGTCCGAATAGATACCCCATTTATTATGCTGAGACCAGCTAAAGGATGCGTACATTTTAAATTAAATCTCTGATTTTATAATTTAGTTCCTGAGAGCATTCTTCATAGTTCTGAATGAGAAAATTCTGTGATTAGATAATTATTTATTGGATGGGTTTATAATGATGCGTTTCATTTTTATATATTTTCAGCCAAATAAAATTTCATCCTCTCATGTGACAACTAAAACAAGCCATAAAGCTAATACCGAAAAGGAAATAAAAGCAATAGAAAGTATAAAGTGGCGGAGGGCGGAGCAGCCGCAAAAGGGTCACCGCAGCGGAGTAGGAGCAGAAGGAAATGGCGGATACGCAATGCGCAACATGTGTTATTGCTCTCGCTGCTCCAGCCACGACTACCTCGAGTCAATTACGAAATTTACAATTTAATTGAAGCTCACACTGTCCGTTGCCTTCCACACAGTCAATTAGCCAACACTCCCCCCATATCGGCGTCCAACACTCGGACACAGAGCTTGAGAAAATGTCGGAGTTCCGATACCTATCGATCACGGATCTATCCTTTAATCTGCCAATAGCACCGCTTCATGCCGCCGCCAAGACAGAGGAGCCGGGCTTATCGGACAACCCCACCACCGAGCTAAATATTCCCTACACCGTTTTCGAGATCCTTGTGGCCATCGTCAGCATCATCGGCAATGTGCTGGTCATCATTGTGTTTCGCCGTGAACGGAAGCTGCGCCGCAGGACCAACTACTACATTGTCTCCCTGGCCATGGCCGACTTCCTAGTGGGCAGTCTGGGGGTACCGTTTGCCATCCTAGCCTCCATCGGACTACCACACAACCTGCACGCCTGCCTCTTCACCGTATCGCTGCTCGTGGTGCTCTGCACCATCTCTATCTTCTGCCTGGTGGCCGTCTCCGTGGATCGCTACTGGGCCATCCTTTATCCGATGGCATACTCGCGCAACGTGCGCACTCGGACGGCGATTTGTAAGTTGGGGGAAGAGGAGGATATTTTATATTTTTGTTTTTTCTGTTCTTCTATATCCTTGTTGGGCCTTTGTCGCCTCACTACTAATGACTTTGTCTGGCTAATATATTCCTCTCACATTGTTCTGCCTGGCTGCTGTCCATGTTTGAGTTGCTGCTTGGCTAAGCTACGACAAAGGCATACTCAGCTGGCCAACACAGAGAGCAGAAATAGTACAAAACTCTTTAACTGGTATTTCAGAGCCACCAAAGTCCATGTTGTGCTCCCCAGATATAGATATCGATGCCGTTGCAATTTCCCAATGGTAGATGACCTCACTCCGCCTGATGATGTTGTGTACTGACTTGTCCGCAGCTCAGTCTTCCAAGTTTTTCCAGGAGCAGCAGCATGTGCGTCATTTTCCCAGTTCAGACGAGTTCAGTCTCATGCCAATATATTGGCTAAGGGGGACTTCTGCACTTTGCCAATTCCCTTTTGCCACAATCCCGCGGCCACTGTGACGTCGGAGGAGCTCCCTTGGCGGGCTTCGGTCTTCGGTTGTAACCCTGTGCTCATTATTCCCCTCTGCTGTCTGTTTCAGTCATCATCTCTATGTGCTGGGTGGCTGGAACGATTGTGGGGTTCCTGCCGCTCTTCGGCTGGCATGCGGATGTGGCTCACAATCAGGAGTGCCTATTTGTGGAGGTGATGGACTATGACTACCTGGTCTTTCTGTACTTTGCCACGATCATCACACCGGCGCTGCTCATGCTGGCCTTCTACACGCACATCTATCGCGTCATCATCAAGCAGGTGCGTCTGATAACTACCCACTCTGGTTGCCTGGATCTGAATTGTCATGCTATAACATGCTGCTCTACCCGTAGGTGCGCCAGATCGTCACCATGAATCCTGCCTCGGACCTAAGCCGGCGCTCCTCCACAGCTCCCATGCAGGTGATGCCAGGAAGGGGTGGTCATGCGGGCACAATGCTTAGGGTGCTGGGAGCAGCCCGCAAGCGGGACGTGAAAGCCACGCAAAATCTTTCCATTATTGTGCTGTTCTTTATGATCTGCTGGATACCTCTATACACGATCAACTGCATAAAGGCCTTCTGCCCCGACTGCTATGTCCATCCCAAGCTGACGCTCTTTTGCATCATCCTATCACACTTGAATTCGGCCGTAAACCCCGTTCTCTACGCCTACCACCTCAAAGACTTCCGGGCCGCACTCAAGAACCTGCTGCTCAAGATGATGGGCGTGGATATCGATCAGCAGGCGGAGGCTACCCACCGTTTTTCTCTGGCCAGCCAGCACCGCCTTCAGTCGATGGACTCAAACATGCGCTCCACGCAGCCGCGCCTCTATGTGGGTGAGTGTGAGTGCGCGTCGTCTACCGGCCAAAAAGGCCACATCCCAAAGATACAGCTAATGACTCCTTTCCCCTGCAGACTCACCGATCTGGCTGCGGCAGCAGCAGGAGGCGCTCAAGAACTCCCAGCTGCTGACCAAGTGCGGCGTGGTCTCGCCATGCTTCAACAACATCAACCAGACGGTGGCCGCCGTCGCCTCCGTTACTACTGAGATGGAGCGCGAGATGTGGAACATCATGGAGGCCTCCAGCGGTGCAGAGCTGGGCGAGATAAGCTACGAGTTCCCGATCCCCGCGGGACTGAGTCCCAAGCGAGAGAGCGATCACGATAGCAATATCTCTATCCCACCTCGCACCTTACCTGATAAGCCAGCGCCTCTTCAGCCCGCTACCTATGGGATGCATCCGCGCTGTGACAGCGTCTACTCATACGACAACCAAAACTACTCCTCCAGTCAGGATGAAGATGATGAAGGCCTGGGCGATGGGGACGGCGACGACTTGGATTTCGAGGATGTCTTTGATCCAGGCACTGTCACCCAGATTGGCGTGGATCCCACTGAGCTCCGTCGATCATTGGCCCTTGCTATGCGCGAGAAACTCCGATCAGACGATACGGACTACCAGAATCAGCCAAGCAATATCCACGAGCTGCCCTATGACCTTGACCTAGGACTGCAGCAGGAGCGGGCCAAGGCCAGGCCTTGTTCCACCCGGACCTCGCCCACCAATGGTCCGCTTCCAGCGCTGCTGCGGGAAAAACTTTTTGCCGGCAACGCAAACAGCGCCCACTGCCTCCCCGGGACGTCGCAAAAAGAAGGGACCACCTCCACCCCAGGCGTCTACGTCATAGATAGCGAGGCGAGTCCACTGTCAACAGGCCACAAGCCAAAGTACCGTAAGGGAACCGCCCTAACCAGGAACTCGCTAAAGAAGAGCCGCTCCTGCACTTGCAGCATTAACGCCAAGGGGCGTGCACAGGGCGATGGCCATGAAGATGTAGTCCCTTCGCACAACAACAACAATAATCTCAGCGATCCGCAAGAGTCGCCTTCAAACCAACACCAGGAGAGCTTCTTCAGCCCTCTGAGATCGGTGGGCAGCTTTATGCAGCATTCCAACCTGTTTCACTTCCTCCAACCGCATGCCCCAAGGCACCCCTCAGTTTCGACGAATTCACCAGGATCGTCCACACCCACACCCACGCCTGCACCCCTCCTGGCTATAGAAGGGGCAGCCTCCGCCTCCACACCGTCCCTAGCCACTGCTAGTGCGGAGAGCTGACCAGTGGACGAGAGCAATCGCTCCACCCGCAGTAGTCCCTAGGCAAATACTCGCAAGTCAAAGCTTATATTTTAAGTACATGATGGCTCTCATTAGTTTCCTTCCGCGTTAGGAAGACCTTAGCGGCTTTGGGCTTTCGAGATCAATCGGATCCATCGATAGCGGTAGTTGAATTCTTAGGAAGTTACGTTTATGCATTTATTTTGAGTATGAATTAATGTACGGACTAGCTAATTTTGTAAATAACGTTAAATATTGTTGGAGTATTTATCTGTGTAATCGATGATATAAATTTGTGCAATTTAACTGTTTGCCCCTATTTGTAAATGTGTATAGTATATGATGTATATGTTGTATAAACATATGTATGTTTGTGTATAACTGAACGTCTGTGAAAACGAAAGCTATTCGAAATGAATTTCAAAGTTAAAGTTAAATAAATCATAAATTGTAAACTAAATGGAAGCTCAAAGCTGAATTTCAATGGGTTGTGTTATTCGCGTAAGAATTGACCTTTGGTTTGAACAATATCAATCGCTTCTGGTGAGATATGAATATGAATGTGCCTCTTAGAAAGGGTATATATCAATCATGTCTAAAAGCTGAAGCAACATCTGTTCTGATATTTCGAAAGCTTCGGACTAGGGTTGTGACTTGGCTGAAATGTAAGTCTATCGATACCTCCAGTTTTCATGCTTTTCAAGCATGCTGTTCTCAAGTGCGCATTTATCCAACTAATCAACTGCGTCTACGTCAAATTTATTTTCTATACAAAATGATTCAAATTTTACGCGCGACCCGTGGAAGAGCGAAAAGCGTTTGGCACACTTATCAGTGTGGCGCGCTGTTTCGCGCAATCATGGACAACAACCCAAGCAGCACCAGTGACACCATGCTGGACGGGCCCAAAAGCGTCGCACCGAAAGCTCCCAAGTTCACAGCTGTTTTCACAAAGCTTTCAGAGCACCAGTGGAAGACGTATGAAGGTCAGAAGAAGGTTAGCACATCACATCAGTAGATTGTGTCCGAGGTGGGTGCGTCGAAATTCGCTAAGCAAAAACGAAGCTATAAGTAAAAGATAAAGTTGGCAGCGAAATTCTAATCATTTCATTCTTTTAACACTGCCCGTACCGAAATTACCTTTTTCAATATCTAACTAACTTAACTCTTTCATTTTCCGCGGACTCTTGCTACTTTGACACTTTCCCGGCGCGCAGTTCTACGCAAATTTCAGTACACACAGCAAAATGAGCGCCCGAAAATTCTGCGTGGGAGGCAACTGGAAGTTGAACGGCGACCAGAAGTCCATCGCCGAGATATGCAAGACTCTGAGCGGTGCCGCTCTGGACCCCAACACTGAGGTGGTCATAGGCTGCCCGGCCATCTACCTGATGTACGCCCGCAACCTGCTGCCCTGCACCGTGGGCGTGGCCGGCCAGAACGCCTACAAGGTGGCCAAAGGCGCCTTCACGGGCGAAATCTCACCCGCCATGCTCAAGGACATCGGGGCCGACTGGGTCATTCTGGGTCACTCTGAGCGGCGCGCCATCTTCAACGAGTCCGACGAGCTCATCGCCGAGAAGGCTGAGCACGCTCTGGCCGAGGGCCTCAAGGTCATCGCCTGCATCGGTGAGACTCTGGAAGAGCGCGAGGCAGGCAAGACAAACGAAGTTGTCGCCCGCCAGATGTGCGCCTATGCCAAGAAGGTGCGCGACTGGACAAACGTGGTTGTCGCCTACGAGCCCGTGTGGGCCATCGGAACCGGCAAGACAGCCACCCCCGAGCAGGTGAGTTTTAGCGCAATATGTGCATCCATTCTGCATTCTCAACCACCACATTTCGTTTCAGGCCCAAGAGGTGCACGCCTTCCTGCGGCAGTGGCTGACCGACAACATATCCAAGGAGGTTTCCGCCGCCCTGCGTATTCAGTACGGTGGCTCTGTGACCGCCGCCAACGCCAAGGAGCTTGCGAAGAAGCCCGACATCGACGGATTCCTAGTGGGCGGTGCCTCCCTGAAGCCCGAATTTGTCGAAATCATCAACGCCAGACAGTAAGACGCATCCCACCGATCAATTGCAGCAAAGAAACTGCACAAATGGAAGTGGAGCGGGAGAAACACACCCTCCCACCCTATGCATTACGCACACCTTGTTGTTGTCATTACCTGAATTCCGGCAGATAGCGTTGGAAAGTAGACATGGAATGTAGTAAAAAATTCTCAGTTCCCTTGCGAGTAAAAAGTTATATACTGCTGTTAATCGTATATCCAATGTATACGTCTTAAATTATTCTGGCTATAATTATAATTACGCTACAACCACACTTATTCACCAAATGGCTATGAACTATGCAAGATATTTATGGAACAGCTGGGATGGTGGTCAAATGAAAGGTGAACCCTGAACGCGACGACCTTGGCTACACAAAATCGAATGCGCATAGGTACATTAAGAGAACTTGAAAAAGAAAATAATACAGTGAGCATGTTACAGACCCCAACAAAGAGAAACCCAATCTTTGCTGTGAAAGTTCAGTTTTAGCATGTATGTATATGTGGTCCCTATTTAGGATACATTTACGAAATTACCTAGGCTTAGAAAGACCTTGAAACGCAGTGACCTGTGACGTGTGTCATATGTCATATCCTCCTATGTTCGGGCACACACGTTTTTTTATGTACTGACCGTGGAGTTTTGTAGTTTTAAATTTTAGCAGTCTTACCAAATCTGCAGACAGTGAAGAAAATTCCAAACCCAATTTTTACCTAAGTTTTACGCCAGTTCACCATGGAGCCCACACAGCAAACGTATAACTTCGACGCCATACTGGTTAAGTCCAAAGTGTGCGAACCCGATACGATTAACGACTACACCTACTCCATCCGGCTGTTCAAGAACTTTGAGGAGCTTCCCGAGGACCGCATGCTCGTGGAGGATTTCTCTATGGATCCTCTAGGTCAGTTCGTGGCCAGTCCATGCGAGCTCATCGGCATTTTGACGTCCAAGGGTGTTTGCGTGACGGTTAGCAAGAGCGGGGATCTTCTCGGGGCCGGTAGTGCCCTGCTGACACCGCTCTTGCTCCGCCAGCTTACCGATCCCACATTTCTGGTCACCGAAACCATCAAGCTGGATCTGGCAAAGGGTGGGAGGGTCGTTGAATCAGTCGAGATCATCATCAAGTTTAGCTCGCTTCACCCAGAGCTTGAGTGAGTAATAACCGTTGCAGTCTCATCCGTGCATCCTATCATGAATACTAAGTATATTACCCCTCTCAGCCCTGGTCTTGTGCCCCTCGGTTGCTACGATATTTGTCGGCCCGTGGACAAGTCCATCAACTATCGGGACGTGATCTTCACCCTGGGTCGCTCTAATAAGTGTCCGGGAACATCGTGCATAACGGACCAACGGCTTATGTCACATACCGGTGCCCCATTCCAGTGTGTCCACAACGACAAATCGCGCGACGCCGGAGAGTGTGGTTGCTCAGTGGCCGGTGGGGAAATTCAACCGGACCCAGAAGTGCACAGGGAACAGGAACGAGGAATGCTGAAGAAGCTTTTTAAGGAGCTAGGCCTCGACAAGATTCGGATTCCCGCTCCGCCTGACAATTACGAGGAGTCCAGGCGTTGGCACTGCCGCTTACAACCAGAGAGTACGGACACTAACTCAAGTGACTGTCTTTACGACACTTGGTTGGAGGAAAAGAAGCAAAACTCGGACAGTGGACGGCTCTGCCTCTCCTCATCCCAGCAGGAACAGATCCGCAGGAAGGTGCTGGGTTCCTGTCGGACGAATGAGCCAGAATTAAAGCAGGAGACGTACAAGCGCCCGAATCTCTGCGCCCTCTGCCAGTCGGACATCAGCTGGCTCCCAAAAATCGCCGGCTGTCCCTACTGTGGCTACAGAAATATCGAAACCATGGAATCCTGCGAGCAGCCCTACGACTTCTCGGCCACTGCCCAGCAGCTGATCCGCGACTGCCTCCGCAAAGAAGCCTGCATAGTTTCCTCCTCCGAAGAAGATAGAAAGGCTGGAGCACACTTACCCGATCCTGATCCCAACATCCCCGACGCCTGCGGATGCATGTCAGGACGGGTCTGCACCCGCTGCCGCATTCGCAAATTGTGCGAACAGTTCTTCACAGAGCAGGAAAATAAGTCCCAGAATGCTGGCGGACTACGAGACGAAGGTGGGCATCAAAAGAAGGGGCAGTCACCGAAAAAGATACCTTCGAGCACGTCGCATCACCGCTCCAAGCTGATAACGATTTTCAGTGAAATACGCAACATTTACGATAAAAAGAAGGGTGAAAAGGATCGCCAGAAGAATGCACAGGATGACCCCAAAACAGCGGCACTCCGCGATGAGTGTGAAGCGGCATGCAATAGCTCCAAGTCAGCCCGGGATCGACTCCGAGCTCGACGTTCGATGGGAAAACCACTTAAAGGGATCGACAAGGACTCGAAAAGGAAGAGCAAGAGAAAGCGTTGCCAGGCCCGACTCCACCGTTCGAAATCTAAGCGGTGAGTTATGTTAGCAGCAGATATTCCCAGATAATAGGTATGCCTGATCCCTAGATACTCGTACCTGGATATTCCGAAGAAGAAGGTGTGCCTTCGCATTGGACACAAGAGATGCATCAGCGACAGCAAATACACCGGATACTGCAAGGTTCCCTGCCACATGGGCTGGATGTGGACAAAGAGCGATATGGCGCGCTTTAAGGCCTGGCGGCCGGGCGCCATTTCCAGGCCAATCCGCCAACTGATGGCTTACTTTCTCAAAGACTTCCCCGCGGACACCATTTGCCTCTCGCGCTACCACTATCGAAACAGAGGACCCGATCCAGAGGACGCATTGCAGGAGACACTGGTGCAACATCCTACGCTGCACATTCTCAAGAAGCGGGACGAATATATCATCACGCTGCGGCCCCTAAAGGATCCACAATCGCTAGCGCTGTGCGCGAATCCCTATGCCGACATGAAGCCAGTGGTCTTTCGCATCACCAAGGATCCCATAGCGGCTGATCTGCGTGAGATGAAAATGTCCCTGAAAAGGAAGGGATTCCCACCATGCCAGTGCGATATGCCAGTAGCCAGCTGCTATTGTCGCAGTCACATTGACAAGAAGCGCCTCGAGTACGAGGTGGAAAGCATGCTAAGGCAGAGAGGATGCGAGGATGGGGTAGAAACATTCTTCTACTCCCCAATCACAGATGATGAGGTCGACAGCGAGGAAGAGTACGAGTTCGGAGTCACTCCGCCTGCTGGTGTCATCAAGCCGGAGCGAATGAAGAAGTCGCACGTGAAGCATTGCGAAACGCAGTACAACGAGAACGACTGGGCCATGCCCAGTATGTTCCCCCATCCTCCAAATCCCTTCGTACAATACGGCGCCTGCGTGCTCGGTGAGCGAAAGAAACCCTTTGACTGGATATACGGCAAGGGCAATGTACACGAGGAGCCCAAGCCGCCGCTGAAGCGCAACAAGCCGAAGATGAAGAAGAAGAAGAAGGAACTGCCGGGACGTCAGGCAGGGGGATTTGATAACCCTAATATATTTCAAGCCCCATCCCTTACATCAAAAAAAAACTGGCACAAGTCCAACTCTTCCGAGATGTCTTCTTTTACAGATGTACCCATACAAATGAATTGGCATTGACCCGACCCTGTAATAGTCCCACGACACTCTGGATACTCGAAGGAGAATCTGAACAATGAAGCTCGGGAAAGTAGTTTTACTCATTCAACTTAGACTTTTATTTGGTTATGGCATGGCAGACTAGCCATGAATTAACTGGAAGGTTGCTAAGTTAAGATATTCAAACAACATGGGAAAAGCAGGCAGTGAGGGCGAAAAATATATATACTCTCGCTTGGCATTCTAGTCTAGCAGGTAGTAGGAAGTCAGTCTAAGTTTCGATTGGTTAAGTGCCATCTTTAAGTAATACGAAACAAATCAGTACCATGACAGCTTCGGCACGAAGCTACTGCCTGCATGAATCGGAAAGTTCCAAGTAAACAAATTCTGTGCAATAAGGGTGCCTTGAGTTTTGATTTGGGCAGAGGCAATTTTTGTTGGGATGACTCGTAGGACGGGAGCTCACTCTCTATTGTTAGTTCAGGGCGTTAACCTACAAGTTTTCAGGCCCGTAAAAATTGTTACAATTTATGTGAATTTTTCGTAACGTTGCTCGCGTGTTTTAAATTATTTGTGCAAGGAAATTTTAGACTCCGTGTTCCAAATTTGATTGAACAATGGCCACCGTCGAGAAGAATGAGAATGAGCCGCAACCAAAGAAGCAGGAGAAGCCGGAGAAACAGGATAGGAAGAGCTATGACCACCATCGCTGTTTGGTTACCACCAAGATGGACCGGGACAGGGCCGACTACATGAGGTGCACCACCAGGCAGAACAACCGGGAGAGGCAGATGTTCCCGAAAGACACCGATGTGTGCTGCTCCACCTGTCCCCCCAAGGATCAGAGTGAAACGATCTGTCCGGGGCCTGGTCAGAAAGGCAAGTCAAACAAGGACGACATGCGTTGTTTCACGCTCAACATGGTCGTCCAGAAGCTGTATATGCCGGGCCGGGACTTCGAATGTCAAGACAAGCTGAGCATCAAGGTGGACATCTGCAAAGGCGTTGCGCCATGCCTCAAAGCGGATCGTATCAACGCGCTGTGTCTGCCCCCCGAGCCGATCAAGACCTTCCCCATGGCGGGCGAGTGTCTGGCAAAGAGTCTAGCGGAGGGCATCTCGATCGCAGTTGTCTATATGAAAAAGGAGATCGGTACGTACTCACATCCACAGCCACAGCCTCCTGCTGGAAATGTTCTAAAATCAGTTTCAATCTCGTTAAGGTCGCGGCTGCTACGTGCTGCCCGAGTCAGTGATCCTGCGCATGTGCAATACTATTCAGCAAGTGGTGCACACTGCCAACGTGGAGCTCACGTGCCGTGGGTGCACCGTCGGCATGGCCACCGTCAGAATATCTATGCAAATGCGGTGCCAAAGCATGAAAGAGTAAGTAGCAACACTGACGGAACTTGAAGCCACCTAAATGCGATAGCCCCTGAACTTCAATAGAGAAATAAACGGGACCGCCTCCGGTCTATGCTCGGCGAGCGATGACCTCAAAGGATGCATCGAGAAGTTTGTGGACCAGCAGGACGTCTTTTTCATGGTGGGCGACAGCTCTCAAACATTTCCGTCCTCCTCCACCGATCCATGTCTGGGCTTCAGGCCAGATGACAAGGAGCTGTCTGATCACCGTTGCTCGGACCCCCGCAGCAGCCTTTCCAAGTTCCGCAGCCTCAACATGCGCAACGTCAACGACGCCGGTATTCTGGACCAATCCTGTGGCCCCAAAGTGAGTCTACATGCTCCCTTATCGACACACTTCACAACCGGTGGGCAAACTGTTTCAGGGGCAGCCCTCGAAGCTGGTGGACATGGCAGGACCCTACGCAGTCTATGGCTGCCCAGACGCGGACGACCCCTGCCTGACCATTGAACCTCCAAGAGGGCCCTCGGATCAGTTCTCGCCCGAGCGGCAGGCGACATTCGGGGATGGCGCCACCAACCGCCTGTGCCATCAGGTGTCGGCCCCAGACCTGAAGCAGATGCTTATCAGCTCGTGCCGCTTGTGCCAAGTCTGCGGGGAGGACGTATCTTGGCTGCCAAAGATCGGGGCCTGTCCATACTGCGGCTACAAACCAGTGCCCATGTTCAAGGAGAAGCCATATGACGAGAATGCAACAGCTGACAAAATCCTGCTGACACATCTCGAACAGCCTGAAGATCAAGCCTGCTTTGATCTTGGCTCCATGAGCGGCTGTTCGGACAGAAGTGTCGCAGATGATGGGCCCACGTCAGAGGCGTTCGATGCCATAGTGCGGGACTACGAGCTGCTGAAGAAAAGTATTAAGAAGTCCGCTCGGGCTGAGCTATGTCCCCATACCCACAAACAGACGCGTTTGTCAATGGCCAAGGAAGCCGAAGACAAGCAACCGCAGCCGCATCTAGCCAGTGTATTCGCAGAGCTAAAGGAGCTCTTCAAAGATAAGTCCAACGACAAGAGTCTAAAGATTGAGGAGATTTGCGAGGAGGCTTGCAAGCTCTCCAGAGTTTCCACGGCTCGCAATAACGGGAAACCTGCAGACGTCAAGGACAAGGGCAAGGATTTGGAGGATCCGTGCGCAGTGCCCAAGAAACGCAAAAAGCGACCCCCACGCCGGAAAATGCCCTTCAAGTCCAAGTTCTACGCAATGCTACCCAAAGGAAGAGATGGACATGCGGCGCGCAGCCATGCCCACTGCTTTGACGGCGATTCGAAGGTGCCGAGCAACATGGGGTGGCTCTGGACCGCCCACCCACTGGCCAAGAAGCCCGGGTGGCGACCGGGGGCCATTCGCCGATCCATACGGGAGCTGATGCGCTACTTTCTCAAAGACTACCCCGTGGACACCATACCCGTGTCGAAGTACATGACCTACTACAATCACAAGCCGCGACCGCCTGCCGACTATGAGGAGAAGGCCGAGGACCTGGTGCAGGTGCCGACGCTGCACATCGAGAAAAAGAACGACGAGTACATCATCACTCTGCGACCCCTTAAGGACACGGAAACGCTGAAACGGTCCGCAAACCCTTACGTCAACATGAAACCCGTCCAGTTCCGCATTGTGAAGAATCCGTTACTGAAGGAGGTGCGCGACCTAAAGCGCTGCCTCAAGAGCATGGGCTTCAGCAAGTGCTCCTGCCACAGGCCCGTGACCGAGTGCTACTGCCGCAGCTTCATCGACAAGAAGCGCCTGGTCTACCACCTCAAAAAAGAGTGCGAGCGACGCCAGATCGACAACTGTGAAAACGACCTCGTCCTTTCCGAAACTACCGACAGTGAGGCGGAGTATGAGTTTGGAGTGACCCCGCCGGCGGGCCTCATGCATCCGGAAAGACTGAAGAAGTCGCACGTGAAGCATTGTGAAACGCAGTACAACGAGAACGATTGGGCCATGCCCAGCATGTTCCCCCATCCTCCAAATCCCTTCGTACAATACGGCGCCTGCGTGCTCGGTGAGCGAAAGAAACCCTTCGACTGGATATTCGGCAAGGGCAATGTACACCAGGAGCCCAAGAAGCCTCTTATGCGCAACAAGCCCAAAACGAAGAAGAAAAAGAAGGCACAGCCGGGTCGCCAGGAGGGTGGCTTCATTAGCGAAAAATTGGCCAACTCTGCCGGCCAGACGCAGACTTACGATCCGCAGGAGTACTCCAATGACTATAACTCCCCGCTTAGCGGACACCGCATGCGACTCTTGAACCAAGCAGCCTACCCGCCAACGGATCCCCAAAGGCTGTGGAGCGAGGTACCTGGGATAGGTAAGCGCAGGGAGAAGCTCGTCAGATTCGACACCGATCCAGTAAGCTCTTTTCGTGAAAGGAACCTTTCCTAGACAGTCAACAAGTGTCACGCCGTACTACATACACTATTCGAGCATGTCGACAGATATTTTAATAACCATTTATAAATTTCAGGCCCCCAACATAAAATTCTATTTTTCAATAAAATAAATTATACTGGTGTCCGCAATAACGGAAAATCTTTGTGTTTGTGATGAAAGTGATAGATATATGTATATATAATGGAAAATGGTTATCTAATCACTGGCCGAAGATGGGTATAGCTTACAAATTTCGTGTGGTGGTACTAATTTTTTAACTCAGAACTCAAATATTTTTTAGTCTATGTGGAAGTTGAAGTGCAGATTGGCTTGTGGGGATAGTATCAACTTATTCACTATTACCTTTGGTTAATCCAAATTGTAGATTTCAAAGTGTGGTCTAGTAAAGGTTGAGTTCTGACGGAAGTTTAATGCGGATGTTTTTTCTGCTGCTTAAATTAAATTCAGTGTTTTCTCATTACTATTCTCAATTGGAAAAGCGGTTATTTGCTTTGCCGTGCCGAGCGATAATAGCTTCAATTGAATCATTTTTGTTCTTTGCCGCTGGTCTACTGTAATATAACTAGTCATTATTTCGTTATTTTCTTTTTCTTTGCTATACTTTTGATTACGTTACACTTTTTACATTTGCGTTCTGATAATTACTTAAAGAATCCTAATAGATTTGTGGTATTGCTAGCTCCTTTGCAGTGTTCAGTTTTTTCAAAAGATTGTTAAGCCAAGGAAACAAAGTCTCAATTCGTGCATAAACTCCAGGCTTATTCGTTAATGCACATCCAATTCCCCATGATACAATGCCAACCAATTCTTTTCGCACTACTAAGGGGCCGCCTGAGTCCATTTGACAGGCATCCACGCCACCGTCATTCAGATATCCAGCACAAATCATACGCTCCGTAACTCTATTTCCAAGTAAAGTTTTACAGACTGTCTGATTGACAATTGGCACTCTGGCAAAATGCAAAACTTGTGTACCGGAACCGTTAGCAGTTGTAAAGCCCCATCCGGCAATGGTTGCAAATGAACCATCGGGTATCTTTCGGCGATTCATACCAATAGCTTTTACCTGAAAAGAAAGCCGTAAATATGATGGTAGAACAAGGTAGAACGCTCAAAACCACAAACTTTTCTTGAGTAAGTCAACTCATTGACTAATCGTATTAATCCAATGTCATAATCCATTGTCTTGGCAGACCATTTATCGTGATAATGAATCGAGGCTGCAGAGAATAGCTGCCCATCCGTAGGATCACGCGATGATCCACCAACTTTGACTTTTAGCAGGCGCCGCGGTATGCCGGCAAGGCAATGGGCAGCGGTGACAATAGTACGATTATTTATTATTGAGCCGCCACAATGGTGGTTGCCGTATAACTGCACGGATACTATATATGGTACGTTAACAATATCAGTGGGAAATCCGCCTACTATGCGGGGATTCGGACTATTTTCTTTGGAAGCTACTGAAAAACTGAAGAGAATACAAAAAATATGCACCGACGTTAACTTGTACATCGCTTAGCCCAGGTTTAAACAATAGCCCACTCGCCCTGAAAATGAATCTTATTTATAAGGCGCTGTAGTACAGACCAATATGAGACTGTTGGAATATTACTTTAAAGGTAATGAGCCAACAGTGTTATACGTTTGGGACATTATTTTGTAATTAAGACCAATTCTATTATCTTATTGGCACGTTGCCGATTGAACTGATTAGTAATGAAGTTGCGAGTGAATAAAACTTTTTTAAAAGTAAATTTAAAGTACTGGGTCAGTAAAGCCAGATCGCTGTGTCATGTCAATTTAACACCATATTCACATTTCACGCTTTGCAGATGATACCATACCATAATCAGCAACTTCCGTTCATTTTGCACATAGCCTAAAAATCTATTGATATATAATGAGCAATAGCGTCTCGGAAACAATATATGGAGAGGTTTTTTTTTATACATTTGGACATTTTTGTTAATACTCCGTAAACTTTGTAACTGTATCGAGCTAATGGCCAATTTTTGTTATTTATACAGACATACATATGTACATATTTATTGTTTACTCTATTTGTTATCCAAGCACGACCCGTTTCTTGAGAACAGCGGACCCAAACTGATTTGCATTTGCTTGACCCATAAATTTGGAAATCAAACACCGTTTGATGGGCTATTCTAGTTTTACATACATACATATGTCCACTTTGAAAGCAACGCCAGCTTGCCGAGCTGCTATGCGATGTCTTTGCCAAATATGTGGGCTAATCAACTTTCTGAGTGATTGTGAAATATCATTGATCTAGCCGTATATGCGATCCGAAATAGAACACATAAAGTCGAAATGCAGCCCACACAAATTGTATGGGCAGCTTTAGTTTAATCCGATTAAGCCTTAACGACAAGAAAATGTGAAAATAAGGGGAAAAAGATTTCACATGTACAATATTAGTGAAAGTGAAAAGTGTATAAAAGTAAGCAACAGTTATAAGCTTAGAAAACCCTATTACCACGCCAAAGTTGTACTCCTAGGCTTAGATTTTCAACGTTAACAGGTTCATAACAAAAAAATTAATAGAGCTTGTATGGCGGAAACGTTGTTAATGTAGGTACATATGTACATACACTCGTACATATACATGTATAAATATGTACCCACGAGCATGTTATTAACAGGCGAAGAGAACAGAGAAAGAGAGAACACAGGTGCACATTGTTCTCGACCGTTGAAGTTTGACTGTGTAGAGATGTTGTGGAGACTTTTAACAGGTGAGATTTACCATGCTTACAATTTCTTTTCATTTGAGATTCTTTAACGTCAAGCATCCATTGCTTTAAGACTTTCTTTTGTCAGAATTCCTCTGTTTCTCTTTCCAACACCATTCTCTTGAATATGTTGGGGCTCCAACTTCAAGCAGGTAGTACGCTGCCTCATTTCTTGAAAACCAACACACCTGGCTGCGCCTACAGAACTTCTTTATCTAATTTTTATAACAAGTCACTTGGTAGCATTGAAGATTTCAGTTCTGCATCAACCATTGAATGGTCAAGTTCGGTTTCTTCTTAGTCTCCTCAGTAAAGTGCAACTTCTTTCGAAAGTGTTCTCCTGTTTCGTTGTGCTTAGTGTGTAAGGCTATATATAGTCTGAATTACGGGATAAACCGTATAAGAAATCGATTTTTAAACTGTTGCTTAGGTAATTTGTTATTTTGTAAATGGTATAAAACTGTTCACATTACTGTTCAGTAAATTACGAAAATGATTTTTGCTAAGTTTTAAAAATGGTTGTTAATTGAGAGGCCTTTGAAAGGGCAACCATAAAAAATCCAACTACTTTTCTTTTGAAGCTGTACTTTATAAAAAATGTTTTTGATGACATTTATTTATTTATTGAGAATTCAAACAGCACTTGTATAGGTTGTACTGACTCCTAGTGTGGCAAACACATTAATCGTTCAAGTTTGTAACTTAAGTCTTTTGGTTTGAAACAAACCGCTATGCAAGAACCACGGAGACAGCTCAGTAAACCTTTGCTCTAACTGAAGAATAACTAAGAAAAATCACAAAAAGTGTTAACCGGTTTATTCGAACAGCAGCGATCAAGCTGACGGACGACTATGCCAGCATTGAAAAAACGGAGACAATCATTCTGAATAAGTAAACTGAGACGCAGAAAAAGAAGCTGTTGCAGCAACCGGTGTAGAAACGCACTAAAGCAAGGAACTGTGTAATAATGCAAAAGCCCCATGGTCTTAAGATACAAGTGAACAGCTTCCGTCAAAACATTAGCGAACATTACGATGTCCGCTTAGAATGGGTTGAAAATACTCAACTTCAGCTTGGATGGCTGGACATTTGATATGAATAGGGCCACGGTTGGCTTATTCGCCAGACGTGCAAATAGTTAGCAATAAAAACTAAATTCAAACAATACCAGAGAGAAATTCATATATATATTTCGTTGTATTGTGTGGCATGAAATTCTATATATAATTCTGCATGTTTTTATGTATATATTATAAACACAGTTTACGATTTTTTAGAATTACATGTTTGAAGAAACAATGCCGTGACTAAACCGTTTTTTAACTACATAAATTGAGAATCAAAAATTTATATAATTATATTTCATTTTATGAAATGGAAAAGGCACAAATAATTGAGTACAAATACATTCACCATATCAACCAGTAATTCTCCCTTTTAGAGAAGAATCAAATGAAATCATTAACACATTCAGAATGGTGAAAGTTTTTGGCGGTTCCTCTTGGAGTTCGGATTTCTATTGACTTTAGCTGGTGTTGATTTTTAAATTACATCATGCATCCGAAAATAGGCTAAATGTGAATCGGTGGTGAAGTCCGTCACAATATGAAGAGTTCCTATATAAACCACATTACGGTAGATCTGAGACTTGCTATTAATTCAAACATAATGTGTCCCGTTCTAATATAGGGGGTCGCGTTTGGTTTCAAAGAGTGAACATCGTTTTTAACGTTTTTCTTTCAATAAATGTTCGATTTTTTACAGAAATGTTGTCTATAAGTGACTAATTGTACTAATCGGATGGGATCAACGGCATAGTTAGGCAGTGCCACTTCCTTCTGGTGTCCATACCGGTTAGGTTTGAACTGATCGCCACGGGCACTGCAATGTATACATATGTACATGTGTATGTCTATGCACAGAAAGACAACTTTTTGACGATAATCATTGACCTAATTCTTCTGCCGCTTTCTACAAGCTTGTGTGTATATAAAAATGGTCTTGGACTTGTTATAACGCAGCTTCCCGAGTGGTCATTCCTGACATGCTACATTGGCATTCATATTCATGTGCACCAGACCGACACGTTAGGATTCGTTAAGCAGGAATAAATCTAAAAATAATGCTCAAAAATCTTGCAACCGTATTATTTTTATAAATGTAATGGGTTTTTTAGACTGCACTGCAGCATGAACCGAACCGTAATGGGTGGATCTTTGTATACATATGTACATAGTAGTTTCTTCACATAAGAGCAAGTTTATATGTATGTGCATATGCATGTATATTTGGTGAAACTACTATGGCAGCTGGTCAATCGGGGATGGGTCTAAAGTACCGTAGCCAAGACAGGTTAGGGTGCCTGGTGGCTGGTGGCGTTGGCGGTCATCCATTCAATCATCTTGCAATCTTGTTGCACACGGATGTTGCTTCGACATGTACATATATTCATAAACATTAACATAGAATAACTGTTTCATTGTGCAATAACCTGTGAATTTATGAACATACATACATAAGTACGTACATATACATGTATGTATAATAGGTTTTCAAATTGAGTAACACACCAAGTATATAAATACGAATTCTTAAGTTGTTAGTTAAAAAAAAATAGATTTTTAAGGTGTTACTTTAAGAGCGTAAATCAAAAGTGTTGTTTTGGTGCACTTTTTAGATTGCATATTTCAACGGAGTTCTGTTCTAAAACTACATGGTACTTTAGATATAATTAAAGTTCATAACCCCTGAAAGTTTTAGCCGCACAACCGTCAATCATACGCGATGGCCATTGACTTAGCAATTGCGCAAGTGTGTAACTCAGCGAACCAGAAAAAAATAAGCTCACACTCCCTACATTTTTAGGAATAGTAGCGGATAGTGCAAGAGGTCGTCGACGTGCCCAGTTGTTATACTCGTGGGCTGTGCTGCCATAAAAAAGTTTCTACCCGCAATGTTGCTTTTCCGAGGGATTTCATTATTTTCATTATGTCTTATGCCAAACACATTTATTTAAGAAGATTGAGATGGTGCCAGTGTGGCAGACCAAAATATGAAGACTTACAAATAACTGATACATTCTACTGTGTGCTATGAAAATCCATTATATTGTACAATGAAAGAACATCCGCAATGAGTTCGCAATAAAAAAGCATTTTCAAATACCTACTTTCAGTTTCTAAAAAAGGAGTAATTGACTGTTGTATATTTTCAATCAATGTTGTACATTTTGAATATCTCTCATAGTTTCTCTGCTACTACATATAGGTGCACCGAGTTGGCATACATTCTTTTTAAATACGTTTTTTAAAACATTTAATATTATTGGTTACTTGCAGATAGCAGCCAAATCGTTATAATGGCTAAGCCTCCGCAACGCATAAATTTAATGCGTCAATTTTTTCTAGCGCTAATGCTATATAGCGTTGCTACGGCGAAAGAAACTGAACGCATTCGTAGACTAGCCGCAGAGTCCGTTACAGAAGCAATACCAACTGTTAACAAAGAAAACGTTCTTGAACAGATTTCAAACCCTACAGAAATACCAGCGTCAAATTCAAAGACTTCTGAACTAAATAATAGTAGTCATCAGTTTTCTTCGCAAACTGAGACAGTTCTAGTGTCGACTGGTACAGATCCAATAAATACGGCTGAAACTCGCAACTCAGCTTTTGACTTATCGGCCGCTTCAGATTTAGACTCGAAGGAAGTGATCTCCAGCTCGTCGGGTTCTGAAGAGAGTGGAATTTATTACGATAATGCACCAATAGATTGTAATCCTGATCTTGTAGGCTTTGAAATTGTTACAGGGTAAGCAGTAATTGTTATTGAACTTTTAAAAGAAGGGATTGAATGAACTTGAATTTTTGTTACTGTTATTCCCATAGATTTGTGTTCTCAGCTCCTGAAAAGCTTATGGATTCCCTACCAGGCACGCTTATGCTCACTGATTGCCTGGATACGTGTAGGAAAAACAAAACCTGTCAGTCAGTTAATTACGAAACTGGACTTTGCGTGCTATTTTCAGCCCACGCTGATCAGTTGCCAGGTGGGTTAATATATACATACATATGTGTTCAGGTTTAAATTTTAGTACAAAAAACAATAATAATTCAATATCATAATTGCCCTATTTTCACCAATTTACTTATTTTTCCTACTTTCAGGTGCCCTGACAAAATCACAATTTCCCGTATTTACAATTTATGCACAAAAATCTTGCCTTTCCGTGAAACCCTGTGCCCGAGCGTGGTATGTCGATCGTGTTCAAAACTATAAGCTCAAGACGGAAGTTAAGCGTTCCGTATCGCTGACGTCAAGGCGCGAGTGCTTTGAACTTTGTCTGAGCGAAACAGAATTCACATGCCGGTAAGAACTCTTAGGATTCGAGTTTTCAGTTTAGAGCGACGAGACTGGCGTGTGGCGTCGCGGAAACTTTTCACATAACCTTATATGTGTTTTGTACAGTACATACGTATATAATTATCAAAATCAGTCAGATAGGAACAAAGAAGCATATATGTACGTACATGCACATGCAAATGCATATGAAGGTGTAGGTACAATCGGTAAAAAAAAGTCTCTGTGAGAAAAACTTTTTTGTCTCCGTCGATAAATTAACACAGCTTTGCCGAAAAAAATCAGATTATTATCAATCATCAATAATACAACAATCCGAAGACTTTTTCCTCAACTTAACTTTTTATCATTTTGTGTTAACACATTTTCCATTCTTGTATGTCCAACTTTGTAGATCAGCTAACTATGATCGAGTCTCCGGAGCATGTGAACTGAGTGAGTTGGATCGTTTAACATTGGCTGGCTCGAACGCTTTTCAGACACAAGAGGGAAGCGACTATCTGGAAAATCACTGCGTCGACGAACCAAATAAGTTGTGCGAATTTAAGCGTCTACCCGGCCGTATTCTTAAAACAGTAGATTCTGTATATCAGGAAGTGAGCAGTATTGATGAGTGTCGAGAGCTTTGCCTCAATTCCCCTTATAGGTGAGAAAAATAAATTCTCGTTCTTTTGTTGTTGGTTATTTAGCTATGATTACTGTTTCTTCGACTAGATGTCATTCTTATGACTACAACGATACTGGGGACATGGTGTGTCGCTTATCGCACCATAGTCGTGCCACTCTCGCTGATGTCCAAGAACCTTTCCTGGAGGTTCCTGAAGCGTCAACATACGAGCTGACATCTTGCTATAACGTGACTATAGAGTGCGGTGGCGGAGATATGCTGGCACGTATACGCACCTCGAAACTGTTTAATGGAAAAGTGTACGCCAAAGGTTCTCCCAAATCCTGCGCAGTTGATGTTAAGAGCGCACTAGACTTTGAGTTACGTATGAACTACCATGATTTAGAATGTAACGTACGGCAGAGTAGTTCGGGACGTTATGTCAATGATATAATTATACAACACCATGACATGATAGTAACGTCGTCAGACTTGGGCTTAGCATTGGCCTGTCAGTATGATCTAACAAATAAGTCTGTTAGCAATGGCGTTGACCTAGATGTACGCGGCGATATTATGCCCGCACTTTCCGAAGAGGTCATTGTCGACTCACCAAATGTGATAATGCGAATAACCTCCCGAGATGGCTCAGATATGATGCGCTCTGCTGAAGTAGGAGATCCACTAGCGTTGAAATTTGAAATTGTTGACGAGCAAAGTCCATACGAGATCTTTATTCGCGAGCTGGTAGCTATGGATGGCGTAGATAACTCTGAAATTACCTTAATCGACGCTAACGGCTGCCCAACTGATCACTTTATCATGGGTCCCATTTATAAGGGGTCTCTTTCCGGCAAGGTGCTCCTTTCCAATTTCGATGCGTTTAAGTTCCCTTCAAGTGAGGTCGTTCAGTTCCGAGCACTAGTGACACCTTGTATGCCAAGTTGTGAGCCAGTCCAATGCGACCAGGAAGACACCAGCGGCGAATTTAGATCATTGGTGTCCTATGGTCGAAAGCGAAGGTCCCTTAATATAACAGGTAATTTATTGTTCAAGCTGAGTAAAGTTTGCATATATATTTACCTAGCTTTTTGATTTTTAAAAGCCATTTTTCATATCAATCCTTTTATATTCTATAGACAATATGTCACGTACACGTCGGGATATCGATATGTCAATGAAATCGGCACCCAGTGACATGTTGCTGGTTCAGTCAATTCAAATCACAGACAAATTCGGCTTTAAACACAATAAGCAAGAAAGCGGCGATTATTATGATGGCAATGAAACAACATTTACAGCTAGCGAAGAGGGCCATGGATTTTGCGTGAACGCAATTGGTAAGATAACTTCTGTAATGATAAACGAAATGATCAAAATAAACTTTGTTTCGGTACGCCACAACATACTCTTACCTAATATGTTCTTCAGTGTCCTATTCAATGCAATACTCACATTTCCATTTAGGTCTCATTACAGCCGCCACAATATTTTTGCTTACTCAGTTGGCAATTATAGCCATTTGGACATATTGCTATCAACGCCGTCAGAAGCTACAACCGTATCAACATTCGTACTAAGCCCAACTATTCTGCTAATATATGTATACATAATTTATAAGTCAGCTTCAAAAGGTGCAATCCATATTTACGCAATGTAATGCTGAATATCTGCTAGGAATACCCGTCGTCCTGATATAACAACCGCTATTTGTCTTATCTAGTCAGTGCACGATTTTAGAGAAATGAAAATTTTTTGTTTTGTTCGGTGGAATTCAAACTGTTGGTAATACAGCCATTGCGTAAAACATTTTACTGTGTTAGGTTTTATATGTTCTATCTAACAACTTCCTTACTTATAAATGAAGTTTGACTTCTGTATTGAACTTCCTTTGTGACTTTGGAAATAATATCGTTGATATTTGTAAAACATATTTATTTGAGCACCTTATTATCTGTGTCGTATGTGTACTAGTATAGTTAAGAAATCTAATTTATTTTATATAAATAGCAATTTTATGTCTGATTTAAACTAATTATACAAAAATCTAATTGAAGTCTTTTATTATTATTATTAAAAGTTAAGAACTCAAATAAAATATCATTATTAGTGCACTTTATTAAGAGGGTGTTCGTTTATCTAACGTCTTCAAACATTACTTTAAGAAAAAAAATACCATTTCAATAAAGTTTTGTATGCAAACAAAAAACTCGTTTGTTACCTCTTTCTCATATACTTGAGTTAACATTTTTTATTTACAATTAAAAGTATACATATATGATGGATCAGAATCAACAATTGGGTCGATGTCCCAAATGCTATGGGGTATATTAAATCTATGTTCTCGTATAGAGAAGAAAAGTAAAAAGGTTGTGGATAATGATGTTGTAATAAAGAAAAAAAGATTCAGAACTCAAGCCTTAGACTTAGACTTATTTTCCATATAAATTTATTTGAGTCATTCGTTCTAAAAAAAACCGTTCTGCTTGTAGCTATCACCTGAGAAATATATATGCACAAGCCATATCTTAAACTTTAATTTTTCTAAAAGGCCCCCTCAGTAAAAGGCCCCTCAACAGTTTCCCGGAATGTTCACTTGTGTCGCCCAAAAAGCACGCCAGTCTCAACCGAATCATCGTGCTGGCGAAAACGATGCTAAAAACGATTCGTTTTTTTAATGTGGGTAGAGAAGTCCATATGTCGTGTTTATATTCTTTTTCTTCACATAGTTCCATCTTCATTATGGTGTACACCTGTAGCTGTATGAAGCTTCAGCATTTATCTGTGTATCGTTACCTGTAACCGTTGGTGTGAGTCATGCGAATAAATGCACCCTCAGCACAACAGGAAACAGGCTTCGTGCAGATTTGTATCTTCATCTACGAGAGGAACGTTAGCATATGGGAAAGTTTCTCCTGTCTGCTCGTCGGCCCGTCTGCTCCTTAACTTCATACAGATGTACGTATGTACGTAGCTGACTGAATTCATCTCAATTAATTTACCTAGAAGTGCAACTTAGGCGACAATTTACATACATACATTTGTATGTACAAGTAGTCCTCAAGAACGCCTAAAGATTTCAAAGCACTAAAAAAGTTCATGTTATGTTGTAGTTGCTCTCCAGTACAATTTGAAGAGTCTTTAATTAAAACATGCATGCAAGGCGATAAAAATAAATTTACTCTAGATTTGCCATGACGGTGCTGTCGTTATTTTTTCCCCCAATTAGAGATGCATAGTGTCGATTGCGCGACGTCAGCACACCAAATAATTGGCTGTGTTCTCCACAGCCACAGCATTCGTGTCAAGAATTGATTACATACGAGTATATACCTGATATTATACATCGCGTTCGATTGATTCGTTGGTCACGCTTAATTGTCTGAAATCGCAGCTCAGTTTGTCAATGTACTATGAACATCAGCCGGGTAGAAGTATCATTACTGGTATTTCTTGGTAAATTGCCATACAAACCTACTCGTAACTACAAAAGTCATTGGCCGATATTCTAGTTCACATTCAAAAGTTCAGTCTGCTGCCAGATGATTTTTTTATTCAGGGTATAAGTACTTCAACACATAATAGGAAAGTTTATAAGAACATTTTTAGTCCATAACGAGGCTTCCTAATCTGAGCGTAGCAAAGTGCTCAACGAATTTATAACCGACGGTGAAGTAAAAAGGAATTTCGATCGCTTCTTCTGCTTTTACTTTTAATGATGAAAAGGAAACGTATTAGGTGCCAAGCTTAATTTTTAATACGTTCCATTGTCAATGTCTGACTCAGCAAAATCAAATATATTTAGAAAGAAGGTTGGTACATACGAGAATGCAGGAAAAACAAGAAAGCAAAACTAGCTTCGTGGTCCGAAGATTTTCATAGCCATTATATGGTAATCCGATTCTATGCAGCTATATGATGCGCTTTCTATTCGGGCTGCGACATTGCAAAAGCCAAATCGATGCCTTTGACGCTGATTAAAAATATCAAAATGGGTCAGACCTTCTTCTCTACGTAGCAAATATCTCTTCAAAATCATTGTACCTTCTGTAAGGGTATTAAACAATTCACTGTTTGATTCACTATTGATGTCTGTATATATACGTATATTTGTTTAGTTTGTCTGAAAGGCACTACCTCTACTCATTTGAATGACTCGTTTGAACCAAGAGTAGGATATATGTATGTATTCATAAATAAATACTATTTTCGTAAATTTTTGGCAAAATAGTAAAACCAATATTTACATTTTATTTAAATAGTAGGAAAAAGTTTACTTAAATAAATATATTTGATACACAGTTATACTATTTTTCCATTTAAATATAAATAAGAACTCATTAAAAAGGAAAAAGCCAGCATGGAATTTACCTTTCCTTTACCAACAGCCGACCAAATTTACTATTTACAGCAGACTCCGAATGGCTGTTATTGATGTATAACAGCTGTGACTATCAGCATTTCAGTATTTTATAACTGATTGTCATCTATGGCAAAATAAAGGGCTAAGAATCCGAATATATGATGCAGCGTTTGCTTTTTCCTACAGAAGCCAGCAAATTGTTGTTGGGGCTCCAGCTGACCGCATTTACCGCTGTGCTGTGGAATAAACCGATTCCAAGACTATTTTCGTTAGGGTTTAACAAAATCCAAATATATATGTATAATGTATGCGTGAGGAATGTTAGATTTGTTATGTATGTTAACTGAATGTATTCAATGTTCCCACCGATATCTAAACACTTTGAATCTTATAAAGATACATACATGTACGAACACAATCAAAAAAGTTTGTTACCACCCACCTGTGCCCTTTAAGAGTAGTCTCTAGAAAGCCGTTAACATTCCAAATGTATATTGCACCATCCGCTGATCCACAGGCAATTTTTAAACCACTCGAGTTAAAGGAAGCCCGAGCAAAATCACAGCTGATTTTAAAGTGTTCATTTCTGCCGAAAGATTAAATATTACCTTTTGGATTTCTTTATTTCATAGTTTACTACGAACTTACGTGAAAGTGGATATAACTTGGTTCTTCCGCAAGTCTAATAACTTTATTGTATCGTCTCGTACTGAACATATGAGGTAATTGCAATCTATAGATATATATACATATAGCCATTTATAATGTATTTTGTGTGTTGCTTTTTGCTTTTTTTTTTTTAATGAGTACTTACCCTTTGATAAGTCTAGGGACGTGATTTTGGCTGGCATTAAGACATCATCGGCCTGTTTTTCAGTACGTATGTCCCAGAATCGGATCTTCTTATCGTAATGCCCACTGATAATCGTTGAGCCAAGGCTGTCTGTTGTGACGAGATCATTGCAACTTGATCCAGCAAATTTTGTTTCTATACAAGCAATGCTGCGCAAATCCCAAATCTTCAAGGTACGATCATGACTTCCTGTTACTACTTTAATGGGCTCTTGGACATATTTTGCGGCCATTACTTTTCCACTATGACCCGTCAACGTGTGCTTCAATAGGTGAAATGACAAAACAGACAGTTAGACCATTAAAAAGCAAACAACATTTTATACAGAGCGCATCAGAAAGACGGTGTCATGAGCGTGGACGATATATAGCTAGGAACTTTACTTTGTAGGGTCCAGCCGATAGCCAACACTGTTGTTGGCATCGCATACATTACATTAGTAGCAGACTAATGACTTGGAGTAAGTATCTTTCACCAGAACAACTTGTGATTAAAGTGGTCGTAGACATTTAATTACGGCGTTAGCAACGTAGATGTGCTCGTATTGTGTGCAGTACACATAACAGCCGCAGAGAATTTATTGGCATGTCCTCTGGTGGGACAGATTTTGGTTTTAGATAATGTAATCATAGTTTCTTAAAAGTTCACAACGTGAGGGTAGTAGCAGCACTTTAACAGTTTCTACCTAACTTCGCGCAGCATGAATCAACGTCATTGACACTTTTGTGAGCTCCTAACTTTCAAAGGGATAAAAGCATTCAAATTTTGAATTAATCTTCTACTTAGAAGTCTTACATATGTTTTATATATACGGCGTGCCCCGCAATAACTGACTGTTTAAGTTTAGGTTTATCTGAGATAGACCAGAAATTTTACTAGCTAAGTTGAGTCAACTTTTATATGCGAACCACACATTGTTAAAAGGCGTAATGTTGCGAAAATATATGTTTAAATGTAAAGAAGATAATTTTAGCTACATTTCTGCAAGTTTTTGACCAAGTTTTATTCCAGCTCGTTTGGATGCTTCTGCCCTTATATGTAACTATAAAGAAAGAGCATTTAAGCTGATTTTCCACCGGCAACCGGTCAAGGCGAACGGTCAATGTACGCGCAGTGGGCTTGACTCTAAGTAGCTCTCTCAATGTGGAGAGTTGGAGAGAATAAATTCTTTGTTTGGATAAAGAGCGCGTCATGCTCAGTGCCGGTGTCTTGCCGTTTTTCGAAGAGTAAAATCTCTTTCAAAATTATTACTTAGGTTAGACTTTTCTCTTATATAACCGTGAGACTAATACTAACTACTCTTGTTTGACTATCAAACGTCAAGCTTTGGTACAACCGATTTAAGAATAATGAAAATAATTACCGAATGAGACGCAAAATCAAGACTTCAGGTCTAAAATAAAGTAAATGCAACTTTTTGCACTTTCCTTCAAGTGAGAAGAACGTGAAAGAGAAATTCGTATAACTTGTCTAGACAAGTCAACAATAATTACAAAAATTGATAAAGCTCGGGCACCTGAGGATGTTATAAAGCTTTGAAACTTAAAAACAAAAAGGTTCGGATCAATAGTTGAATAGGAGTAGCAAATTGCATTCCACTTTCAATTTCGTTTATGTTCTTGAAAGGACAATTTATCGCACCAGCTTTGATTATTAGCTTATACAGTTTTGTTTATGGCACGTGTGCTTCAAGAATTTATAATCTATTGTTGAATTACATTTTTAATATGTATTGTATATATATATACATTCGATTTGTTGAGATTTTGGATTAATTTTGGTTGTAATCTATGTTAAGAATAGACTTCTGAGAGATAAATAATAGCTTAA